TACGAGCTGCACAGGATGGATTTGGGCGGACAGGGCTAAGAAGAACCAGTTCTGCAAGATGTGCAGCACACCGTGGGCAAACAGCATTCGCAAGGCGAGACAGAACTGGAGCAAGTGGAAGCCACAGTGGCCTACGGTCGCCAAGGCAGCTTACTGGCAACCACCAAAGAAGCCCAAGACTCCGAAAGCACCACTGCCGAACAAGGTCCTGCAAGTCCTTGGAGTGGTGTGGGACAGTGTGCCTGAAGAGGTGCAAAAGAACCTCAAGGAGGCAGGGTATAAGCCATCCAAGGCACAGGTCAAAGGAGAGGTGGATGATCTCGCCGACCTGTGCCAGAAGCACGAAGCCGCCCTGCCTGAGGAGGTCAAAGCCTACCTGAAAGGCCTCAAGGCCAGTCAGGAGGTGACGCTCTCCCAAGCTGCAAGCCAGGCCAGCCAGAGCTGGCAAAGTGCAGCTGGCAAGCTCAAGCACATCGCTGATCAGAAGATTGACCTGCAGAAGCGCATTGACATGGCGAAGGAGTCATTACGACAGCTTCTGCAAGAAATGATAGTGCTGAATGAGCAGGCCGAGAAGGCACAGAAGGCAGTCGAAGCAAGCTCAGGTCTGCTCAAAGAGAGAGTCTTCTGCGAAACCGCTGCGGACATGGAGGTCGACAGCATCCTCCAAGAATTGGGGGTAAGCCTCAACGAAGAGCAAGAGAGGAAACTCCATGAAATTAAAGCGGAGCGAGAAGCAAAGAGGCGTCGCACACAGGAGGTCCCCACCCCTCCAGGCCTTGAGGAGCGACCCCAGGAGGGGATGCCTCCCGGAAATGCCAATGCCCCGCCAGGGTTTGGCCCCATAGGCTAGGGAATCGGCGTGTGGGGCCTGGAGCCCCAAAGCAAGGGCCCCACAGAGCCAATGTGCGACCCCAAGCAAGGGCTGGAACACATGCTGCGAACTGCCCAGCAGTTCCTAATAGCGTGTGCAGAATATTACAAACAAGGTGCTCACATCAATCTACATGGGAAAAGATTGAGGGAGGCCTTGGGGAAGCAACTTACTGCAAACAGCAGTGGTTGTGAACAAGGCTGGCAGAAGCCCAGCCACTTTTGTCGGCCTGGAAAGGAGTCGCCAGAAAGCGTTCCGATCACAGGGCCAAAGTTTTTTAAGCTGGACCTCACAGATGATGAGGCCCTTGATGAAAGCGAACAAATGAAGCCATCATGGGAGGTGAACCCTGAAGGGAACCCTCTGGTAACCCAAGACGCCTCCCCGAAACAATGCAAGGATGAAGCCCAGACGGTGACACCTTCCCTCTGCAGCCCAGATGACTTGGGTTCGGAGATGACATGGCAGGAGGTGGTCAACCTCCTGGAAGATCAAGCGAACCCCTTCCAGGCGAAGGAAGCCACCATTTTAAACTTCATCGAAGCCCAAGAAGAGGTGATGGCGGAGGACTCCCCGGCCTGGGGCTGGTGCAGGATGGTCCTGCATGCCTTAGAGCAAGGAGAGGATGTCACCGAGAAGGCTATTCGACAAGCAAAGGAGGTGATAGCCTCTCGGATCCCAAAGAAGGAAGAGTCCCTGACACCAGCACAGGTGCGCAGTCAACAAAAGCAAGAAGAGGAACCGACTGAAGGAGAGGGCACTGACTCAGAAGAGCCCACCCACGAGAAGGTTGAACCTTCAGCCTCGCCTGACCAGTACCTGGGGGTCATGAGTGCCAATGTCACCAGTCTCAACAATGGAGCACTGGAGTGGGTTACCTCCTCCAAAGCCAAGGTGGTGTGCCTGCAGGAAACCCACCTCACTCCGGAAATGTTGCATAGTAGGAGAGCCACAATGCAATCCCTGGGCTGGGATCTGTATGCTGAGGGGCAGGCTACACGGCTGTGGGTCTGCGACAGAGATGGTGGGACTACACGATCGTGTCGCTATATTTGAGGGACACGGATGGCCTAACTGGTCCCACCAATGCAGAGGTGCTAGCCTCCTGGTGGCTTTCGTAAGAACCCTCCCAGAACCCTGGATCATCCTGGGAGATTGGAATCTGGACCCCACCGAAGTCCAGGACTCAACCCTGATACAAGTTATGAGGGGGAGAATGCTAGCCACAGGAGAGGCCACATGCAATCATGGGGCGGAGTTAGACTTTGGGGTTGTGAGTCGAAGGAGAGGCCACATCACCACCCAACAGGAATGGTTCCAGGAGCTGGTCCGGACCAAACCTGTGCATGCGTGGGAATGGGAAGGTCTCAACCTCCGGTGTGCTCAGTGTCAACTTAAACTCCTGCACACAAAGAACCGCAAAACCTTGGAAGCACTGGCAGCGCACCAATGCACACACCAAGGCAGAGTGACGGTTGAAGGGGTACATGTTACACATGTTTTAAAACTGCTAGGGAACAGACAACTGTGGGTCTGCGAAGGTTGTGGTGGACAGTTGTCCTTGAAGACTAAAAATGTTTCGCAAAAACTTTCAGTTGCATGCAGTTTTAAAAAGGACCCCAGGTGCAAGGCGCAGTTTAAGCCCGAGCCAACCAATGCCATCCGCAGCCTCTTTCAGCAGGTGCAAGGGACAGCCCAAGTTGCAGCAGACCCCCTGTGCAAAATCCCTGAAGGCACCGGCAGCTGAAGCAACCTAGGAGGTTGCATCCTCCCAGTGAGGATAAAGTGAAGGTCATCCTCGCTACCAGAGAAACCACCCCTGACCGATCCCCTCTAACAGCCTGCGCCAGGTGCACCAGCGGCCTTGAGGGAACTTTTGTCAGGAGGTTTAATCCTCTCATGAGGTATCACCCTCTGGTAGCATCCCAACGAGGATGATGGAGTCGAGGTTCATCCTCGCTGCCAGAGAACACACCCCTGGCCGATTTCCTCTCACAGTTTGCGCACAGTGCACCAGAAACCTTGAGGAATGTTTTGCCAGGAGGTTCAATCCTCTCATGAGGTATCAACCTCTGGTAGCATCCCAAAGAGGATGATAACTTAGGAGGAGGTGATTTTCCTCCCCTGTACCATAGGGCCAAGAGGGCCGTCAGATGTGCCAGTACAGAGGCACGGTTTTTCACAACCCAAACACCAAGGAGGTGGTTCGCACTAGTTCGCTCAACTCGGAAAAAAATTCCAACGGGTTTAAACTGGGTTGAACTCCAGGTTCGAACCAGGGTTCAAAAATCGAAAAAAGAAAGAAAAGAGAAGTAGAGACCAAACACTCTCAACAGACCGACTTCTAGTGGTCAGTGCCGCCGCCCCTGGGAGGCAAACGTCCAAGCTTCAAACCCTCAATCCAATCCGCATCATCGCTGTCCTCCAATAGGTTCTCTTTGTCGGCCCAACATTCCTTAGTGGTGGCGTGTAAAATGGTCGTTGGGTTTGTGGTCACACAAAGGTTGGAGTTTAGGAGGTGAGTGTGTCTGGCAGTTAGCAAAAGTCTGCCTCGGCCTTAGCTTCAGTGTACAACATGATGACATAAATGTTTACATGTACATCTATATCTTTGTCTACATCTATGTCTATGTCTATTTCTGTATCTATATCTAAATCTACATCAAATCTATATCTTTCATTCTTCGCGCGAAGTGCCGCATGTGGCCAGCCAAGGTACCCGTGTGGTGCCATTAGATGTGGTTCTGTTAAGCTCGAAGACGAGCGGCGGGAGTCGAGACGATTCCACGAACACAAGTCCGCCGGTGAAGCGCGACTCCAGTGTCGTAGCGTGCGAGGACTCTAGGGCAGTTTTTGTTCCAGTGGTACTTGAGACACAGTGCCTGAAGGTTGTCGGCGAAGGACCGGTGCACCGGAACGATGTGGTCCAACTCGCACGTGGCCTCGCTCGCAGCGTTCAAGACGCCACCTGCAACAAGGAAGCTTCCTCGTAAACCCTGCTTTAAACCCAAAAACTCTGGCTTTTCGCATGTTTTTGACTTAGAATGCTTGGACCGCGCTCGCTTCCTCAAAGCGTCATCATGGCAGCAAGCCAGCAAGCCGGGGAAAAACTGATGAATGAATGTCTCAAAGGATAATATTCAGGCAAATATATTCATGCGTTTTCATACAAGATAATAAGTGTTTTTGGTTTCTTTGGTTTAGTTTTTGTTTTGCCAAAGAGTGCGGGAATGCTTATGCTTCTGTGGTTGTCCTCCTTTTGCAAGGGTGCAAACTCACCGTCCCCCGTTTTGCTATTTTTGTACCCTGGCTCAACAGGATAATTTTCTGCCGCTCCCGTTCTTCTATGATTTGTTGGGACAGAGCTGTTGTGCAGGTGGTTCAAAAAGAACTCGTTGGCAAACTCCCGTCCGCAGACCAAACAAAGCCCGTTTTTACATCCCATTGAAAGCATCCCGTGTTGTATGCTTTCTGTCGTTTTCCGTACACAAAAAACAAAGTGCTGGCGGTGACGGTTTAGTTTCCGCCAGCCCACCCACCCACCCAACCCACGCTGTCGTCAAGATTCTTCAGGAGCATGGTGAGACAGGAAAAAGCGTTGTGACGGTTGCTGCTTTCTTTCCTTTCATGCTTTCCCGTCGGTTGTTTTATATAGTTGGAGGAAACGCTGAATTTCGAAGCGAAGAAAACACACTTGCAATGGCAGAGCATCAATCCATCCCCACCATGTCCTATCGTCTTGAGAACGAAGGCCGACTCGAAGTGCGCTTTAATTTGCTGTGCAGCTGGTCTCATGAGTCCGTCACCTGCAGACTTTGTTTCGTCATTGTTGTCATGCATTGTACGTGGATCTGATGACGCTTAAGCAACAGGGCCGAATATGTTGCATGGACAGCGAAGCAATGTCGCGTCGCAGTGTGGCCACACGGTCATGGCCGTTGCGTACCCGCGGGAGCTTGCTCTACATTTTGCGGTTGTTGCAGCCGTTTGTTTCAGATCCTAGACAGACATCTTCGGCGCATATCTAGTGAACACATAGCTGACATAGCTACGATTGACAAGACCTGAGCCTTTGCGCTGCCAAGTGGTGCTTTGTATTGGGAGTAGCCGTTCGAGTGTAGATGCCATGCAGACTCACAAGCCAAAACGCAATTTCTCTCGTGACCCAGCTTTAAATGGAACGGGTTTCCGGCGACACTTCAGTTGTTTGTTTGCTGGGAACCCCCGAGGCTTACCTCCGATACCACGAGTTTTCAGTCAGCATCTTGTGGCACCTGCCGGCACCGAGTCCATTGGGTGGCTCGGCTTCGGCTTTGCAGCCTTTGCTCCCGTGTCCACGTTTTCAGTGTAAGTGCCAAGGTACGATGTCAATGAGTCATCACAGCATGTCGAATCTCGGTGCGAAGTTGGGCTGTGAGTGCAGGGAGCGCGTGTGTAGCTGCGCAGCACTGTCTTTTGCTCGCGATTTCGCAGGACTACTTTGAAAGAGTTGGACTCTTCAGCACAAAATTTACGCAAAGCATGTGGTTGACATTTGGGGCTTTCCGCTGGATTCTATTGTTGATCATCGGCGTGGGAGCTGGTACAGTGCCTTTTCTGCATTCCACTATGTCACTTTGTTGAAGGACATTGCTGTTGAGGTTGAGTTCTGTGTATTGTTTCAGCCCGTCGCCAGAACGCAAACACGGCCACGTTGATAGCGAGATGCTCATGTGTAGACCCCTTGCTGGAAGAGGTTCCGGCGACCAAGCCCGAAATTGCTGAAGCTGATTGCAAGTATGAACCTGCGATTGGCCCCGTTACAGTGCGCCGCACCGCAGTTTTTCCTGGTCCATTCACTTACATTTGACCCTGTGCGAAACCTCTGCTATCAGCTTTGCAATTTGCATTTCTTGCCTTACAACAAGCGAAGGAAGCTTTTGCCAGCCGCTCAGCTCACGCTGGTTGCAAGTCAGTGCAAGAACGCGACAGCGAGAATTGAAAGTTGGGCACGAGATCCTGTCAATTTTGCGTCAAGCCCGACCGTACACAGTTGTGTCAACTGGCACTCTCCTACACGTACTCATACCAAGGCGCAGGCCAAACCGTCCTCAAAGCCCTAAATGTGCCCGCTCGCATGCAGTGAACGAACCATTCGCAAGCAGCACGTTTAAGGTTCCTTGTCACCAGAAGGGAACCTTCGCTACCTGAAAGTAAGTAGCAGAATGCTTTGGCCACAAAAGCGCCACATCCAACACAACGAAGTCGTGAGTCGGTGCGTTCTGCGAAGTTGAACTGTTGCTTCCCTTTGGCTGCAGGTCGCCAGCAAAAGGAAGTGAGGAAAATGACCAGCCGGCGTGTACGCGGCACCCCCCCAAATCCTGTGCAATCGACAGTTCGTGGCTTTTTCAGCTTGCAGGCGACATGTCTGTGTGCAACCATGGACGTGCAAGTGCACCGGGACAGCCAAAGCGAAGGAAGTGTTTTCAAACTCAGTGTCTTCAAGCTGCAAACGCCTCCATGATCCAGCAGATTCGAATGGCTGCAAAATCCGCATTCTCATGCTGTCGTGCAAAAGGATTCGCCAAGGAAGCTCGCCACAGACAAGCTGCAGCAAATGATTCGCCTTGCTCAAATTTGCTCACAACCCATCAGAAGGCCCTCTTCACAAGGCCCAGGCCAGAGCGAAGTGGTGAGCCAAAACTACGGAAGACGCGCAGAAGCTACACATCCTTTCACAAAGAATCACGCGGCACAAAATTTTCCCGTCAGGTCACGTCAAGCAGCTTGTGATTGCGGCGTCGCGGCCGGACGCGAAAGCCTGAGCCTGCGCCACATGCTGCGGCAGTACATGGTATGGGCGGGGCGCCGCACAGAAGTGCAACAACAACCACGCGGCCTGCAAGTGAGCAACGGTCGTGCACAAGGGCATCACTGGGACCCGAAACTTGGCATCGGAACTGGACCAAACAAGACAGGTGCAACTGTGCAAAACAGCTGTGAGGCAAGGTGCCTGCACCGGCTCGTCGCTTCAAACTCGTGCAGAGCAGTAGAGAACTATTTCGCCCGAAATTATTATCCGCTGGCATCGCTGGGAAACGCACGCCATAGATCCATGGCGCTGCCATCCAGGGACCTGGCACCTCAATCGGCGTGAAGCCCGGCGTCGTTTCACCTCTTCGGCGCGTACGAAAGGCTCAGCGGGACAAGCGAGGGTGTATTGCGTGTCGGAAGTTGTTTGAAGTTAAAAAAAAGTGTTTCGGCCTCGCTGGGGACGTCCGCCCGCACTAGCTTGGCCGCCGCTTGCTGGAGGATGCTGGAGGAGTTCGGGGCGGCTGGGCACTGGGTCGCTGTCACTGTAGGTCGGCGCACAGCGGGACCTGTTCCACCTGCGGGCGCCGGCGCGGGTCCCGGAGGGCGCCCAATGCCGCTGGCATGGCGGGGGCGCGCAGTGAAAGCCGTCGCCGCTCCCGAGACCGCATCTGACCCACGTTCACGGCGTGCCGCAACGTCGCTTTTTGGCGGCGGGCCCGGGTTGTTGGCCTCCCTGACGCGCTTGCCCCAGTATGGATGCAGCGTGTACACAGTGCACGGGGCCGGCCGACGAACCTGGGGCATCGGGCTCGCTTGCGTCCGCACTGGCCTCGCCCGTGTCGCGACTCAGACCGACGCACTCCAAGGCAGCCAAAGCCTGCGCACGGGGTGATGCAGGAACGCCCTAGCCTGGCCCAGGATGAACTGCCTCGCCCACCCTGACCCCGGTGCTTGTTGCCGCCATTTGCCGCCCGCTCGTCGGCGAGTCAGTGTGGAGGTTGGGCGCGGAGCAGTGGTTCTGGCGACGTCGGGCGCAGCCCTGAATGGTGGCGCTTAGCAAGGTCAATGGGGTGTGCGCGCACCGATGACTGGTGACGTTTCGACGACTCGTCAGCCGTTGCAACCGTCTGCGGAGCCGTTTAAGCAAGCCTAAAGGCCCCATGATGGGCAGCTCGAGAAGCGAGTGCCGTCCAGCGCTCGCCCGGCGCCGCGCCTGCTGGAATTCCGGGTAGGTCCGGTGCTTGCGGTCGACTGCCTGGTTCAGCGCCAGGCCCGCCTCATGGTCAGCCCACGGATGCGGCCATCTCGGCGTATGGGGCTAACGATCATCGCGTCAACGGCGATCTGCGCCTCTGCCAAATGGGAAGCCGTTGGCCACCACCTCGATCCGGCGCCCGTCGGCATCCAGGTTGAGGTCACGCAGGGCGACCGACATGGGCGGCGACTCGGGCGGCGACTCGGGCGCCTGCTTCCTTACAGATACGAGCCGCCGCTTGCTCAAGATGGCCAGATCTCCTGCAGCACACCAACTTGCGCGCATGCGGAGCGGTGGTCCCCATAAACGTCCAAGCCTCCACCACAAGAGCAGCGTCACGGGGCAAGCGCGAGGGGCAACCGAAGTCTGCGGAGCAGATGACGCGGCACTCCGGCCCGGCACTCTGGTATCGGAGGTTGTGGGGAATGCCGTGGAGGCACAACTCGCGGCAAGCAAATTGGCCGAAATATCCCAGGTGGCCGCGGGGAAACCCAGCGTGCGCAGGTGGCGAAGGCGGAATTGCATCCCAGCAGCATGCCGATGACTGGTCTTGTTGACACCAACAGCGAAGCTAAAACGCCATGATTGTGCCCATGTCTGCTGCATTCAACGCTCGCGGCAAGTCGTGGGGGTTGAGATTACGACGAACGCTTGCCAACGCTAAGCTGCAACTGGGATGCACTGTCTGGCGACAGCCTCTTGCGGCTCGTTTTTGCCCCGCAGGAGATGGGCAACACGCGTTCATCTACGTTTGCCCACGTGCTCTTCGTTGCAAGCGTTTGCCGAGCACAGCGATATTTGCTGGAGGGCTTAGAGTATTAGAGCCATGACGCGGCTGTTGTACCATCATTCCGTTGTATATCGGTTTTCTTTTTCCTGCTGCTCTCAGCAGCGGCGTCGTGTTGTTTTTTCGTATTGATTTTTGCTTACATATTTTTGTACCAGGACGCATGCTGCTGACGCGGCCCATTTTGTGTATGCACATATGATTTGTTTCACTTTTTTGTGCCGGTTGTTTCAGGACATTTCAGGACTCATGCTGCTGGCTGTTAAGTCGTTGCTAGTGCCGTCCTCGCTCCATGACAAGCACGTTTGATGGCCGCGGCCAAGCCGTTTATCAAAAGATGAAACCGGGAACCACGTAGAAAAGACCGCACCTTGACCAATACCGTGTCTCACTTCCCAACTATCTGACAAAGTTGCGTGGATCCGTGCAGCTGCTGTGCGATCCGCAATTAGATCGTCCATCAAATGCTATAACCCATCTTGAATGCCGGCACGATGCAATGCCCCCCCCCCCCCATCGTTCCATCAGATCCAAAGCGAAACCCTGCCTGGCTTTCACCAAACTGAAAAGTCCACGTCCGGGTGGATCCTATTTGAAATCAATCGCACCCGGATTTTTTTTTGCAAAGCAACATGTTAGCGTAATGGGATGATAACCGTCACGATCAGCGGCAGCTGCAGCTTTCGACCACATGGGAGCTACATGAGGTCCTGGCCGATTCGCGGAGTGATGGGTGACCGGAGTGATGGGTGACCAGACGTAGGCCGCCAGTAGACTGACGCCGACGGATGTCAGACTTCTTGCGTTGTCGTAAAAAAAGGGCATCCCGAGTTGGCACAACCCCAGTCTTGTGTTTGCGGGCCCTCTTCAATACTCAGGCCGCCGTAAATACAACGAGATAGATTGTGTACAATGTGCAATTTGTGGCAGCAGTTTGCTAAGCCGCAGAGGCATGTGAGCAGCACGAGTCCTCAAGCAAGCGTCCAGCGGTCAGTAAGTAAGTTCCACATGAAACAGATGTGCATCTCGCAATGTACGTGAGAGGGTCATCGTGACAAGGGCAACTTGTGCTAGCATATGCTGGCATACCTAGCACAGTGCTGTGGACAAAATCCTGTTCGGCAGTTCGACTGCAGCAACATCCAACAGTTGTCATGGCCACACGCGTCGATGCGGTGGTCGGTGCGTTACGATCAGGAGGCTGCACAGGCACAGGGTTCGGCTATGACAGTGGCACGCGCAGTAACCTGAAGTACAATTGGGTCCAACTTCAGAGTCGCAATCATGACGGCGGCACACTTGGAATCGCCGCAATGGCGCGGGGGCCCTTGTGTGCAAGAACAACGCGGGCGGAAACAGTGGGCAGCACAAAAGCCTGGTGCCAACAACGGCCTCACAACCCAGCCTCCGACAGGAGCGGGGGGACTGGAAGCGGGGGCATCTGCCAAGCTGACATTGCGGACAACCAACGTCGGCTGGAAAAAACCCGTGCGACGTGCATCTATGTGCATCTGCACATGAATGACGGCAATTGGCGCGCCGACAAACGTGCACATCCGGCGCGAGCTCTACGTGGTTGGCGTTGGCATGTTCACGCGTGACAGGGCAGCGGTGCCGGCCCGCGAAGGAGCGGTGCTTGCGCCAGTTGCAAACAGGAGCCGCGGCGGATGCGCCCAGCATACGCGCGGCTGGAGAGGCGGCGGCGCACTTGCAGCAGCCGGCTGGGCGGCGTGCCCGTCCTGGGAAGACTGCTTGCAGCCGGCAGCGCCGTTTGCAGCAGCGGAGCCCGGCGTGTGGGGACACGGGTGCACCAGCATGCACATGCTGCGTTCGCAGGCCGGTCCGCGCGAGCGCTTGGCTTGTGGCCATTCCCGTGCGCTGGCGCCCGACCTCATGCACCTAGCTAGCCCTACGGCGCAGGTTTCGCCTCCCTCTCCCCATCCCGCGTGCCTCCTGCGGCCAACGGACGACCGCCGAAGGCTTGACCTTGTCATGTACGGCGCGTCCCCAAGGGGCGAGGCTTTGTGTTGCGACGCAGGGCGCGCAGGAGGCGGAGGAACGGGTGGCGTGCGAACGTCATGCGGACCCGGAGGCGGATGAGCTTGCGCACCCTGCGCAAGGCGCTTGCACAGCCTGCGCAACGGGGTTGATGCGCCAAGCACAAAACCAATCATCATGTTGGTCCACAGTTCGACTACAAAAATCACGCCTGCCGCTGCGCTGGAGCCCGCCGGCTGCCGCTGCGGGCGTAGCTTGCCCGGGTAGTTTTGGAGCCGCTTAGCCGACCAAACGGATCAGCAGGCATAAAAGTCCGAAAAAAAGAAACTCACAAACCCCCAGCCCACAGGCATTCTACAACCCAGGTCGTTCGTTTCAAATGGCTGAATTCGAGCCCATGTCATGCGCCGACTTGCAGCGCTGATGTTCCATGCAATCGTGTTCACAACAAAGCAAACAAGCCAGTTCCGAGAAAAATCCACACCGTTCTCCTCGCAAGCAACCCGGAGATCCCGGTCTGCATCAACCCCTGGCCAAGCCATTCCAGTGACTGCGCAACCTCAATTGCGACGCGCAGTTCAAATGCATTTGCAGGTGGCAAGAACAAGGCCACTTCCAAGCAGTATCTTCGCTGGGGATGATTTCGCAACAAGGCGGGCCTGAGCCCATGTTCCGCTCCATCAAGCGTAGACCCAGTCAGGCGTAGTTAGTTGGTCCTCACCAAATCTGCTTTCCAATATGCACGCTCGACCATATCGATGCCCTAGGTGCCAGCTGCGCATTCACCGTCGTGCAGACCAACGCGGATTTCGTGGTTGACATACCCTTAGCCCAATGAGGTTTTGCTGACATGATGGGAGTTCCTCCTTTTGGCGTTGTCGCGCGAGCCCCGCAGGCTGTGTTGCGGCGACGGGTCGCTGAATGGCGGCGTGTCTTTTGCCCGACGGTCCTGACCCTACCCACTGCAGCGGCTGGTCGCCGTGTGGAGTCAAAATTGGGATGACCACCGTGCAGGTGTCCCGTCCGGTTCGGTGCTGGAGTAACTCCGCGAGCATGATTTGGAGCCCGAAAGCTTTTGTGGCCTGCTGGTGAGTACGTCGCAACCATTACGTCGCCTGGGTTCCCAGATTCTTTGAGGGAGGAGGACCGAAAATTGTTATTTTTTCTCCACGACAAGAGGTGTGAAGCTCCCCACCAGAAGCGCGGCAGGAAGCCAGCAGCATGGTTCCTGAAACAACAGATTTGCGGTCAGCAACTGCAGAAAAGTGAAACAAATCACAGCCGCCAGGGGCCTCGCTAGTGACCGCTAGTGTCCCCGGCAGGAGCGCCTCCGTACTCCGTAGGACCAGGTAGGCACTGACGGCCGGGACTCTGGATTGCCTAGGAAAAAGGCCCGAGGGAAAAAAAAAAAACCAAATCACATGTGTATATACAGAATGGGCCACATCAGCAGCATGCGTCCTGGCACAAAAAACAAGTAAGCAAAAATCAGTACAAAAAAAACATCACGACGCCGCTGCCGAGAGCAGCAAGAAGAAAACATAACAAACCGGCCGCCCAGAGAAGCGCCAAGAAAAGCCATTCGGGGGGCAGCACAAAAGCCGAAGGAGTTGAGAAACCAGAAAAACAAGGCCGAGCCAAGGGCCCAAAATCCAAACCCATCGCAATCAGAGTGCCGAACGTGAGTTCGGGAGAGCGTTGCAAGCGACTTGGCGCAGTCGCACTGCAATTCGCCGCCGACACGGCAGCCAGGCTCGGTGAATCGAAACGACTTCTCGGCAAGACCGGTTGTAAATGGAAGGGCGGGGGAACGAGGGCATTGCCCCCTGTTCCAGGGCACGTGAGCTGTTCCAAAGCAAATCACCTTCGGCTAAAGCAACACTTTCTTTAATCCAGGAAGCGTTTCAATTGGGCGCTGAGTTGGCTGCAAACCGACCCTGGCCCCGCAAGCCCCTTGCTCCTTCTATGATGCCTTGTTCTGAAATGCTAGAGCAAAGCCGGATGACAATGCCAAAACTCAAGTAGGGCAACGGCTTGCAAAGGGCAGGGGCAAGTTATGGGGCTCTTTTGCATCAACGACTCGTGCACGAAAGAATATTTACAGAGACGTTTGAGTTTTGTTTTGAGTTCTACCCAAATGCCAAATTAAAGCTCATGATCTTGGTCATTCCTATAACCCTATCCTAAGATCCTTCAAAGATCATAGGATTAATCCTTCCGATAATCCTATCCGAATTTCCAATTCAAGATCATGACTCTCATCCTGTATTGGTTTCTCTTCTTTCCGAAATATGATTCCAATAAAGTATAAATATTTCAAATATTGGCAAATCTCCGGATCGGAAATTTTGGAATATAAGAGAATTTTGGGACATGCTTCAATATGAGAAAAACAAACACACACACACACACAGTACCATCGTTATCAACGATACTAAAATTTTCCCAGATGTTTCATCGACAACACCAATTATGTATTTATTGCCATTTTTTCAATAAACCTAATATTTCGTTAATCCGCAGGCTTTTGCAGCAAAAAAAAAACTGCATGGGGTACGTGGATATATACAGGCATTAACAAACATGGATGGTAATTAAGGGTAGCCATCGCGAACCATTGATAACCCTGATTGTCTTTTCGTTTGTTGTTTCTTCGTTGGGGCTTACGTGTTTTTCGCATGGTTTATTTTTCGCACACGAAATCATCCCCTACAGTCCTCCGAGCTCGTTGATTGAAAGCCCCCAGCAGCCCTAGCAGTCCTAGCTTGCCGAACGAGCTTTGAACGTGCCGAAGCTGCTTGAGGTGGCCGTTGGCGTCGAGTTGGCCTTGCATTTCTTGATGGAGTGCAAACTCAATTTAACAGATTGGGTGGGCCAGGCCAGTGAAAGCCTTGGTTTGCAGTACGGGGCCTTGATGATGTTCAGCTTGTGCTGCAGTGCCGTTGCTGGTGTCCTCGTTTGTTTCGTCGAAGTGCTGGCCGCCGGAAGCGGCATTCCCGAAATTAAATGCTACTTGAATGGGATTCATCTGCCCAAGCTCGTGACGGGACGAACGTTATTTGCAAAAGCTGTGGGAATCGTATTCTCAGTCCGCAACTCAGCTCTGCAGTGCTGTGAGGTCAGAGCATGGTAAGCAATGGTTAAACGATGGTAAACGATGGGGAGGGCTTGTAGAGTTGCGGTGTATCATCCTCTAAAGAATCTCTCAGGTCAGTGCGGGGCTGCCTTGTGGGAAGGAAGGTCCCATGATCCACAGTGGCGCGATTGTGGGGGCGATGGTGAGCCACCTGAACTTGGAGCGGAGGCTTCGGCCTTTGAACTTGGATGTGGAAATGCGCGACTTTGTGGCGGCGGGAGCGGCTGCCGGTGTGTCTGCGGCTTTCGGGGCGCCCGTCGGGGCTGTCCTCTTCGCGGTGGAAGAGGGGGCCTCTCACATGACGCCCCGGTACCTTGCAGATACAAGCGATGACGAACACCCGTTTCCCTTGCAGTTACGCATTTCTGTAAACTCGGTCTTTTGGAAATGACAATGCATGCCAAAAATTGCATGCACATGGCCCAGGATCTTGACGCAGCTGTTCGTTTCCAGCTCAGTAGCAGGGACCTCAGTTGACGAAGATGCTCGTGCTACACTGTGCAGTTGCTTCGTGAGCACATGTCAAAATTGAAAAATACCATGATGCATCGCCACTCGCCAAGGAACCTCATGGGTTTCCCTACTACCCCCCTCTATCTACCTTTTTGGGTTCACCCCCTTATTTAGTTAACCTTATTTTCCCCGAACGGCCTTAATTTTGGGGGGAGCCTACTGTAGAGGGTCAGGGGGCTTAAACATAGTTATAATGCACTGAGCCGTGTAAGTTAGCCAACCCACATCAATTTATAGCAGTTGTAAGGTGGTTGTACGTTTTGGCATGATTTTGTAAGTTATGTTAACTATTCTTTCGTTTTTTGGTACAATGTTTTTAGGATGGGACATATGTCTTAAAGACAAGTCCAGGTCTGTGTCATATAGGCAGGGCCCTTGCAGATTCCGCGCAAACGAGTGAAAAACAAACTGTAGCGCATGGTGCTCCGCACAAAATGAAAAAGCGGTTGTGTGGGATCTGCATTGAAAAGCTGCACAGTATATTCTTTCACCACACAGTCAGCAAACTGTCCTCGTGATGCTTCAAAACGCGCATGCTTGCTGCAACTAACTGCAACAGGTGCCAAGATGATTGCTACACAAGAAAGAGACGCAGTGCCGCGCAGTTCCGCGCAGTTCCGGCGTTTCTTGTGCCATAATTCCGCATACTTGGACCGCAGTGCCGCGCAGTTCCGGGCCGCCGCGGCTCGAGAGGGGTGCCTCTTACGCGCAGTTCCGCAAATATTTCGCATGCTTTTTTGGCGCGAAGTTCCGCGGAGTGTCGCGCAGTTCTGCGCAGTTCCGGGCATATTTTTCAAAGCATTTCGTGGTGTAGCGTGAGAGACACGCACGCAAACACGAACATGAACTGCCTATTCATATGTACTCCGCAGGCGCTCTGCAGATCCCCAGCGTCTGGACATGTTCAAGCCATGAGTAACATCTATAGACCAAAACTTGTGTTTTTCTCCTGCCTCCCCCCCCGCACCGCCCGATGCCTTCACCCAAGCAAAACGACATAAACAGTACAGGGGTGCGCAGGTTCTCGAAATATAAAGCATGCTTCGCACATAGCTAATGGCCACTCTTCATGTTTGCCCGTGTTTTTCCCATGCTTATGTTAACTTTTACATACTTGCGAGATTTTTGTATGAGTACATAAGATTACATTAAATTTGCTAATTCCGTGCGGTTGCAAGTTCTTTAAACCCCCCACCCTCTACAGTAGGGGGAGTTAGCACAGAGGCAACCCATGAGAAGCTAGGACTGCGATGTGCTGCGAGATTCTGTGTTGTCAGTCGTGCCTTGTGAGGCTTCATTGATTACTCGGCTCACTCTTGGCCCGATCCTTGAAAAGCACACGGTGGGCTTGCTTGGGACGAGTGTCCCTGTAAGTTTCGGCCGCTTCAAGGAGATATCGCGCCTCGGCATGGTCAAGCGAGTCAACTGCATGTGTTGTGTTCGCAGCACCAGAATTCCCCGTGTGCAGATGCAATACTAACGCAATGAGGTACCACTTCGTGGAAATGTTTATTTTCGCTTTGATGGGAGTTGCTGCTGGACTGTTGGGCGCCATGTTCAACCATTTCAACCGCAGCATTACGAAGCACGGGCCTTGCTTGTGCAAAGTATGTCAGGGTAAGATGGGTTGATAGACAGACCAGTTTACAGCAGCATATGGTGTACAGCTCTGAGTGCCATGGGTGGCGCAGTGAAATCTGCTAGGTGGCGAAAGCGTCACGTGGGGCCAAGAGGTTGCACACGATTCCTGGAAGTACTGCAGCTTTGCTTGTCCAAGGGTTAGCACGTGCATAAGCATAAGCTGCAAAAGTGGATGCGCTTTGACAATGAGGTGCGTGACCCTTGCCATTGCCACAATGAAGTTTTGGATGCCTGTTTTCGTTCGGGCTTGGGATGCCAAGCACTGGGAGCCAGTTGTCCACGAGGACTTGACAGTGACACAGCGACTCTGGTTTGACGGCGGATGCTCGGCGTTAGAAGGGTAAAGCGGATGACGTGCAACCTGCGTATGGGGTGCCTGGGGAATCTGGGAGGGACGCGGCCTGCAAATCAAGGGCAGACTTCGATGATTTCTCTTTTCCATGAGCAGCATGCTTTCGATGAGATTTGGCTGCTCCTTCTCTTTGGCATCTTCAATCTGATAACCACTTGTTGGACGAACCTTGCATGCAGCACTTGAGATAGGAAGAGAGAGAGAGGGATACACAGACAAAGGAGGTGTGCGGTTTGCCATGGGTTGCCCACACATCAGATATTGCCATTGCCATCACTGGTTTAGGGGGGTGACAAGCTGCTTCTCCTGGCTCTGAGACAGGTTTGGTTTGGGAGTTCCAGCGGGCCTCTTCGTGCCTTCCCTGCTGACAGGGGCTGTGCTGGGTCGCTGGGTTGGTGAAGTCTTGAACCGAACTCCGGAGTGGCTCATCCCAGAGACATGGGCCCATCCGTCACTGTACGCGTTGGTGGGAGCTTCTGCCATGCTGGCTGGCGTTGGCAGGACATACGCTGAACATACTCAGCTCATCGCAGCTCTTTCTGCAGCGTCTCATGTAGTCGTTCCTGTACAATCTCATACGTTCACACAATTTCATACACGCCTGCCAGGATTACGATTTCATTGGCCATGATCCTCACTGAAGCAACTGGCGCAGGAAACTTTGCATTGCCCATACTCATGGTAGTTGTGATCGCAACCTGGACCGGAAACCAGTTCAACCGCGGCATCTACGATCTCCACATCATTGAACTCAAACAAATCCCACTCCTCGAGCAGACGCCAGCTGATGTTATGGTTCGTTACTATGTGAAAGACATCATGAGCAAGAAAGTTGTGAGATTGGAGGCCGTGGAGAAGGTGGGAACAGTCCTGGATGTTCTGTCGTCTTGTAATCACAATGGCTTTCCCGTGGTGGACATCGGGACACAGAAGTTGGAAGGCATCATCGAGCGTGGCTATTTGCACCTGCTGTTGTCCCGGGGCAATTACTATAGCATGTTCCAAGATGATCGAGACGCCAACACAGGTCAATCAATTGTTCCATTCGAGGCCATTGCATGGCCAAACATTCATTCTTACCCGAGCGTGAGTGAGCTGAAGCGAAGACTTTCCAGCAAGAACTTGGAGATGTGGATTGACTTGCGGCCGTATGTCAATGCCAACGGTTATTCTATCCCGCCTCATGCTTCGATGGCAAGTGCTTTCTCGCTGTTCAGGCGACTTGGCCTGAGGCATCTTCCTGTTGTTGATCGGCACGGTGACCTTTGCGGAATTTTGACACGCAAGGACAGACATGACGATGACCGCAAGCACGAGACAGTCTGTCAATGTTCTTGCAGGATCTTATTCTGGTCGAAGAGAACGAGGTCACGGGTGAACTTGTGCAGAGGCCTGGCCTTTCCTGTCAGTTTTGTGAATCCTGGCCGGGAATCGAAGAAGCTGTCTGTCTGAGGTCTCAGCCGGCCTTGGTTTCAGACACTGGCTGGGCATATCGGAAGTCAGAAGCTCATGATTTGGAATCAGGCACATCAGCAGAGGACGGAGGGCCCTTGAAGTCACTGTACAAGGGTGACGACAGGCTTCCATATAGTTTGGCTCCATATATGGCTCCTTTATGGCTCCTTTATGGCTCCTTTATGGCTCCTTTATGGCTCCATATACTCCATGGGAGGACCTGGGGATCGACAGCATGCTTGAAAGTGAGACGGATGGGAGCGACGCCTTCGTCGAGGTGTGGCAGTCGCACAAGCTTTCGATTCGCATGCTGCCCCGTTATCTGCCATTGCTGTTTCTGGTAGGGGGTCTCAAATGGCCATGCCGAGAGCAGTGAGTCCGAGGAGAGGACTGATACTCCGCAAGGTCACATTGCGTGCGAATGGACTGTGCTGCCTGTGTCGGTAGGAGAGTTTGATTGCAGCATGTCTCAGTCATGTCTACAATGCCACGTTGGTCTTTACAGCTTGTGCTGACAAGGGTCGGGCACGTCTCGTCTGGGGAGAGGTAACAGGGGAACTGTCAAGGCTCCAGACGGTACTTGTAAACGCTTGCGCGCAGTGCCGCCTCGACAGCCAGGGCCAAAAGGCACAGCTCTTCGGAGTCGGAGAGCCGAAAGCGGTGCAGGCAGAGCTTCGATCCCGTAATTCCAGGGAAGGTCGAGGCGCAAGGTCGCACGGGGGCCAGGGGGTCCGGGTTGCGCGGGAACACCATGGGTTTGCAGCTCAACAAATCTGGGCAGGGTCCCACAGAGGGAGGGGGGGGTTATTCAGAACTGACTGACAGGAGTCATAGGATTAGGCTTCTAGATGCTCGCAGTGACTTCTCCCTTCATCTATTCTGGTGAAAGGAAAAGCGTCAGTTTTTTGTGCAGTGCGCAAAGCTTGGTTTAGAAATGTTTAGAACTAGCAACTAGGTTTCCATACTGGGCCTATGTTTAGCAAGACTGGGTCCTCAACGTGTATTCAGGAGAGCATATTCCCGACACCCACTCGGCTGTACCCTGAGAAGAGTTTGCTGTGAGGGTCAAACGAGTCTAACGGTGGGCTTTAGAATTTTGGGCGCCTCTGGATCTTCTGGGTCAGCTTGCGTTTCTTGGTTCGTCGCCCGTGCTACACAAGAACAAGGCAATCAGTCTCGTACAGGTTGCAGAATTGCAGAACCCGGTACATGCAGCATTGCACGGGCGCACCGGCAGCTAGTCAATGATTCAAGGTGGCCCAGCCAGTCAAAACACTTTTTGGGGTAAATGCAAGTTCTGGGCTCGGCTGCGGATCCCCGCAAGAGGGCAGCTTGGGTGGCCCATCTTTTTCAGAAGTGGGTTGCACACCTACGGTTCGCGGTTGCCCCAGTCCTTGGTGCAGTACCATGTTGACCCTATGTTTTTTGCAACAAACATTACATGTGTCGGAACAACAAGAATACAATATTGCTAAACAATCTAATGGCCCACATATCTTTCCACATCACCGAAAAAACCATCTGTTCTAGACAATGACAGCTTGCTATGGACTGGTTTGCAATTAGTGCTTGGCCATGAAAAGGCTGAGGCCCTATCTCCTTTACAATTTCTGTCTGGCGGCCATCTTGCTCGATGCCAAACTTGTTTCCTTTGGTGTTTTGTTCTCCACCTTTGGGGTTTGCATGGGTTTGCTGTCTGGGCACATTTGCCCCTGAATCCCGGCCTGAAGCCTTGTCCTGAACTAAGGCTGAAACGGCTCAAAAGGTTCCGAATCAGTTGATAGAGGTGTCATCAAGCATGAAAAACTTCCGTTTGAGGTGTGTCCCCGGCTAGGCTTTCGAAGAACTGACCGTTCGCAGTAGTGGTGGATTGTCCAGCGTATTCAGCACAGGATGGAGGTGGTGGCTGTCGTTGTAGTAGCATCATTCCAGGTGATGTTGCAAGCATGGGCGGCTGCGCCTGAACCATGCCGCAGGTACATGGAAAAATGTCCATGCGATACCTGTTTTGCATGACTAGCCAGTTTGTCTTTGTAGTGAAGTGAGCATAGTGGGCGCTTTGGAGATGCCAAGCACTCTCTGGATCACGCTCTTGAATCCATGCGCCAGCCTTGCTCGGAGAGCGAGGGCTCCTCTTGGAATCGGGTTTGGGTCGCTGTGGAGTTGAGCACGAGGACTAAGGTTGTCACTGCTTGTTGAACCCCAGGCTGCTTCGGCTGCTTCATCCATATTCCAACAGGACAGGTCTTCACGAAGTGGACCTATTTGATGCATGGTTTTCACCGCATCTTCGGCTACAAATGCCGAGAAGAATGGCAGCTGCACTGACAGCCGGTACATATTGCACAGTATTTTCTCAGTATGACTCGTACAAAAAGTTGTTACAGTGTGTGACTCGAAAGTGGCTTCCTGTTGCCGTGCACCGGCGATGAAATTCAAGCGATCTAGATACAGGCCTTTTGGAGCCTCTTGGAGCCTGAGTGCGTTCTTCAAAAATGTACCACCGGTGATGCTGGAGCGAGCAAGCGTGCAGAACATTCACGCTCTGGATCAACTTTCATGGAGCACCCTGGTTCAGGATTGAAGGACGAGGTATTGATTTTCAGGGCTACAAGTAGTGGCAGCTTGGGCATGCTGCAGTGCTGTGGCATGTTGTGTCTTGGACCTGTGAACCTCATCGCGGATTTTGCCTTTGGGGTGGCTGCGATAAGGTGGTGGCTATTGCAGGGGGACTCGACGCCTGACGTACCTAGGACAAACTATGTGCGCTGTGGGACATGCATCCAGGATCCAGGCGGTTCGGTTCGCAGATTCGTTCAACTGGAGCCTCCATCTTCATATGACAAGAGTGGACCCTGGACGCGGGTGACTCAGGTGCCCATACCTTTCTTGGAGTTTTCGGGCCCCGAGAGATTAAATAAGAGATGGAAGTCCCCACCCATGCGCTGCCAGAACAACTCTCCCCAAGCTTCCAAACAGGTACCAGAGCCACGCGCCACAACTCGCCATTTTTGTTCTGTATTCGGCTTGAAAGCTCCTGCCCCAAAACACCTGGTACTATCGATGTGTCCATACTGTAAATCGTTTTGTTATGTTTGCCTTTGCCGTTTCGCTGTGGCTTGTCTGGTACAGCCAGGATATATACATCCAGACTACGAATTGAAAAGTCATGCCCTTTGCATGATGTTTCTGCGGAGTATTTCGCCTTACGTCACATGCCCGGGGAGTTTTCTGAGATCAACAGACAGGAAAGAGAAGAGAAGCGAGCAGAAGAGACGAGAGGTAGGAATACGGCAGAGAAACGGAACAGATTCCTAATGACATGTTACAGGTTTTTTCCCGTGCTTCTTGATGTTTACTCCTCTCCCATTTACTATTCCCCTAGAAAGGGGCATGAAGAGAGAGAGGAGACGAGAGGGAAGCCTCTTCTCTTTACCTTTGCCTCTTGAGATGCCTCATTTTCTGAGGCGAATAACACAGAAGAGAGGAAGGAAGGGAGGTAGGATGAAACTCTAGGTATGACAAAAACCTCAATAACCCAGTCTGCTTCTCAATGCTGTCAAAGTTGAGATCTGGAAGTGAAGGCTTTTGAGCGCAGCCGACCCAGTTAGGCAAAAAAACATAGGCATGATGCCTATTGGGCCTGTTGCTTGACCCCAACCTTCAATCTTAAAAGCCCTCAAAGCCACTAGGACGAAACAGTCTTTTGTTGTACGGTTCTACTGATACAGCATGAACTCAAGAATGCCTTGTACAAATCATACGCAACGGTCGATCGCGCATAGGCTACATAGGCCAATGTTTCAAGTTGCAAGTCACACCCCAAAGCAGGGAACCGAATAAATTCCATGCGAATGCAGACCTGTCATGATGCAGCCAAAGGCTTGCTTCCCGAGGACGCAGTTTTTTCATTGCCTCGAGCTCTGCAGCTGAGACCTTGCACGTTCAGTTTCAGTGTCATCAGGAGATCTGCTCGGTTTTTCCAAAGGCTGGGGCGTGCCGCATGTTCCATAGGGCTGAACAGGCCGTGCAAGATCTTAAGATCTTACGAGACCGTGCAGGCCATGCGGTGGGTATCTATGCCTGGCAGATGCAGATATAGTTGACTGGACCGGAGAGGCATGCTTGGGCTCAAGGCTTGGAGTTGCGGAGAGGCTTCAGGAGTGAGAACAGGGCCAGTGAAGGAAAAACAATCTTACTGGGAAACATGAGGGGGAGGCGTATAGCTCAACCTCCTCCCTGGCTGAAGCTAAGCCAGGCCAAGTTTTTGAAGGCTGTCTATTTTCGAAGAACATTTCTTTCAAAATTTCGTCGGGTGCAGCAAAAGGCTTTTGGGTTCACAACGCTTTGTTTGCCCTTCCTCAGCCCCAGAATGTTGAGAAAAGACCCCGTTGAAGAAATACAAACAAAGAGGGAGATCTAATTGGGGTTCATTGGGGTCGGAGTTGAGAGATGTTAAGAAAAAGAGCACAGCATGATTTGGAGAAAGCGTTTTTGCTTGACCTCTGAGTAGTTGCGAATCATTGCGAATCAGTTGTTTTGGACGTTTTTGATCCCGATGTTGGTTTGGTCGCGATCTAAAGAGTTTGCAGATTCTGTTTCTTCATCTTCGGATTTGTTTTGATTTTGCATCAAATCCCTCACCGCTCTGGTTGCGAATGGCGGATGCGGCTGGCAGGTCCTTGCCACTTCGACAAGTCGTCATTTGGAGGGAGTCCTTCGCCGGAATTGGCTCAACCGGCGTTGTTTGCATGTGGATGCGATCATGGCTCTGCGTGTTGAAAGCTGTGGATGTGGAGGTGGGGCTTTGCTGGTCGACGCAGCCTTCTGCCCAGTTGGCACATGTTGGCATGTTGGGACCATCCTTGACAGATGCTTCGCCGGAACTTTTTAAGCCTCGGAGGCATCAGGGCGTGGTTGGCATTTTGGAACGTGCTAAGGAGACCTGAGAAGCGACCGTAACTAGGACTGAGTACTCGGAATTTCTGTTGCACTGTACAGGGGAACTGCTGTGGGAAGCCGTTTTCCCACGTCTGCTTGCATGTGGGGAGATGTGGGGAGATTTGGGGAGAGCTGAGCGCTGAGCCATGCGAAGCTTGAGGTGCCGATGCTGCTCTGCATGAACGCGAGCGCCTGGCTACGTTTTGCCAAATCCAGCATAGACCGGTTCTGTGAACATGCAAGGGCCATCACGGGCCAGAGCAATATTTGCACTCCGGGTTTTTGTTTCAGTCCGGAGTGTGTGATGTAGCTCTCCCATACAAGTGTTCCGGCGAATGGTCAATCTCAAAACCTGGTTGGAAATACAGACATCGTCGCGATGCTAGTAGCTGCTAGCATGCAAGGACGATGGAAAGCACCTGTTTCTGCCTCCTTGGCACATGAAGTGCGCAGTGTGACAAAAATGGGAAGTCAGTGCTCGGTTCGACATCCCAGCCAAGACGCTTTGGGGCTTTCGGATGCCGTGTTCCCAAACCGGGCTTTCACTTGAGGAACTGTTGTGTGATAGTGCAATACAGTGTTGTCAAGCAACCTTTTACAACCGTTTTGAGGCCTCACCCCAAAGTATATGGGTTCAGACTTCACGCCCAGTCCACCGTCTTTGCAGGAGCAGGAGGCACTCGAAACGAGTCCCGCAGCTCACATAGTATACCCACGCGAAGCTCTAGTTGCAGCGGGATGTCCCTCAGATGGGAGCCAGATTCCGCCAGAGAGCCAGGCTGGCCCAGAGCTGTTGGCAGCATGCCGTGCCAAGGTGCGCTTTATTCATTTTGATTCATTTTGATTCCACATTTCATGCTTTGTTGCGACTTTTTTGTTCGTCGCGATGCCGTGAGAGCAGCCATGAGCAGCCTGAGGCCTCGCAACTGGACTTCGGTTCGGTCTTGACCACCGAGGCTCCCAACCTCAAGGCCTGCGAGGGATCGCGCGCTCCTCCAGCATCCTCCAGCACGCAGCAGAATTGAATCGTTGCAAGTTCAAGTGTGAAGTGCTAAGCGATAGTTCGCAGCATCCCTTCGGGCGAGATCACCGCTGCCAAAAGTCAGATGCACGTCAAAACACCATGGCCTCAAGTTGTCAATGTTGTCAATTTTGTGAAGCGGTGAGCACGGACAGGCACGGTATGTCCTACATACTGCGGTGCCAGGTGGGTCATCTTTGTAAGATCCTGGTGCAATTGTACGTTGCTGCATGAAGTTCGAAAGCATTGGCAGGGCATCCCTATTCTAGAGACCCACGTCCAATGCCTGCTGACCGCGCAGCTGTGTTGCCCCCAGCTTTCTCATCACAATGCTTGCGTGTCTTTATGCAACGCTTTGCGATTGTGATTCAATTGCCAGGAGTATGCATTGGATGATGCTCAAGCTGAAGCTCTCCTGCAGCAAAGCTTTGCAGGCACATGTCGATTCCTTTTCGATGGCCAGTCGTCGAAAACAGACGTTCAGTTTGGCGATGTTTGGCGGGTTGTCCGATGCTTCAATTGAAGCCGTTTCAGTTGCGAGCCTGAGAATCTGGCAGAGCCGCGCACTCTACTCTAGTTTCGTGCACCAATGGCCCGACAGAGCCAAGTCATCGACCTCGTTGCCTCCGACTCTCGGCGTGAGATCTGGATATGATCGGAGTGCCAGGTTTTGTCAAGTTTCAAAGAAACCCTTAGCAGCATTCGCTCCCCTCGTTGATTCGACTTTGCATGCCGCCGTCGGCAGCAGCCTACGTGTACGGCAGGAGTGCAACTCCTTTGCCGAGAGGTTCTTCTCAGTGCCTGGGTCCAGCAGAATGTGCGCATGTTGGGCAGTTCCATCAAAATTGATATTTGGTTGTGTTGTCCACATCCTGCACCGAGGAGCACCGTCGCCATTTTGAAGATTTGTCCAGTGCTGATGTCGGAAGCATGGAGCAGAAGGCTGAATGGACAGAGCCCCAGTTCATGCCAACGGATGCAGTGCTGCCGCGGCGTGCTGAACGACATGCTGAACGCCGTGTTTATTCTATTGGCCATGGTCGTCCACAGTCCGTATGCAAACAGCTCGACTTTGAACAAGCATGCGCAATCTGCGGCCGTTGTGCCAAGGTTCGACATCTTCAAGAAGTTTGAAGCAGAGTCCGAGCTGACAGTGCAGAATGTGGCTTGGATGACCGATGATCCTGGCCTGTGTTGTGCTTCTTGAGTTTGGTCATTTTCTAGCGTCACCTAGCGTCGGTAGAGAAAGAGATATAGCTGATTGTTGCTGCATTTGCTGCCCAGAACGCATGAAGAGCCATCATCACTTTCAATGCATTCCTTGCTTTTCCTGTGCCGGCACGCTTGCAGGCACTGATGCTGTGGGGTGCTGTCCAAGCCAAGTCATTCGAGCAAGAGTTCATTGAGGCGGCAATGCAATCCGACGTCCCTGGCCTTCGCAAGTTGGAACGACTTTAACGACTTTCCCTGCCAACAGCTCTAGTTCCAGTAATGTCAGCCGGGCAGCAGTCCCAGCTCGTGCTGAGTCAAGTAAGATGCGAGCGCCTCAGGCTCTCAATGATTATTTGTCTTTGACGGAGTACCCCATGTTTGTCAAGCGCATGTGGCGGGAAATCCAGCTGAAGCGCGAACGGGTTGCTTGGCTGCATCTTTGGTCAGTAAATGTGCTTGATGGAGACCAGAAACCAGCCCACGGTCGCTGGGCGGTCGCGGCAACCGGAACATCTAACCGACCCCGTGCACAGTGTCGGCCAACAAAACATCACAAGAAACAGTTGAAGAACCACACAGCCGAACAGAGGGCCCGGCCAGCTTCAGGAGGCGGGCCCTGATGAATTTCACAGGTTGTCCGTTCATGCTCTTCATTCACTTCTTTGTATCTTCGCTGGTAATTTTAACGCTACGCGACCCGCCTCGGCCCGGCCCAGCGCATCCGCGTGAGCATGGTGATTCCACAGCGCCCAAGTCGCTGGACCCCAAGCAATAAGGGTTGGGTTTAGGGTTTAGGGTTTCGGGTTTATTGTTTTATGGTTTGGGGTTTAGGGTTGAGGGTTATAGTTTAGGATTGAGGGCTTAGGGCTCAAGCTTTGGGGGTTTTTTGGGGTAGGGTTGAGCCAGGCCCCTCAAAGGGGGGGGGGGGGGGGGGGGGGGGCAGGGTTGGGGGGGGTAGGGGGGGGGGTAGAGGGGGGGGGTGGGGGGTGGGGGTGGGGGGGTAGGCGGGTAGGGGGGGGGGGGGGCAGTGGGAAAAGGGGTGGGGGTCCTGCTGGGAGGGGCTTCAACTGCCTCTGGTCGTGGCGAACCGTCCGCTTGCGGACCCCGGTTTCCCAGGGGGGGTACCCAGTTGAGGCAAAAAAAAGGGGTCCGAAAAAGGGCTTTGGGTGTGGGGGGAGGATTTGGAGGGGGGTGCCTGTTCTGACAACCTATACACCTCCGGCCCGAGGCCTCGGCGGATTTTAGGGCAGCAAGTGATCTTTCTTTTGTTTTGTTCTCGCATGAATATATAATCCAACACCACCATTTTGGAACCTTCGCACCCGGCGACTTGTTCTGTGATCGACTCTGACGACGGCTTCTTGCTCAATGATGTGCTATTATGCTAGTGGTGTCCCAAATGTGTGTGCGCGTGTGAGGGAAATTCCACCGTCGTGGAGAGTTCGCCCGTGGGCTGTCGTTCTTTATGCCGGTTGCAAGCCGGCGAAAGCACACCTCAGCACACTTCCAGCACCAGAGCTTCTAAGCCGGAAGGTGAGAGGGTGCGACAGGCGCTGTCTTTACTCATGACTCCCCGATGTTAAGCTTCTTTTTGCTGGAGAAATTGATGCTGGCGCCTCAGTTGAACTTTACTTTTCCTTTCGCACACCAGCCATCTCATGACAGCACCTAAACTGCCAAATGGTACATGAAGCCAGGACATGGCAAGAAAGTACCGGCGCAAACTGAGAATAACGAGAGAGAGACCTCAGCCCCAGCCCCGCCTCTTCGCGCCTCGGGCGAGTCCGTCCTGCTGAGCCAGAACATGTGCAGATCTGCAGATTCGGCTTCATGAGGCGTGGTATCAATCCAATTGTGGCTGATTCCAAACCTCTTGAAACATCGACAATGTCGGTGGCAAAGCAAGCAAAGGCTTCAACAGGTCTGTCCATGTGTTTGGGGGGTATCCCGGCAGCCGCATGCTGTTGAATCCGTTTCGATTTCGAAGGCTGGAAGCTGTGAAGGTCAGATGCAACTTACAGATGAAAATATTCAAGTTGATGAAGGCACTCTGAACGCTGCGAATCTCATTTGCAAAGCTCGTGAACTCACTCAGGATGCCAAGCTTGGGGAGGACCCGCTCTCGCCAAAGTTCCGTCGACAGACCTCCGACCGGCACCTTGGACTTGTGCAAATGCAGAGATTTGCAGCGTATCAGACAAGTTATCCGGGCGTGGCGTGACACACTCACACTGTCGGCTCTCAGGCTTTCGGCAAGGGCCGGTAGTGACACAGGCAACTAAGTAGCCGCTGTTGGATCGCGAGCTGTTTGCTGATCAACGGGTGTAGATGTTTCCGCCTGCGCAAGCTCTTGCAGCATTTGGCCATGTTTGGCCTCGGCGGAAACGGACCTGCACCAAGACCATGAGGAAAGAGCAGACACAACAACGACCGACACCCACAACTGCGGCAGCACCACCGCTGCAGACCCCGACCGGCCATGAGAAGCACCAGGCGAACTACCAACAGCCGCTGACACCACCCGGGACGTGGACTCCGGCGAGCCAAGAGGAAGAGGAAGAAGAATCAAAAGAAGCAGAAGGAGAAGAAGAAGGATAAGAGGAACAAGAATAAGAAGAAGAAGAGACAAAGAGACAGCCATAAGGCATCGAGCAGTTCACATCCGCACACTGGTCTCACACACCAACAGGCGCGCGGTGAAGCATGGCCTTCGGGGCGGCCCTCCGGGGTCATTTGCGCGGCAAGCAAGAGAGAGAGAGTGTGGGGGTATGGGTCGAGGGCCAAGGTCTCGTGCTCTCTCTCCTCCAACCGCCAACCGGAGGCCCCCCGAATACCGGGGCGGGCGAGGACGCCCGGGGGTTCGCCCCCATGCCCCCAAGAAAGAAAGAAAGAAAAGAGAGAGGCCCATTCGGGGGTTAAGTAAGATAAGTGCGTAGGAGGAAGGGAAGAGAAAGAGAGAGGGAGAAGGGAGAAGGGAGAAGAGAGAAGAGTGCCCAAGGCCGACAACACCTTTGTCGGACAGCGTCCTTTCGGAACGCCTGGCGGCCCTTGACCAGCGCCTTTCAGAGATTGAGGCGGGATGTAGAGTAGTGTAGAGTTTGCACATCGACGACTGTATGCAGAGTTGTGCACTTGTAAGCCCAAAGAGTTCAGTTCTCTCACATGCAACCTGTTCCCCCCTGGGACCCAAGCGGTCAGAACGAGCGAAACACGCTGCTGCTGGAGCGCCGCCGCCTGGTTGGTCGAGATGTCATGCCGGTGACTTGTCGAATGTTTGTAACCTTGCTGAGCGGGGGTGTCTGCTTGGGGGACTGACCCGGTCCGCATGTGTAATTGACGTTGTGACAATAAACCAGACGTGCTAGGACCGGCATTCTGTGGTGTCATCTAAGGACACGAGCCAGACCCTGAAACGTGAAATCAGTCTTCAACGATACCGGGAGGACCCCGCTACCAAAGCTTTAAGTGGAGTGCATTAACGGTTGGAACTGAACATGTGATGCAACGCAGGAAGTTGGCTTGGACTGATGCGGGACATGCTTCAGCACTGTCCTGCAGCCCCGGAGTGAGTCCTTGCAGGAGGGCAGGGGATCAAGGTAAGTTGCGGACAATTGCTGAGTTTTGCGTGCAGCAATTCAGGTATGGCGTGAGTTGATCTTCTTTCATAGAAGCCTGGCCTCCGCAATTCTATGGCAGTTGTATGCTTCGAATGAGCTGGCACAGCTGCCCAGCTGCCCTAAGAAACAAGAGGTAGCACAGACACTTTGTATAGTCCCTGTTTCGATCAAAGATTCGTTTTGTCAAGTTCCCCTTGTTGCAATTTGGAGACTTGGCTTGAAGGCTGCATTTGTCCAACGCTTCACATGCCAATGCTCACATCCAGGGCTTTACCAGGACTGTTGCGAATCTCGCATCTGCAACATGGTGTGCGAGGTGATGCAACGGCTCAGACACTGATAGGTAATGTTATGCAATGATCTTGCGCACCAACTTCGCTGTGAGGGTAGATGCTGTGGTGCTTGTTTGGGAGCCCTGCTGTTTGTATATCCACCTGTTTGCGGTGCTTTTTCACCGCAGGGTGCGCATCTTTGGAACATGCTGCGTTGCTTGCCATTTGAGCTTGCCAGCATGCAACAGCTCTGACATCGCAGAGGCGCAGTTGTGTGCCTTTGGGAAAATGCGTGCGTAGAACATGCATCCGCCACAACACCTCGGCGTCTCTACACAACTTCTGCAACACGAAGCAGGGCCGGTGATGTAGGTATGGCAGGTAAAGGCGGGGCAACTGCAGCATCAGCATGCAGACCGAGAGTGCGCGAGCGATGGAGAGGTGGGGCCACCGCTAATCCGCCAATGGAACCGAGAGAGCGAGGGACTCCCTCGGCCCAGGACACCCCCTCGTCTCACCCCCACGAACCCTCATGCCAAGCGGGGCTTGTGGGGGCCCGCTTGCGCAGCAAGTGGACAGGGCTTTGTCTGACGAGCAAGGCCATGCATCGTCACATGGACTTTTTGGGGAGGGGGATCGGTGAGGGTTCAAAGATTCTGAGAGAGAGGGTCGGCTGACTAGGGCTTCGGGCCTCAAATGTCAAAAGACTTTGAGAAAGAGGGTAGGTACAGCGGGGCCGCCCTGAACCGCCGTTCACTCTAGGACAAAGTCTGGGGAAGTTCGGGCCTGGCTTTACATTTAAGTATTGCCATGCTTGGTGATGCTTTACACTTTGCTTGCCTGTATTCATGGATTCTTTCGACCTTGGAGAGATCGGCGCTGCTGCTGAAGGCATCCTGCAACGCACCGCAGAACTTGGTGGGACGTCCCTCTGCTCGAGCCTGAATTGGTTCCCACATTATCAAATCTGACATTTGCAATGTTTAGTTTTCAACATGACGCCCGCACTTGTCATCTCAGGTTGCCCAGCTATGGGTTGTGGAGTTCGAGGTGTTCATGTGTAGAGCGTAGGGCGACTGTTCTGTTGTCCACGTATGAGTGTGGTGTATCTTGACAGGTTTTCCACCACAAGTTGCAGCACGCATTGGCCTGGCTGTTCTAGCGGAGATTGCTTTCAGATGAGATGCCTTCCGATAGATGGCCCACAAGGGGCTAGTCTTCTCATGGTGCTATGCATCACCTCGCAACGCTTTGCAGGACAGCTGTGAACAGCACCCGCAGGTGCAGTATGTGGAGGCTGGTGGGGGCTGTCCGCATGGGTTCAATGTGTGTTTACGAAGAACCTCGACCGGTTTTTGGTGATCCGAGCAGCTTTTGGTGATGATAACATCCAGGTGTTGATTTGGGATTTCAGGGAAGCTTCTTTGTGATTTTGCAAGGTTCGCTTCTGGGAACAGCAAGTTCTGCAAGCATGGGTGGAGGAGGCTCAGCAATCCTTCTTGCGGAGATGCCGCATGGTGCTGCCTGTGTGCTTTCGAGCCGAAGCACCTCACATTGTGGGAGGCGGTTGTCCACAGAGAGCTGGCGGAGGTCGAGGACCGTTTGATGGTGGGTAGCATCGGATAGCAAGTGCACCAGGATTTCTCGCTTTTGGCTCGGTCTTCATACATGGCAGCTTGGATCAGATTGCAGTCGCTGTCTGCAAGGAGTTGCAGGCCCCCAATTTCCTGTTGCTTGAGCTGCGATATTGCATTTGCTGGTACATGAGCAGGGCGCATGGGATGCGTAAGGTGTTTGTGCGTGGATGTACGGAATGGGCTTATGTCTGCGTTATTCACTAGGCATCATGGGGCATCGTTCAACTGTCGAAGCGCAGGTGTGCCAGGAGTTCACATCTCAGGTCGGGGATGACTTGGCGCATCTGACACTGTTTGCCTTTGCTTGATCAAACATATCAGACTCTGTTTCACTAAGGCTATGGCAAGGCAACACTCTGGCTGTCTGGACCGAGCAGACGCTTCAGGTGGCCGTGAAATGCACTCCTGTCACATGGCACTGCCCCGAACAACAAGCCGATGCTTACAAGGCTGAGCGCGGCATCTGCTGCATCTCGTGAGCGCTGTAGAAACGAAGTGGTGTGCAGTTCGTCGCTGAAACAAACCACCAAAACACCATGGTCCCATATGGTCCCCGTCCTGTCGAGTCTCTGGAGACGCCAGCTTTGCTGCCAACCCAACGAGCCGGGAGCCGGGAGACCCTGTGCTTGTCGCGCATCGCCCCACGTGTGCGTTTTAGGGTGTTCTAATGTCAAGACTGTACTACTGTTGGCATGTGCCCTCTCACAGCACCCATTCCTGTCGCCCACTCTGCAATCGGCACGCCCAAAGTGGTGTCAAGCAGTAGCCTTTCTGGAGTTTGGGCAATTGGCAGCATTCAAACAAGGGGGGGGCTCGTATGGTAACTGGCATGCTGCCAAACATGGTAAACCGACACCGCGCGTGCAACTCGCACGGGGCTTATTCGGGCTTGCATGAGGATGATCTAGTTCGCACGATTGCATGTCCCCTGCGTTGCAAGAATGTCTTGCGTCGATTAGCGGTTGCACATGCTGTTCATCGCATGTGCGAGGGCTCGGTCTCGGCAAAAAGGCTAAACTGCATAGGCCGCTGCCGTAGCTGCACCCTCATCCCCGGGTGTGGTCTGGGTGTGTGCTGGTCCTGCATCGCCGCTGGTGCACAGTTGCCCTTTTAGTCCTTTTGCCTGTTGCGGGCACAGACAAAAACTGTTGAGAGTCCCCCATGCATTCCTGGTATCAAGAAATTCCAAGCGAGCGGCTGCACTGAGATTGCAGGAATGCGGAGGTGAGGTTAACTTATCATTGTGGAGGTGAAGGTTAACGACTTTCACACACGGCCGCATGCGACTGGAGTATGGCTCGTCAGTTGGAGAGTAGTTGGAAGATGCGCAAAGCTTTCATGAACCAGCCATATGTGCATGAGCATGCATTGTTGACCAGATACATGGAAAACTTGAAACTGTAGTTGTGACGGTTTCACAATCCGCACCCTGGAAACCAGGGCTAATTGCAGCATGGATTGCTCGCACTTAGTGGCCAAAGCAGTGGAGCAGCTTGGCCTTCAACGGATTGCTTTTGTTGTTTTTAGATAGCCATTGGAGGCTTAGCTGAGCTATCGAATGTCTCGACCGCCTGAGGTCATGTTTCAATATGGATGGTGACCTCAAAGTCGAAGCTCAGCAGAATTCACTCGGGAGCGCAAAGGCAATAGGCCTTTGAGGATCCATATGAGATACTGACATACTTGTTTCACTTGCCTTCGGCATCCTTCGGCCATATCATGAATACCTTCCTGGTTTCCTTCTCCTCGTTGAAGCCACAGGCGGTGTTGTGCAACGGCTCCGTGAAGGCGGAGTTCCGTGTCTACTCAAAGCTGCTCTCTGCGCCTTGGAATGCCAATTGGATGCCGAATTGGATGTTGACTTTTTATTTGCGACCATGAAAATCAAGAAAAAAACAGAGCAGAAGAGGTCCTGCTCGGCATACCGCTCTCAGCCCACGCCTCTGCTCTGCCCAAGAACTCGTTGCCCTTTGCCCTTGCCTTATTCCCCGGACCTTCGAGTGCCCTGCCAATGTCAGACACTGGCTTTCAAGTATCCGCCCGAGTTTCAGGATTCCTGCAGCAGCATTCCGCGCCAATCCTTGTGGTAGTTCTGCCCGAGCTTAATGCAGTGGCGGCCAGACCGGAGAGTCTAGAGAGGTAGAGGATGTCGCCAGGCGGCGCACTGCCGACCTTTTCGTCCCAGCTTACCTCGGCTCTCCTGTTGTATTCGACTTGGCGCGCCGCACGTGGCCACTATACGAAGGTCAAGTCGGGGCACCGGGACACAGCGCAGATCGGCCCCTACACTTCGTGTCGCTGGTGGCAGTGTCTAAACTGCCCATGCGCCGGAGGGGGGCTGACCCCGTATGCCCTCTCTGCGGGCTGGGGTGCTGGGTTGGGCGTCGGCCTCTCCGGCTCTCGTGGGTGGGTACAGGTTCCATGTGAAGGTCTTTTGTCGTTTTGTGCCGCCGTAGTGCCGCCCTCAGAAGTACTTGTAGGTGTCTTAAGCCATGTTTTGGCTGCAATGCCTGAAGCCCCTTATGCTGTGCTCATGTTCGCAGCCGCTTTTTGGGCGTCCACGCCAGTTTCGTCAGTCCCCTTTTTTCGGTGTCCTTGCTACGATGTGTTGGCGCATTCAACGTAGTTCTGGCTAATCGAAACCTGGACGGGGCCAGAACGGCTTGAAACCCTGCTGCCCACGGTTCCATAGCAGCTGCAAAACCTCCTGTCGCAGGCACGGGCAGATGTTCTTAGTGTCTTTGAGGTATTCGGAGAAGTTGTCATTGGGCCGGCTGCGCGGCATGAAGTTCTGTCAGCTTGCCCACTGCATGCTTGCCCCATCTAGCCCTTAACGCTTGAATGGGTTCCCTCCTGTCGTGACCCCACAGCGTCCCCGAATCTCAGGGCATTCTTGTGGGAAGAGAAGCGTCAGCACTACTCTGCTGTTGAAGGTTAATCCGACCTGTCGTAGTGTCGTAATGGGTAGCCATCCCATCGTCCAAGACGCTTACGGCACCAAGGGCTGGTCTCCGACATTGGCGCATCAGGTGGAGAGGACCGGGGGAAGGCACAGCAACCCAGCAACCCAACAACCCGAGAGCGACCTTGATTTGAATGCAGGCACACCAAATAGTCATGTGAAGCAGATATCGGCTCTTTCCATGTCTTTCCTTACGCAGCAAGCCCTGCAGCTCGGAAGCGCGAAAAGCAGAATTGAGGATGCTGCCCAATTGTTTTTGTGAAGGTGGGCTTGTGGCGTTTGCTCATCACAAGGTGGGAGATCATGAACTTCTCCACAGCGGCCGTCGAGGCTTTCTTGAGGCAGCGCCCGTGGCTTTCGTGCAACCTTGCTGTGTGGTGACTGGATCGTGAAGAGGTTTCTGTACTCTGGCAAGCTGTCGACAAACAAGACTGTTGCAGTGGAAGCTGCTCTAATGGCGGAGATCTATGACATCCAGGAGCCCAGGGCACATTGAGAGAGACATGCGTTGAGGTACGGTTCATGATTGTGGTCGTTTGTTGCTTGTCACTCTGACGACTCTTGTGATGAGTTTTCTGTCTGAAGCTGCATCACTGTAAGATGTCCTTGTAGTACCGATGGCTTGATCCCATTGTAGCACGCGCCAAGAAAGACATACCTCAAGTTCAACTTGGCAAAAACGTAGGCGCTTCTAGCTTTGTAAAGCTGAGCGAATGTGACGTGGATACTGGGGCTGCTATAGGTGCGCACCTCTCGGCGGTTGTGGCCGTGCATGTTTAGCATAGACCGCATGCAACAGTTCCCACTAGGGTAGTTGTAACTTCTTTTTTTTGCTTAGTTGTAACTTAGTTGTTTTTTGCTTAGTCGTGACTTTTTAGTACCGGGGCACCCTAAACCCTAAACCCTAAACCTGCGAAACGGGTGGGAACTAATCCCTAAACCCTAACCCCTAAACCCTAAACCGTAAACCCTAAACCGTAAACCCTAAACCCTAAACCCTAAACCCTACTACCATATAGCCCTAACTATAAAACAGGAATTTGGCGATTTGATCCATTTTGGCCAGTCTGACCCTTTGACCTCCCGTGGTTCAGCACGTTAGGCAGTTTGATCCATTTTGGCCCCTCTGACCCCTTTGGCAGCTTATTGTTCAGCACGAATGAGGCAATCTCTGACGCCTTTGACCCCCCATTGTTCAGTGCGGTTGGCAGGCTCTGCAGCTCAGCAGAGCCACGAAGCGCACAGGTTTGACTCAGGACTCAGGGTTCCTGGATGGAATAACTTGAGGCCTGTGTGATTGTCTGGCCTCTTGGTGCGTCTGAAAAAGAAATTAATGAACTTTGTATTTTCATAATGTTATGGGACTCTTTGGGCGGGTGGGTTTTTTGCCGTTGCCTACACACACTGCTGGCCTAGTAACTGTTCGAACTTGAGATGCTGAACCCTAAGCCCTAAACCCTAAAACACTAAAACCCTAAAACCCTAAACCCTAAACCCTAAACCCTAAACCCTAAACCCGACCGTAAACCCACTTGAAGCCTGTAACGGACTGCACATGCTGCAATTCACAGCATTCGCAGTTTGAGGCCGAAACAAAAGTTATGGGCAGCAAGGGTTTTGGCACCCCTCCTCGGGAAACGGCACGGAAAAAGTTACGAGCAAGCAAAACAAGAAGTCACAAGCAAGTAAATGTAGCGAAAATACAAGAAATTACAGGTAAGCAAGAAGAGAAGTTACAACTAAGCGTGCTTCCTCGTGTGGCCCTCACCTTCAAGCAGTGTGCCCTTGTAGCGCTGCTACTAACCGTGGCTGCGGCCCTCTTGATCTCGTGCACATCTCGTGAAGTTGCGCACAGAAGCCGCCTTGGCCTCATGGATTCATCCCGCATCGCCGGGTGTCGGATGCAGAGTTATGGCCCCAAGTACGGCCGTTTTGCTCCGCCCTCAGAATGCCGTGCAGGGCATCTAGATTTCATTTGGGATAACTATGCCCACATGCAACCGGAACAACAATCCGCGGCAACAGCGCTCTACTACCACTCAGCCAAATAGGACGACATGACAGAAGACAGGACAAGAAGGAGGACAGATATGAGAAGAGATAGCAGCAAAGGAGACAGGACAGGCAAGAGGACTGATACGAAGAGAGATAGCAAGGCAGAGGAAGCAGGACAGGTAGGAGGACAGCTAGGTCTCCATCCAAGACAATCCAAGACAGGTGGGTTGAGCTTGTTGTTTTGTGACGCAAGACAAAGGCGAGTCTGCCGGTCGTACAAGTGGTACTCCCAGCAAGTAACGCTTTGGGACAGGTTGGGGTGCTCGAAATGACACGTTTTTGGGACGCCAGCACTGAGAAGCCTGCCGGCCTGCTGTTCTTTGGTGCAATCACCGGCCTGAGAACCTGGGGCTCGAAAAGGCCCTTACTTGAGAGCGCCATCGCTGACCCTGTGAACCGCCGCTTTGCGGGCAATCGCGGTCTCCCTGTGAGTGTCAAAATTGTGTGCAAGGATTTGCAGAATGTTTCCATCCATGGTCCCCCTCTACAATCTTGCACCCACTAAGAAAATTGAAAATTCACACTTCGAGCATCCCCACCCCGTCCTAAAGTGTATATTTGTGGGGCATACCAATTTGCTCAGACTAGAAGTTCCAAGAACGAAAAGCACACTTGCCTTGTTTTGCGTAACAATACGACGAACAGCATCAGCTTCAGCTTGTCTTGGTGGCTTGACATGATCATAGACCAAGCACAGTTTTCGCAATATTGGATCAGGAATACGCTTGACTAAGGCTAAGGCTGTGGTGGAATGCATTGACGGATTTCAAGCCGAGCACAGTTCTTTGCAAAGTAAAGCTGCTGGTGGTTTGCGTTTTCACCACACGCGCCAGGAACTTACAAGTTTAAGATTACATTCGCAACTCTAAAGAAAAGCCGCGAAAAAACTCATTAACTAATTCGCCATTCCTGCATCTATCCTTGGGTTTTTGATCATGCACATGATGAAAAAAAACTGTCAGCCAGAAAGCCAAGCGCCTGATGGGGTTTATCATTAACTTTCCGTGCGTTGTCCAAACAAGGTTGACGAGGGAACTTGATGAAGATTCGTTCGGGCAGGTAGGGTGCAAGGCTGTCATTGCCTACATACCATAATGGGCGTACGGAAAACAAAGGAGGGTCAGGGGGTGACATGGAGTGTTGTCAAGGTTGAGGCGGCTTTTTAAACACATTAATTACTTGTCGGCTCCTTTTAAGTCAACTCCTTGTGGTTGCCGTTCGCATCAGTTGTGTCCTTGCTGTTGTCAGTCTTTATATTTTTTGCTGATGATGGTCCAGCATCAAAAGGTGGGTGACAAGGTGTATACAAGTCTTCACAGTACTTCCAAAGAATAGCGGCATTGCACGTGACCTGCTCCAGGAGCCCTCCAAGATTTGCGAATCAATGCTGTTGCATGGCACTTCTCTAGCTGATGTTTACGAAGCTCGTCAAGTTCAGCCGCAGCCACTTGCGGACCACTTTTTTAGCTGGATCAGTCCAGAATGAGGTGCCTGACGGCGGTAGTGACGCAGCCTCTTTTTCAGTTGTGGGCTGTAGATGGCTGAAGATGACTGTCGATGGCTGCAAGTGGCTGCAGATGGCTGTAGATGGCTGTAGATGTCGGTAGATGTGTGTTGGCGATGCGTTGGAAGCTCCGATGTGACTTCGGCTCCGAGGCCATGTTGGAAGTGGCCCATCGGTTTCCGGAAGTCGGCGACAGCCTGCGAGGGGCCTGCCTCAGATGCCCGGCAAGAATCCAATTAATGCAGCTTATGCAAGAAGAGCGCCAGTCATCAAAACTGACAGCGAAGCGATGTGTCCACCGCACATCGCCCCAACATGTAATAATGTAATACAATTTCGTCTTCCCTGGTGTTAGGAGCTCTTCTGGCAGATCCAGAACAAAGCCTCCAGGATGCTTGGACGCTGAGCCCAAGGCTGCTGGAAGAGTTATTGGCGACGGCAACGAATGACGCTTGCATGTCTGTATGTTGCCATAACTTTCCAGAATTTCATTTGGTTAAGGTTGTTCGTCTTGGGGTCGGTGTTGAGCTGACTTGCTACTTGTGCCTGGGGTTGACCTAGTGAACCTTGTGCCGGGTCGAGCCCAGGATATTGGAGATTACGAGCTTGCAAAGATGATCCTTTCCTGGCAGGAACCTCTTCGCTTGTTGATATGCTTGTGTGTGACAGTTCATACATGCATCACGAGGCCCGTCTGTATGTGAGCCGTCGCTTATTTCATGTGGGCATGGGAGGAGAAGAATCCGAACCAAAGCTTCGCCAACATGCTGCAGGCCGATGCCGTGCCGTGCCGTGCCCGTCTTTCTACAAAGACCTAAAGTACCTAAAGTTCCAAGTGGAAGATTATAGGCCACGTGTAATGCGCTTTGCAGTCGCGCAAGGTGAAACTGGTCGATTGTTGTCAGCCTTTGCCAGGACCATGTGAGCCTAGGAGGTCTCAGTGAAGACCGCTATTCCGATATTCGTGCCGACCCCGGCGCCGCTCAGGCGGCTGAAAGGCTGAAAGGCTGAAAGTGTGTGTGTGTGTGTGTGCGCGTGCGTGTGTCTGTTCTCTAATGAGATGCCCAGACCAGCGGTTCGAGGTGCCTATTCAGAGCAAGTTGGCCTCGGTTTTGCAGTGGATCAGATGTGGGCACAAGCTCAGGCTAGGAGTGAACGTTGATTTGTTTGGCTTTGGTTCTGTCAACCTGTCAAACGGGTTCTTGCGAATGTGAAAGACTCGAAACTCTGCTGTCCATTGCTTAGATTAGGATGTTTTGCATGCTCCCCTGCTTTTTCTTGCACATGCTGTTTGCTGGTTTTTGCTGCTGATAGTGGCTGTTGCCGCAAGTTAGCGTGATCGAAGGCAAGGACATCAGGAGTTTTGGCGATCTTTTTGTTATGCTTGCTCTTTCATTGTGCAGCTTCCTTGTGTCTTGGTAACAGATGCTGCAGACACTGGAAACAGCTGGTTTGACTTGTTGTCGTCCTTCTCATTCTCGTCATCGAGTCATCCAGCTGCTGGTCGTCCTCGTCGTAGTGGTTGTGGTCCTTCAATCAGCCCCGCGAAACTGGATGGGGAGCATTTAAAAGTGGCAGGATGAGCCTGAGATGAACCGGCACCCAACAAGCCAACAAAGAAGCGCGAGCTGCTGATCCCAACTTTTTGGCCCCCAAGAGAGATGAAGAAATCTTGGGCCAATTCCACAATGTGACACTGCTTTCGAATGCGGCGCAAGGCAGGAAGCACGAGGAAGAAGCGTCAGAAGCATTAGTAACATCATCAGTAGCAGCAAACACTGCCCCGCAAACAGTGAACATCAGTGAGCCGGGAACAGGCTGTGTGTCCTCAGGGCAATGCTGTGTGACTTCTCGTCGCAAGGATACAAGACCGGTGGACTTCCTTGCAGAATGGAGAATCTGGAAGCCCAGAAATTCTTAAAGCACTTTAAAGAAGCGATGCAACTTCAAAAGCAGCCCAAATTATCAGGTGAAGGTTGTTTCATGCCTGTTTTCAGGAAACTGGTTTGTAGCGCCGTGCCGCATGCACAGGCTGCCACAGGGGATTGGACACCTGATTTGTTCAAGTACATGGAGGGGAAATGGCAAGACCAGCCGGTGGCTCAGTGAATCTCAGTGAAGCATGCAGGAAGGAAATAGGAAGGACATGGAAGGAATTGCAGCCTGAGTTCGCCTTGAGGTGCCAGGAGCATCGTCGTACGATGCCTTTTGTGGGCTGCTGGATCAATCTGATTCCAAGCAGTTTGGGATGGATGCTTGGCCAAGAAACGAGCTACTAGCAGCTGCTTCTAAACTACTAGCTGACATGTGCTGGTCTGGCTTTAGCTTGCCATGTTAGCATGTGGATGCATGTGGATGCGCAGGAAGCCGCCGCCTCACTCCCATGGGCCACACAAGGCGCAAGAGGAAGTGGCACGAAATGTGCTGAATCTGGAGCTGCAGCCAGGTACCTGCAGAAATGTTTGTCACGGCTGTTTGCAGCGAGGGGGAAGCACCTAATTGTTGAGTGCACACAATGTGCAGACACGCTGCCAGCTTCAGTGTCCCTGTCAAGGTGAAGCCATGACCTGGTTCCTTCCCATCCATACAATCCACGTGAGCGGCATCAGCTTCACCGACGCTCAGTGTAAGTTTGGTTGCGCATTTCGTTGCTCTTTGCAGCTGGTATTTCCAGATTTCTGAAACCGGCGGCTCGTTTCAACTGAGGACCCTGTACTTGGTCTGGTGGCCAATGGTGAAGCAAGTGTCGAAGTTTTCAGCCGCCTGGATTCACAGCCAAGTCGAATCGCTTTGGACCCGATTTGGTGTTGCAATGCGAAGGTTCCAGCAATGGATGTCACTGGGACTTGCTTTGGTCATCTGCGCGTAGCAATTTCTCCTGCCGTACGAAAGTGCCTGGGCCAAAACCACATTGGATAGAGGGCAGGAATCCTTGTAATAGTTGTCTTGAGGCGCGTTGTGGCAGAGACCTGCTGTCTGAAACTAAGGAGCGAGTTAGATGGTTCAAGCTGGGTGTCAAGCACCAACCCTTCTCCTCCAAGCTTCAGATACAAGGCGTCGTGCATGCCGGCTGAGCGAGGCGCTTATCGACGTCAAAGCTGTTCATGGAATTTTTCACAGGATGCAAATTCCTTTTAAAACGAAGTGAGCTTCTCACTTTACTCGGTAATTGGCCGCGTTTGGCCAGGGCCCTGAAATGCGCCGTCGCACAAGAGCGCAGTGCAAACAAGGGTGCTTGCCCTCCGCTGTACCATGGCATTTTGCATGCTGTTTTTGCGTTCAGCCCATTGGCAATGTCAATGACAAGGCTGCGCGAGGATGCCTGTGGCAGGGCCGTTGTGCTGACCCAGACGTCTTTCGCACTCCTCTTGCAGAAATTGGCTGTGTTCGATGCGAGGGGGACGCACACAGAACAAGTGCTTGGGCAATGTAACCTTTAAGTGATGTTGAGCGCAAAAGTACTATGGACTCCATGGACCCAAGATGTGAGCTGCGGCCCCGGAGCTAAAGATTGCTGGGCCGATGCCTCGGTGACTCCTTCACGTCCGGTGTGAAAAGGAGCCCGATTCGCAGCTAGGCATGCGAAGCTCTTGCACATGTCCGGTGCAGGGTGACTTAAGTCAGTAGACTGGTGACGCTGACAGTTTCTGAACTATACGCAGAAAGCTCATGGCTCATTCGAACTGTTGCATTTTGGCTCAGTAGTTGGTCTCCATTTTGGTTCGTCTCCAGCAGAGCAGCTTGGCTTTCACTCTGCAGTCGGCAGGTCAGCTGAAAATGTCCACGTGCAGATCCAATTGTTCTTCAAGGTGCCGTCATCTGCTCGGAGCGGCCGGACAAGGTCTCCATGCAACGCTGTTTTGCTGTGAGCCTCCGCGTCAGTTGTCTTGTGCTTTGCTGCATGGCTAAAGGCGACGCTTGTCCTCGTGCAGCTCATGTTTTGAAGGTTGCCACACGCTACTAAACGACTAAGTATTCGCAAGGTCCATCACGTGTTGTTATATTGCAGTCTATGCCGCATCATCTGTATCTGGCAAGTGCTATGCCATGAGCCGCGGGACCATGGCAGATTCCAGAAGTCGTAAGCCTCGGCTCTGCCTCTTTGCCTTCCTGGCCATCTCTTGGCATGCTGCCTTCCTTCTCCCACTACGACAATCAGACGTGAGATGCCGCCCTGGCCATTCTGCTATGAAGGCCAGCTGGCTGGAGATGTTGGAGGAAGCTGTAGGTGCTCCAACTCCCCAGCCAGCAAACCCAACTATACCCACCAGCGTAAAGCCATTGAGTGCTGAGCTGATGACCCGGAAACTGACTGCATTCGTCCTGGAAGAGAAAGGACTGGCCATGTCTGGGGAAGACTTTGATGTGAAAACCCCAGAGGGTGAGCTGGTTGTACGCATTGGCGGTGGAAACCGCGTGCCCATTCCAGGCATGCCTGTCTGGGATAAGTTGACCGTTTCCACAGCCAATGGCCAGCAAGTTGGCACACTGGAGCGACAGGCTTTTGCAATGACTGCCAGCTATGACATCCTGCGGCCGAACGGCAAAAAGTTTGGCAGAATCAGCAAAGCAATGTTTGCCTTGACGTCGACGTTTGAGCTTTACCAGGAGGATGACAGCGAGGGCGGTGCGCTGCTCAGGGCGGAGGGCTCCTTCAGTGACAAGAGCTATGTCATGAAGTCCCGACAGGGGCAGGCAGAATAAGTCCCAAGGTCCTAAGCCAGTCTTATAAAGCGGGAAAAGATAAGTGTCGAGGTTTTTGGCTCATGTTTCTTTGCTGTTGTTTACTGCCCCAGGTGGTTGCTACTGTCACAAGACTCAAAGGCTTCACCGGGGGCAACATCGACAACTACCAGGCCTGGCGGAAGGCTACCCCCCCTAAGTTGCATTAGGCAGCTAAGCTCCCGTAGCGGCCTATGGCCTGTGACAAGTCAGGCCCAGGTGCCCTCAAGCCCTAAGGGCCACAAAGCGCAGAGGTCATTGTCGGGGAGAACGTCGATGCCAGCCTTGTGCTTTCCATGGCTGTCGTCATTGATGAGATACATGACGAAGAAAATCCTCAAGAGGCAGGGGCTGAAACTCTCCCTGACATGCTTGAGGATGCTCAAGGCTTGCCGATGCCCAAAGCGGCAAGCCCCATGATTCCGACCGGCACACCACCGCTGGATCCCGAGCTCGTGCATGCAACCGCTACAGCCTATGAGCTTGAAGAGAAGGGACTGTCCATGTCTGGAGAGGACTTCGAAGTGAAAAGTCCTTTGGGGCAAGTTCTCCTTCGAATTTCTGGCGGCAATCGTCTACCGTTGGCGGGCATGCCGGTCTGGGACAAGCTAACCATCTCTACAGGATCAGGAGGCGTTGTGGCCTCCCTGGATCGCGAGATGGTGGCGATGACGCCTACTTATGATGTGATGCGCCCGGACGGGTCAAGGTTTGGAAAAATCGCAAAAGCCATGTTCGGCTTCACTGAGACCTTTGAGTTTTTCTTGGAGGGCGATGCCGGTGGACCAGTCTTGAAGGCCGAAGGAAGCTTCAGCGAAAGGTTCTTTCAGTTCAAAAGTCGAGAAGGCACTGTTGTGGCCACAGTTGGGCGTGGCTATTACCAGACAGACAATGAGAATCGGTATCACGTGGTCGTTGGCCCCCAGGTAGATGCCACCCTTGTGGTGGCTATGGCCTTTGCCATTGATGAGGTTCATGACGAAGAGAATGCAGGTGACAAGCCCGAGACTGAAGAGGGCGGCTGGCCATTCCGATAGCAAGGCGAAGGTTGGCTAACATCGCCGCAGTTCTCAAATCAAGCGCTCAGTCCAAGTCTTTGCGTATCTTATCCCAACACTAGAAACTTTTAAATTCCAGGAGCGATGCGCGAAAAAGGGGCTCCCACCTGCCTGTAAGACTTGCTTTTCGACTGAGCGTGGCCACGTCTGCTTTCGGGGCCTTTGCTGCCCATCACTGCGCAATACTACGCATCAGGGCAATGGCCGATGATGCGGAGACGTTACCGTGTCTGAGCTGCAAGTGGCATAGTGGAGTGCTTGCGAGAACTGGACTTGACGTTTCTAACCCCCCGAAGCCCAGCAACCGAACGCCAGTCGCGCCAGGCTGGATGGTGCAGGGCAACCTGAGCCTGCCTCTGCCGCCGAGGGCGCGAAGGCTGCGCCATGCCGAGATCGCTCTAGCCAAGATGCTCCCACAAGCTGATTTCTCTTGTGCAGAGATTCTCCCTGCACCCTGGCTCTGCCATGTGCTCATTTGCTTGCGAGGAGGAACCAGCAAAGAAGAAAAGGGGAAGGCCCAAGGAGCTTTGATAGCAGCCTCATGTGGCCCATGACTCTGGCCCAATGTCACAATGTGTGTTATGGAGAGGATGCGAATGCCCCTCCAAAGCCAAAGACTCCCAAGATGCGTGCTTGCACCTGAGATACCTGAGATACCTTTCGACATTTTCATGAGCCGTTCGAGAATGCAAGGTAAGTGCGTTGCCATACCTAGCTCGCACAACCACGATGCTGCAGGTCACTGCCCCTGCTCGAGAGCGTCTGAGAATAGAAAGGCGATCGATAGCGCTTGTGCAAAAACAAGTAAGCCTGTGAATCACGCGTTTTGCCTGAGCCCTTCACGAAGATTTCGCCTCGCAGGCCGGAACTTGCCGCAGATCTCAAAGGCATGATGGCTGCCTTGAATGAGATCTGGGAGCAGGCGAGCTGCTGAGTAGCAGCATGGTGCCAGAGCACGATTGGACAGAGTTTGATTTCTAGGGTTCAGCTCAGGTGCCCCAAGAAGAGAAGGACAAGATGGAACAAGAGCTGTGTCCCTGGGGGGCTTCTGGGATGCGCAGAAGCAGGCAACAGCGAGCCGAGGTTCCAGAAGGAGATGGAAATATGGCAGCCAAAGTGGGAAGCGTACAAGAAGACCGATTCCTTCAAGGAGTTCAAATGCTTGAAGCAGGCACCACAGCCTTCCTGTGATGTGCTCAGGGGCAGCGCCGCAATGGAAGAATGAACTTCTTGCGAGCGTCCAACGTCCGCAGGACTACCTTGATCGAAAGGAGAAGCGGAAGTTCTTGAAAGCGGCGGCGAAAACCGCACCCAAGAAGCCTCTTGGCTTTTGCCGGCAACAGTGCAGCTTCTCAGTGGATCTGAATCTACTTCCCCCTACTTGTTGTCGCGGGCATTTTTTTGTTGTGCTTGTGTACTCTGCTCTGCCAGTGCTGTGACCGGTGACAGTATCTTTAAGCCTGACTGTCTTGTGGTCAGAACTTGATCCTCCTAGTGCAAGGCCGAAGTCCGGCTACATGCTTTTTAGCGGCGAGATGCGAGACAAGGTCAAAGAGGCCAGGGCCGTGTCAGTGGTGAAATGTGGTGAAATGTGGTGAAACGTGGTGAAACGTGGTGAAACGTGGTGAAGAATGACCTGCTCTCAGGAAGTCATGTCCGCTGGTGGGTCCTTGGGAGATATTGGGAGAAGAATTGCTGACCTCTGGAAAGAGTTCGGGCCTGAGCAGAACACGGCGTTGCTTCTAGCAATGCGCAGCTTCGACTTGCTGCCGTGCGTATGATCAGGCTTCCAGAGTCAAAGAAGGCAGAATACGATGAAATATCCCAAGCACAGAAAGAGGAGTGCCTGGCCTTGAAATGTTGCGCGAAGGTGTTGGCTGCTTCTGAAGATATGGAGGAGTTGAATTGCATGTCTTGGCCGTGTCTCAGGTTTCGAGTGAAGTTTGCGGAGTACACAAAAACGGATGACTTCAAGGACAGGGCGCCGAGAGTCAGCCGAGACTCAGCCGAGAGGGCTGGCGAAGAGCCGGCTGGCCAAGAGGTCAGAGCTGAGCGTGTCGAATCATGGAAACGCTTTTTGCCAGGTATTCCAGACCAACAAGGCGAAGATGGAAGGCAAACATGAGCTGAGAAAGCTGTTGCTGAACACCCACAAGGACTTGGCAAGCTGCTGTGTGCCACTTGAGGTTTAAGGTTGCCAAGGGGGCTTGAAAAGATCTCAGAGGATTGCTGCCAAGGGGCAGCCGGTGTGATTCTGGGCAGGAAGCTCCGGACAGGCCGAAGAACGCCTTCGCCTTGTTCAAAGCTAAGCATCTCAAGCAAGCAATGGAGGAGCCTCACGAGTGTGAGAGTGGCGAGAGGACTGAGCTGCAGATTGCGAGGATGTATTGTGAATGCCTCTATCAGGAGCACAAAGGCGCAAGCGCAGGCGAACTCAGACTCTTGGCCATTGAGGGGAGATCCGCCCTGGGACATGATGGCACATGTTGGCAAGAGTTGTGGCAGTGACTGGCGATGTGTGCAAAAGAGGTGTGATGTTGCTTCATGAAGGTAATTGCTAATTACCCGTAATTGGCGCCCCTGCCCTTCTGAAAGCATTGCTCGGCATGGCGTCGCAGTAACTGCGATGCAAGGCAAGATCGTTAGCGACATGTGGAAGAAGGCGGAAGCAGAAGAACGAGCTTCTTTTGAGCAGGAGGCTTCTGCAGCAGAGTCCGAACCATGAGCTAAAGAGATGCTACAGAGAGCTGGATAAATGCTGTAATATGCTGCAAATGCCTTTCGCAACATCAGGCGGCAGCTCTCAAGAAAGAGTACTTGCAGCGCCTTGGCAAACAGCCTGCTCACGTTATTTTGTTCTGCCGGATTAGGGTGATGTGGTGCGAATGCTTGACACTGAGGAAAGTGGCCGACTTCAAGCGAAAGCAGGCTATGGGGGTGGATGTCAAGTCAGGACCAGCGTTGTAGATGCTTTGGCCGAGAGGTCTATGTGCATTTTCTGCAGAAGCGCGTGGTCGTCAGAACCAAAGAAGCTTGGCAAGACAGCATGTGTGGTTTCTTAGGTAGGAGATGCTTCTGTGCGCTGCTTTGTGAAAGCTTACGCAGCCCTCTCCCCCCCACCCCTGCGCCAGTGAAGGAGAATCGCAGAGTGAACCTGAACGACATGCCCAAGAAGCCAAAGAGCGTGATTTCGCTGCACTGAGTATAGTCGGGCATTTCGATGTTCCATGCCTCCATGTCTCAGTCTTCTGAACAGCAAACTGATCGTCATATCAGCTTGGCGGCATTCCCATTCGGACGCGTTCAGGACATGTTCCGCACAAAGCCAACCATCGTTGTGAGGTGTATGCCCTATTTAGAGATGACATCAAGGATGAGGTGCCCAAAGGGAAGGGCGAAGGAACCGCAGCGGCACTATGCTGCGCTGGCTTGAACTCGAGCTGTGGCTTTATCCGGCTTACGGCTGTGGCGCTTGTTTTAAGGCAAAGGGATGAGCTTCGTCAAAAACAAATTTGCCGACATGAACGATGACGAGATGCTTGGTTGCATGCACCTTGATTTTCTGCATGATATCCTGGTTCGTGCTGTGGCTGTCAGGAAGAAAAAGTACATGGAGAAGGAAGCAGAATTGAAACAACAGTACAATGAAGAAGTCAAGACGTACAAAGAAGGCGAGCGGTACAAGGCCAGCAGATTTCTGATCCTCTAACATGAGGGAGTCGCATCTCCGTGACCGAACCTTCTACCTTTTTCCCAGTTCCTGTTTGAAGCTCTTTCCCTTTCTGCTTAGGAGTTCGAGAAGACCACCGGCAAGATCAAGCGAGAAATGAAGAATGAAGCCATGAAGGTGGGATGAGTCGAAGCGGCGGGGTTGATGGCTGCTTCTAGCTTGAATCTGCTGCGAAAAGTGCAGCATCCCAGCTTTTGAAGGTGATGGCCCTGAAGTACGCTGCACCTCCAGAGCCACCAAAGAGTCCATTTGCCATCTTCGTTGGCGAGAAGAGGCCCGAGAGCTTGTTGGCTGAACTTCGAAGATCGAACCCGACCCCCTGAAAGGCGTATGTCCGAGGAGCCAAACGACTCAAACGGAGCACCTCCGAAGAAGAAGAGCCGCGAAGAAGCCAAAGCAGAGGCTCGGGACTTGGGAAAAGGTAAGAAGAGTACCGATCTATCTTCAAGGTAGATGAAAAAGAGAAAGTGTACTCGAGGATGAAAGTAAAAGTTCTTAGTACCAACAATCTTTTCCTCCATTAACATTTATTCCAGAGAAGATAGAAGTCATAGCTCCTAAAGAAAGGACAAAATGGAAATGGTGCTACAGCAGAATATGTTTCATGTAATCCTAGATCCTGTCATTTGCAGGTTGCAAAGTTCAAGGAGGAGTGGGCCAAGCTTGACAAGGCTGGCCGGCTAGCCTTGCTCTGGATATGGAGCCATGTGGAGCTGCAAGAAGCTGCAAGAAGCGGCAAGTCGGACTGTAGTGAGCAGGCAACCAAAAAAGAGTATGAGGACAAGCGAAAGGAACGATTCAACGAGTGGAAAGAGCAAGTGAAGGCCCACATGGACAAGCAGGAATGGAAGGCGGAGCAGAGTCCCAGTTTCTGAGATCGGCTGGGTCTGGCTGGCCTGCGGGTTTCTCAGGATTACGTCGAGGAAGCCAAGATGCTCAAGGTTCCAGTGAAGAACTTGCTGTCAAAGAAGAAGCTGGCGTGGCTTGGCCACATCAGCGCCGACTTGCAGCCATTCGTCATGCTGCCATTTGTCTTTGTAACTATGGTCGTCAACCGCACCTTAAGGTTTAAGAAGCTGAAGAACGGCATGAAGGTTCAACCCTTGCCCGAGAAGCCCGACAGCTTGCCCACGAAGCCGCCGAGTGCACAGAGGATTTTCTTCTCAGAGAAAAGGACACTGGGATGCGTAGGGGTAGAATTGCAAAGAAACATCGTTCAGCTTCACCAAGGCTTTGCCGCATCAAGCTGAGAGACCTCCCCCCGACCCATACTAGGCGTTACTACTTGGCCAGTTTGAAAGGAAAGAAGTCGAGGATTCTTCCAAGCTGCTGGAAATGTGGGGAGCTTTGCCAGATGAGGACTGGCAAGCAGCAATCACGTTTCTGATGGGAGAGGGGTCGCCTAGAGGCGTGCTGCGCAAGCTGTGCTCACCTTTCCTCTTGAATCTTGCAGCAGGAGCGTAAAGCCTATGAAGTCAAAGAGCAAGATCTTCTTGAGAAGTATCGTGAAGGTGTTCAGGCTTCGTGGGGTATATTCGGATACAGGGTGGCCGTGACTGTGCAGATGGCAGAGCCAGGGTGATGGACTTTGAACATGTGGTGTTCATTTGAGTTTGTGCTGTCGATGCGCGACGCCCTTGAAGCCTTACAACGCGCACATCTTTGATATGCAGGCTTTCGAAACCAGCGATGAGGGCAAGGAGTACCTCAAGAAGCTCAAGCAGGTACGGAAAAGCAATGCGAGCCTTGGCTAGAGGTTTTGCAGCGCTTGCTGAATGTTCTTTTTTCAGTTTTGGCTCGTCAAGGTACGGCAGATACAAGCTTCGAGCTTGTTTTCAGAACGTGTCAAATGGGTCAACTGAGTCAACTGCCTTGGTGCGTCCTGAGGATGGCTCAGGCCAAAGACAAGTACTTGACGGGCATGCCCAAGAAGCCGAAAGGGGCAATTCAGCTGTTCCTGCATGAGAAGGTGAAGGACCTAAAGAAGGCATCTGTGCTGATGTGTCTTGTGTATTGTCTGTATTGTGTATGGATGTGTTGTGCAAAATCCAAAGCTTCCCCTGGTCCCAGGCCAAGCCGGACCTGAAGGGCCCAGATCTGAAGAATGAGCTTCGAGAGTTATGGTGGCTCGGCGTGAAGAAAGAATGGCAGATTACGAAAAACATCACGGCAGTAGTTGTCACAAGAACACGGCAGACAGCGCCCGAGGAACACGTGCCAAGAGGAGGAGAAGAAGACCTATCAGGACAAGGCTGACATGCTCATGGGCGCGTACGAGGACGCATCGATGGGAACCGAAGTTGGATGCAAGCACACGGTGCAGGGTGGTCATTTTTCGTGATTGCATCCATGGTTTTGTTCTCTTTCTGTTCTGCATATAGCAGCACTACGTCGGTGAATCCGAAGGAGTCCCTGAAAGAGTTCCGGGAGACAGAAAACTTCAAGAAGTATGCAGCGGAAGTTCGGAAGCTTTCCAAGAAGAAGCCGGGTGGCGGAGGCCGGATTCAGTTTGGTTCGTGGCCGGGCCCAGGCACCCCAACACATCCGGTGTCCTTTGCTTCAGAAAGCTTGAGAAATCGCAGCCGGTTGTACACCGTGCCAAGTAGTGCGGCCGTTCGCGCAAACACAAAGCCAAAGTGCCAAAGTGCCTGGGCCCCTTGGCAGAGCAGCGAAGGAACCTACAGGGGCACTGGACAGCAGTTGGACAGCGCTGCCTGTGACACGAGTGCAGCATCTTCCATCCGCGGCCTGGATCACAGTGCTCTGATTCGTTTTTGACATCGTGGAAGGCCCTGACGAATTCCAGCCGCCTGCAATCCAGTGGCACCAGAAGGGCCTCAACCAGGGCCAAAAACTATGTGTTTCGAACATTCCCGCTCTCCTGAGGGAGCCACCCTGCCGTGTGCGCAGGTAACTAAGGAAACTTAGCTGCAGGCTTCTGTTGCGGGATTCTCCACGGGGTGGAACTCTTTGCGGGCTTTCCCTTGGTGGGGTTGGCAATCCAGGGAGGCCGGGAGGATGCGAGGAGAATGGTTGACGTATGTTGACGTAAAATGCGTAAAGAGCAGCCCCCACACTGAGGGCGGGGAAATGCGGGGAACAGGTGCTGCACCCTGTTGATCCCTGTTTGATTAGAAACTGGGGAGTCCGAGAGGTCCGTCATCCGGGCCTGGGTTTGCCCAACATAAATCTAGAGGTCTGATAGCAGCTAGCAGCTAGCACCAGTCAGCGGTGTTGGAGTGTTCGGACTTTAAGTTCATGTTGCAGTGTTGGTCCGGAAGTTGAAAGGGTCGTGGCGCCCGCTCATCCGAGCTTTGCTGGACTGCAGGCAAAGGAAAAGGCAAAGGCAAGCCGAAGAAGGACAAGGGCCCCAAGGGCCCTGAAGCTCCTGAAAGCATGCCGAAAAGGCCGAGGAACGCAATGCAGCTCTTCATGGCACAGAACAAAGGCGCGCCTGAAAGCTCGCAGCTAGCCCGGCTTGCAGACAGGGGTTGCCGGCAGGTGGTGGGAATCTCAAGGCACAGTCCGCGGCCTGGACAGAGTTGGGCGCTGAGGCGCTTGGAAATGCCTTGGGAGCCGCCTTAGAGATGCTTGGATTCTTCTTCGATTCAACGCAGTTTCCAATGCCGCATCCGGGCAGGGCCAGAAGAAGTACATAGAGGAAGCCAAAGAGCTGTCCGAGAAGACGCTCGGTCACAAAGCTAAGTTCGTCATGTTCACGCATGCGGCCTGGGCCCTAGGGTTTTCATACGCAATTCAGCACACTTGCTGAGGTATGAGCAGGACCGGGCTTGACTTGTGTGCCCACTAAATGCACAAGAATCTCGTTGGATCTTGTTGGTGTGCACGCGGCAGCTGCCAGGTAGTAGCAGACAGAAAAACAGTGAAAAGGGGGGTAGTAGGATGGTCGAAGTCATGGTCGATGTTCAACAGCTGGTGTCTCGTGTGGAGGACATGATCGACTTTCGAAAGTCGGGTGAAGGCAGGCTCCGCAGATCATGTTGCCCTGCAATTGTTCAGCCAGGGCACTCAATGACTCAACCTCGGCAAGTTTAGGAGTCTGAAGCTGTTAGATTACATCCGGTGCTTCTGCTTCCCGCATGGCTGTAGAGGCAAGAAGTATCTCAGATTGAAGGCAGCTGCAGCAAAGAAAGCCCGCCTCAAGTCTGCATCTGGCACTGTTTCGCTCTTCTTTCCTTGCTGGCAATGTCATTGTCTGAAGCGTGCTTCTTAAGCCACGGCTCCGGGCAGAGGCTGGCACAGGCTGGCAGAGATATTCAAGAGGTTCAAGAGCCTTCGGCTCCACCGGCCACAAGACTTTGCGAACCTTTAAGCCGTCGGGGTTCCTGGGCCCGGTCTGGAGGGTATCGCTAAGCTGGCGTCCTCCCTACTGTTCTGCTTTCATAACCAAGTGGATCGACATTTTAGAAATGCCGGCGACGGCACTTGGATTGCCTTTATCCCTTCTGCATGGCCTGGCTTGGATAGTCATCGCATGCTGCGGCATGGAGGGAACGGGACGTGCCCAGATGGTTCCCAACAAGACGACCTCCCGCACTGCAGGTCTTGGCTGTGCCTGGAGGACAGAGGCGATGGCTCCCTTCGGAAGCCTTGGCTCACAAACCCCCTGAAATCGCGCCGTTGGGACTGCATTTTACAATTTGATCGGCGCAGCCTCAGTCACCAACATTTTCTGGAATTCAAGTTGCGAAACTGTCGCGCGGCTGTAATGCTTGTATGAAACGAACCGACAAACAAGAAGACCCGTCAGACAAGGAAGTGGAAAGTGCTGCGCCGCACCGGATGATTCAACAGCCCGCCGCCTCCAGCCCCACGAAGAATGCCTTGCGTTTGGCCTTTTACGTTACTGAGTTTCAAAAACCTGGCAGTCTACGGCTGGGTTGTGCTGTGCTCACCAAACAAATAATGCAAGGAGTTCGACGTTGCTGCTTTTCTCGCCAGCGAGGCTTACATGCTCCACAATTTGCTCTTAAGTGCTGCTGGGACGTCCTGCCTGGAGCAGACGGAATGGTCTACACATTGCCAGGACAGCTTCGGCCAAACCGGCAACCTAGCATGACGCCACCAAAGCCGTCACTTTTGGAAGATACAAGGTGGAGCCCCAAAGCCTGGTCGTGGGCTCGACGTCAGCAGTAGATTCAGTTCCTCTGCCAACAAGCGTGCTGCCGGGTGGCGCCGCCTTGCAAGAGCTCTGGTTCAGCTGGCACCACTCGCCTTTGTTGTCGGTGTGTGCACACCCGCAAAGGCTTGCCATGGAGGGGGGGGGGCCTTGAAAAGGGAAGTGTTTGTTGGTCCATGGTGTGCGAATGCAAGCACACAAGGTTGTCGGCAATAATTTTGCACAGCGCCACGGAAGAACTGCAATCCCAAGATCAGACTTGTAGCACGATAATGTACTAAGGTGTGAACACTGTCCGGGAAAAGTACTTGGGCAAGGACGATGCCCCCAAGCCACCTCCACCTGCTCCTGGCGACTTCGCTCTGACTGGCAAGTCTAGTCCGTTTAACAGGCGTTGATTTGTCATGTTGGCAGCTGGTGATAGAGCTTTCAGGTGTGTTTACTTGAATAAGATTTGTCACCTTTGTCGGCCAAGGTGCTTATCAGGTGTTCGTCCAGGCTTGGTCTTCTGGCTGCTTGTGCATGCAGTGTTGCATCCAACAATTTCTGCTGCTTGAAGTCAGCGTTGCCGTTCTTGCAGCAGGAGAAGAGGCCAACTTTGCTAACCGGTGGAAAAAATTTGGGGGCCGTTGCGAAAGAGCTTTCCCAACTCTGGGGCAGCATGTTCGCAAGGCTTATTGGTCAGGGGCGAGTTGTATTTGCCACCCCTTGGCCGCTGCAAAGGTACATATTCTGAAGAAGAAAGGAAGCCGTTCGAAGCGCGTGCAGCCGAGCTCAAGGCATGATGGCATACCCCCACCATCGCATCTGCACATGTCCATACGGTCATAGGTTTCATGGCGTGACCACCGGGCAGTGCCACACATGTCAGGCCGACTTTGATGAGAAAATGAAGGCCTACAAGTCATCAGACGCGTACATCAAGCAACCTGGCTGTCTTTGTGTTGTCAGATTCGAAGAGTCTAGATGTCTATGCAGTTTCCTGACGGCGTAGCCTGTCTGCTCGACAGTGGCCTTCGCACTGAGGTTTGAAAAGGCACAGAGGGCCATCTTGAAGAAGCCGAAGGCAAAAACGCCAGAAGTAAAGAAGAGCAAGAAGCCAAAGCCCACAAAGCCCAAGGCCAAGGCCAAAGCCAAGGGCAAAGCAAAAGCCAAGGCAAAAGCAAAGGCAAGGTGCGGTCAATGAATGCGAGTAGGTGCGAATGGATGCGAGTGGATGCGCGTGGATGCGCGTGGATGCGAACGGAGTTCAGTAGGGGCGCGGCGAAGCGGCGGAAGCGTGGTCAAGCCAGCGCGTTTCGTCAAGCGTTGCATCCTCGTTTTGTTCTTGTACTCTTTGTGTTGCAGGCTCGTGGCCGCCCCGGGAAGAAGGAGAAGAAGGAGGTCCAGTAGCGGGTGTCAATAGCCAATACCAAAACGTGGCCTGTGCAAATTCTCTCAGACAGAAGCTTTTGGAGAGGCGAGTGCAAGTGACAGCGACGTGATGGGCAGCGACAGTGATATCGACAGCAGCAGCAGTAGTAGCGACTCTGACTGAGCTGTACTCGATTCTGTCGACTCGTCATGACCCCTCGTTACTCCACCAATGCCTCAGCACACAGTGGGGAGTCGCAACATTGCTCTGTGAATAGCCTGTGTTGGACTCGGGTGAGCTGCCATAGCTACCTCACTCTCTCATCTGTCGCCCTCGTCCTGCAACGAAAAGGGCAGGACGTGTGCGCGTCAGTTGAAATCATTGAAGGGCTGTATGAGGTCGAAATGAGTTTGAGTGCAGGAGGTGTTGACAACACTTGGAAAGGGAGCGTGGTGGGAGTCCACAGCTTCGAGGCCTTGAATGCGGGGAGCACCGCTCCAGGAGCAGTGTCCTAGCAGGTACTATGTTACTATGCAAATGAGGTGATGCGGTGATGCATCTAAAATCGAGTTTGCTAATGATCACCCTGATCAACGTTTCCGGTTTGTGTGCAGTGCATCACCTTACTTGGACGTTCTCGGACGCCCAAACCGCTAGCTCACCGTTAGGGGAATGGCGTAGCATCGCGGCGGGTCCCTTCTGAGGACCTGAGCTGCGATGCGGATCTGTGCCGTCAAAAAAGGACCAGTCGTTTTACCTTTGTGGCCTGAGCTTGCAGATTTGGGGCGTTTGCTTCTAATGACACCAGGACTTCTCAACACGTAGAGGTAGAATGTAACAGGGAACCAACTTGGAAAGCATAAGGGGTCAAAGGGAACGCGGTTATGACATCTTATGAATCTAAAGGGTATGTCCTCCTTACGAAAAACGCTGAATGGGGCCGTCTGCAGCAAAAATCGTAGGCTGTTTTAGAAAGAACTTTTCCAAGTTGCACGATCTCGACTAACCTACACAGGTTGATAAGGCGCATCCTAAACATCTGATGGAGCGAGTGTTTCAAAACTAATAGGCTTTTCATGAACGAATTCTTATTTGAGCAGATGTATGTGTAAGGGGATCGTAGAGGAATCGCCATGTGCAGCTACAGAGTCACGGGGAATCTTGGATCTTCGATCGAAACATATCGAAATTATCGCTTGAGGCACGGACAAGCAGATGGTGAGTTTGCCATGTGTTGCATCCGGGGATGGGGGCAACCAAAAGTTTCAAGGCGTTAGAAGTACTTTTTTCTTCGTTGGCGCCAGCATGCCCGTGAGTGGCGGCATTGTTTCGAAGTTCCTTTGTTTTGGAGAGATTAGGTGGTGCTTGAAATTGGGATCGGGGCCGAAAATGACATGGAAGGTGCACAATGTGTGCCGTTGCATCACAGCCGTCTTTGGCCAAGCACGCGATGACAGCGCGCGCCACCAAGAGGCACGACCTTTGTGTTCTGCGTGCTGCAGCTGACATGATGCTCGTGTATCCAGTTCTCGGCAACCTCGGCTGTATAAAGCTGCTGGGCAACAATCGTTCTGCCACTTTACTGAGTCATAGGAACCTGTCCTGGTCCAAGGATGTCCTGGCCAAGAAGCCCAAGGAGTATTGGGATTATGAGAAGATGATCGACGCTTGGACATGTTCTAGCATTCTTGACGCCCGTGCCAGATGCCCAATTGTGAAACGTTGGTAGATTTGTTGTTCTTCGCCGTGTAAGACTTGCTTGCCAACACGCATCGTGCCCCTTGTGCAGTGGACCTAGGGGGTAACTGCAATCTAGACCTTGTGATTGATCCACCTGTCATTGCAAAAGCTAGGCTTTCACAACACCCCACCTGTAGGAAGAGCACGATACTTTGCACGGCCAACTAACTGTAAACGCAAAGCTGCATGGAGCGGGCAGACCAGGAAGATGCGCATGTCCTGAAGGTCAAGTGGGGAAATCTGGAGGACTATGAGGTCACGCAGAAGATCGGACGGGGAAAGTACAGCCGCACCCTCGGGTGAGAAAAGTCATGCGCCGACAGGATGGGGTTTGCTTGTCTTTGCAGAGCACAAAGAATGGGCAGGTGAAGTTTTCACCGGCTTCCACGTGCCCACGAACAAGAAATGCGTGGCTTTACTGCAAACGGGAGGTAGGTGGCTAGCTTTTCCTTAACCATGCCATCAGGTAATCAAGATTCTGAAGCCTGTGAAGAAAAAGAAGATCAAGACGCTTGGCTAAAGATTTCCAAAGCTCCAGTTTCTGGGAATCGAAAACTCCAGGAATCAACGGCACGTAGACGTCTTTTGCAAGTCCATTTTTGACTTCACCCCGAAAGCCCCCGGAAGCCGCCGGAAGCCCCCGGAAGCCGCACGCTGCCCAATCCAAGGCGTGAGATCAAGATTCTCCAAAACGAACCTGCGACGCGTTTAAATGGGATTCTCTGCAGCTGTTGTGTAGACCCCGTGTAGACCCCGTGTAGACCCTGTGTAGACCATGCAGGATGTAGGATGCGCGTGGGCATGGCAACTTCTAGTCCTTCGCCAGATCTGGAGGTGAATGAGATGTGAAGTATGGAAGTATGAACCTGGCAGGTCAGCAAGGGACCCAACATCGTGGCCTTGCTAGACGTGGTCCGTGACCCCCTGACAAAGACACCCTGCCTCATCTTCGAGCACATCAACAACACGGATTGGAAGACGCTTGCAGGTGTTAGTTCATAAGAATGCGGCTTAGAACAGCAAAGCGGGGGGTTTGAGAGGGGCGCGCCCCTTCCCCTCCCCACGTTTCCAAAAACCATGCTCGCATGATGGGTTCGGAAAGAACTCGTGTGTGCCGTTGAAGCAAGCTTGTAAATCAGATTCTTCGAAGCAAGTTTGCACGGCTTAAAAAACACCAGGGGGTTGGGGGTGGACCAGCCCCCATTTGCACACGCAATGCTCACCCCAATTATCAAACGAGATGCTCGCGTGATGGGTTTGGAAAGTAGGCTTGCGCAGTTAGAACTGCATTCGCAGCAGCCTTGATTCCCAAGGCTTAGGCCAGGCGCTCAAGTGCCATACACGACGTGCACACGTACTTGGGTCCTGGGAAAAAGCCGGTTGCATCTTGCAACCTGTATGGTCAAAGGGGGGGGGGGGGCGGGTAAAACAGGCGCAGCCCCCCCTCCCACATTTACAAACACGTGTGCTTCGAAATGGGGGAGTTGGAACACCAAGAAGCAAAAAACGAAAAAACGAGAAGGAAAAAACAAAATGACAAAGCACAGCGAGAAGCAAAAGCAAAAAGCGAGAAGAGCAGACCTGAAAGAAACATAAGAAAAGCAAGGCGAAATGAAGCGAAGGAGCTACAAAAGACAACAGCATATGCATTGACTCTGATTTGGTCGCGTTGCTGCTCGTGATGTTTCTTTGTAGTCCAAAAACTGGCCGCAACTGGCCCTCTTGCCACTTTTGCCGCACCAAAGTTCTGTGCGGCTGCCATTCACACTCAGCATATTCTGCTCCGCCACATCGGTGAGTCTCAGCGAGGCGCACAACTCTGGCATGCCTGGGTGGCCTTTCATATGCCCTTTCTTATTGCCTTTTCTGTAGTTCTAATGGCTTGAATTCACTCATATTCACTCGAGTTTTCGTATTCCATTCATGTTGTCCAACGAATGAGAACTGGGTTTATGATGCATGCAGTGCAGGGGTTCGAGCCACAGCCGCTGCAGGGGCACCCAGCCCACGCACCCACAAACCATACCCAGCCTGCGGATGTCCGGAGGTTTATGTTGGAATCTGGAGTCGGCAGCCGTCGGCAGCCCCTTAGAATCCCTTAGAGCCTAGTGGACGATGGACGGCGGTCCGGGGAGGACATTTTCCAGAACTCTGCCAATCCAAGGAGTCTTTACCCAAAGCTGACGCCGTACGATATCAAGTTCTATTTGTACCAAGTGCTGAAGGCCGTCGACTGGGTCAGGCGTTGATTTGTGTGTGAAGGGCGTTCTCGTTTCCAAGGCTGAGTGAGGATGTGTCGCATAAAGAGTTGAATCAGTGACTACAATGAAGCCGCGTCGTGCAGAGCACAGGATACGGGCTGTAAGTCGTGCAATGCCGAAATCGCATGTGGTGAAACACGGTGAAAGACAAGCCAGCTTAATCATGAAGCATCGGAGGCCCTTGGCGCTCAGGCCCCGTGAACCCCTCTGGATGCTCGAAGCTGCCGGGTTGGTGCCATGTAGGAAGATTAGGGATTCCTCATATTCGCAACAGAAACGGTGGCTGCAGCTCAGTCCAGACTCTCCCTTTTCCTGTCAGGCGCTGGACTACAGCCATTCGCAAGGTTTGATGCACCGGGATGCATCTGGGCAAATTTGGGCGCGACTTGGGGTTGATGGATGTTGATGGCAACAGGCGAATAGGCAACAGATGATAGACTGTTGAGATCTCAAGCGGCCATTAAAGCGTGTGCTGAAACAATCCCGAACCGAAACTTCTCTACGGCTCTACACACTCTAGAGCGCAGTGGTGATCTGCTCGGAGACTAGCAATCATGCTTGTTCAAGCAAAAGGTCAAGCCGCATAACGTCATGATTGACCATGACAAGCGCGAGGCCAGCAAGAGAGCTACGAGCTGTTCGTGCGCGGTAAGACAGGGATAGGGGGGAGAGTGGTGAGGGTGCGGACTCGCATACAGTTCTTCTTGCAGGCAAGCCATGTCATTAGCCCGTGTTCGGTGCGGTTGAGGAGAATCAGAATCGGCAATCTCCGAAAAGTTTCATAAATGAACGCAGCTCAGGGGCCTGAACGGGCCAAAGTCCATACGTGGTCATAGAGGCTATCGGGTCCGGTGCCCATAGGGAGTTCGTCGGAAGCCAGACCTTGAGAGGAAGGCCCATACAGATTCCATAGAGGGTCCATACACAGCGTCAGTAAGTGCCAAGGGGTCCATCGTCCGGGTCCATAAAGGGTCCATGGATGGAGGTACAGAGGCTCCATGGAGTCTTAGTCGGTTCCTGAGACGTGTTTCCTGTAACGCGGCGCGCTGGTTCCTGTTACGCCCGTCTGGGTGACCCAGAGACAAAGGAGGTGGGTTGTTCTTGACCGCAAAAACACATTGGCCTGTAATGGAGCGAACGAGCTATGTGTGCAGGTGCGATTGATCGCCGCTTGGCCATGAAGTTTGTGGCTGTCGAGTGCAGCTAGGCAGTTGCAACTTTCGGTGAGTGCAATCAATCCTGAATGCTTCCGGACGTCGACACGGCCTAGGATTGGGGCTTGGCGGAGTTTTACCACCCGCTGACAGAGTACAATGTGAGGCCGGGGAATTGAAGCCCATGTGCAGGCCCAAAGCCCCAAAGCCCCAAAGCCCCAACTGGAGCTCTGTTTTTGTTGCTGCGCGAGCTGTAAGCAGTCAGGGCAGTGCAGCATCAGTAGCAAAGTTTGTGATTCGTTGGTCTGCAGCACTCAGGGTGGCCTCACGACACTACAAGGGACCTGAGCTCCTTGTGGATGACTCGTGCAAGCATTGGGTCTTCTTCACCTGATGTCGGGAACAATGTGTGTGTGTGTGTGTTTGGTTTTGTACTTTGCACCGACAGAGATTGGGTCTCTGCAGGCAGTGGATGCGTGAAGTACGGGTGATCGCAGTGCAAGCCCGTGAGACGTCACCAACGCGTAGTAAGGACATGCTCTACGATTATTCCTTGGATATGTGGAGTTTTGGCAGCTCGGCGGTCAAGTCACGCGTGCGTTTCCTAGGACCCAGCGAAGGGGAGCCAGAACATGCGAAGGCTAAGGCAGCTTTCCAACCCGCGGTGCTCAGGCACCGAACTAGATGTCTCCCACCATGGGCAGTACCGGGATGCCTGCGAAGAAAGCTGTGGGCAATTTTGGAGAGTGACCCCGGAAGTGCGTCGGAGCGGTGTCCGCTCAAAAGGGGCCTGGCCAGAAGGCTGTCTCGCGGTTAATGTTGCCCCTCCCCCAAACCCTGCCAGGACTGTCTGGGCTATCTGGATCGGGTGATCCGGCTTCGGGTTGTGCGGGGCATCTGGTTTACCTGCTGTTCAACGGTCCGCGCTGGCTTGGGTTGTTTGGGTTGCCCTCGGATCGTTTGGAATGTCTGGGCTGTCCATGTGAGTCAGGTTCGGGCTGCCCCGAGTGTTAGAGCCTCCAGGCTGCGTAATGTTCGGGTGATAAACCCGCTCCCCAGATTTTGTTTTGGTTTCCGGGGTTTTGAGGGTGGAATAAAAGGGGGGGGTGAAAATCAAATATTCTTGGGGGTTGGGTTCTGGGGGTCTGGAGGGGGTCAGCTGTCAAGGAGGAAATGAGATCTGCTTCTCTAAAGACTGAAGCTCTGGGTTCTGGAGCTCTTTCAAGCCAGCTCAGCTGAGAAGGCTTTTCTGCAATGGACCTCTTAAGCAATCTTCAGTAAATTTTAGATTCCTGGCCAGCCGAATTTTACAATTGTCACCCCATTATTGTTTTCATCGGACCACCTGTAGGTTTGTTTACGCACATCAGCCCGAAAACCCCCCGCAATGGAAAGTAGTCTTGGACCGGTGCCCTCCCGCCGAATATTTCGATGACCACCCCATTTCAAAATGGTACTCCAACATTAGGCTTCGAGCAGCCCGTGATCTGCCCCTGAGTAGTTTGATGTCTCGTTGCTCTGTTCAGTGAGAGGGCGTGTAGTTGTAGAGCTTTGAAGCGCCTCAGTCGCGAGAATGCTTTTGGAAATTATCGGAAGACCTTTCTTTGGGGCGTTTGAGAGAGGGAAAGCGCAAGAAGCTGTGGCGTGGGTATTTGGTAAAGAAATGTAACGAACGACTTCACTTGGGAACTTGAGAGTAATGCCAGCACGCAACAGTACCAGAACACGCTGCAAAGTACATCATGTACATCCAACGGTAAAGCGAGAGCAAGACGTGGCACTCGGGGCAGCGTTCCGCGCGCGCACACACACACACAGATGAGGTTGCATGCTGGCTGGAATGACGTTTCGCAAAGAGCCCTTCTTCGCGGGTGCCGATAATGTCGACCAGCTCTACAAAATCGCCAAGGCGTGCTTGAGCTCGACAGTCGCTCTTTCCACCTGTGCTGCCTGGCGCCCGAAGCACGACAGGAAGCATTGATCACTCACCAGCAGGTGTTGGGGACTGATCTTCTGAACGATTACCTCGACGCATACGACTTGGAGCTGGAGCTAGAGGTGGAGCAACGCCTAGGGCTTCTTGGATCGAAGCAAGCAGTTTGCACGAGGGAGCAGGGGATGCGGACGGTTTGCCTGACATGATTCATATCATTCCCAACTGGTACGGTGCTACGTTGAGCAACTCGGCTTATGTTGATGAAGGACGCTACCGCGAAAACAGTGGTCTGCTTTCAAGACCAAGGACGCGCACATGCAAGAGTGTGTTCTATGCAACTAACTCTAGCAGCCGACCATGTCAGTACAAGGACAATGCGGAACGTTGCTCTCCAGAGGCGGGCAGACTTCCGCCATCTTCTTGAGCTGCTGGAAGGGCTTTTGCAAACCTTCATGGCTGCATTGAAGCAAGGCCCTCGAGCTGATTGACAAGATGCTGCGCTACGATCCGGCCGCCAGAATACTTCCAAGAGAGGTGCTCACATGATTAGCAGGGTCTTCATCCTGGCGTGCAAGAGCACAACGGCACATGGCTCCCCCTCGCCCTGTCCTCCCCACCCTACCCTCCGCCTCGCAACAATCGGGTGCTGTGGAAACATGGAAGTGGCATTGGTAAGAACGGCCCTGCGCCAACAAACAAGATTTGTCATTCATAGGACATGTGCACCATTGTTAAAGTTTGAGGACCACAGGTGCCAAACATTGTCTGGGCTTTTAGCATATTCTGAAGTTTGTCATCATGAAGAGCAGATTCTATTGAGTTCTACTCGTGGCATACCTCACCCATCATGTCTTCTTTCTTCACGTGCCCGGCCCTTGCCTTCGTGTGCCCGTGGGCTGCATTGCAATTCACCATAGAACGCTCTTTCATTTCATTTCCTTTATTTGCCTCCGCCTGCTTGCGTGGCTCCGTGTGGCTCTCATCAAGTTAGCAGTCCACACCCAAGCTATTGTCGGAAGCGGAAGTGTATGAAACGTTGAAGTTACAGAGCCTGTACAGCCGTGGTGAGTGGCGGCTTACACGCCTAGGGCCTAGGCCCTGGGGGCGAAGGCCCAGGGCCTAGGTCCTAGAGAAAGTGCATGGCCGTCCAGCTGCCCCGGCTGAATGATGTCGTCCCGCCATGATTTCGCTAGGGCAAGCCAGTGCAGGCCATGCAGCACGCTTACTTCGAAGAAGTTCGGAAGCAGGACGAAAGCTTGCTGTTGTGCTGCGTTGCTACATGCCCCGTGCTTTTCTTTCATGAAGTGGGTTGTGCACATATGAGTGAGTACTGAGAAGGAGTCGAGCAAGTGAGGGGACGCTGAGCAGACGGTGGGCAGCACCAAGACTTCCACAGTAGCACTTGCAGACGCAGTCCACTAAGCAAGACGAGTCAACATGCAGGATGCAACGCGTCCTGCCACTGCTGCGCGGCATTGGAGAAGTTCTAAGGAAGTTATATGTGTTAGCAGCTCGGTTCTGCCTGCCACACTTCCCTGGGAGCTGACGCATAATTTGCTGCAACTCCATGTGCTCGGGGCAAAGAAGTGGAAAAAAAAACCGGAGCCAAGGCGGTGCGCCTTGGATGGGCTGGCCGTTGTAGTTATTGCGTTCAGATGACAGATGGTGGCAAAGCTCAGAGGCTCGAAGTCGGCCCCCGTAGTCTTCCCCACTTCGACTTATGTTGAACATGCTGCGCACATCGGTGGGCGTTTTTGGCGAGAGCGCCCGACCTTCTTCACGGTAACCCCGACAGCCAGAGTTGCTGCCGACACCTGGAGGTCGTGGATCCAGAGTAATCGGCCGACAATTTTCTGGCGTCAATATAGCTCCACTTTGCTTCCGCTGCAAGCAACTGGCGAAACACACCAGTGCTGTACCCCTTGGTGTTGTCACCCATGTCCACCCACTGGAACTTCGATGCGGAGCTGTGTAAGTGTGTTTCGCGATGGCGCAAGCCAGAGATTGCTTACATCATACATCGAGAACTTAGAGTTACGAGTTCGTGGCTGGTGGTATTGAACGCAGTCCAGCGCCACCTGCATGCAACCTTCGATTCTGCGTGGCTATCCATCCATCTTCCCCTCGAGCTGGCCGAGGTCTGTTTCAAACAACCTTCGACCTGTCGTTTGTTGCGTCTGGGTCTTATCGATGGACAATGGGCCCCTTTCACGCCCTTCAACCCCATCTGCTGCAAGCTTCTCAAGGGGGGTGTGACTAGGACTAGGATTCTCATTCGACTCATGATTGCGCTTCGCAAGAGCCAACCGCCCGTAGCTCGGACACAGGCCAACACGTCCTTCTGGCGGCCGCGAACCCATGCCTTCGCAGCCAGGTAGCAGCGAGTGCTACGAGCTCTAGTGTGCCCTATTTTGGTTCTAGGGAGCGCAAGCAACAACGTGGACATCGGTGGAGCTGGGTTTGACTGCGCCTGCCGAGTTGCGAAGGAAGACCCGCAAGAGACGACCGCCACGCCGCCCCGACGCAACCAAAACGGCCACCGTTGGAGCCGATCGCAAAAAGGCCACCGCGATCCAAGGCCTGTCGGCTACCGAAGACCCGGACATGTGGCTGGCAAGCGATTATCCCACGACCGCCGACCCAACCGCAACCCACCAACTCAGTGAAGCAGGCCCTTGTCGAAGATTTTGATTGAGCGTGGTGATGAGCTATGGGGTTGTCCTGGGCTATCGACGAGCTCAGGCTACATGTTGATACCTGGTCAAATCTTCGACGGCATGTCACGACTAGGTGTTGCACATTGTTAGGCTGGGCATTCTTCGCAATTCAATGGGCTTGTGCAAACAGGATGTTGCCAATCGATAGTGCTTCCATTTCGCAACTGTGGCTCCACAAATTCAATTCGGCCTCTCGCATTCACTTCCACTTCGGTGACGCTGCGTACGAGTGGTCCACCGCGTATCGAGCCGACTGGCGCTTTGCAGGTGTACAGTAGTCTCGGCGCTCCGACCCTCGGATTAGTATGCCTCATATTCATTTGCGCTGCCGGATGTTTTCGATCCACTTCCACCTCAGCGATGCAACGGACCTACGTCTAACTTGAGTGGGAACATGATTCGAAGGAGTTCCTCAGTCCGGCGAACGTATGCTACATGCGGGATCCCTCGAGGCCGCGCAGGCCGCAGCTCAGCCCATACCGGCATACCGTTCCGAGACAGAGCGGCCTCGATACATTGCGCAAGCCGCTGAGCTCGGAGTATCGAGCCCCTTCCACGAATTATAGATTTGCTATGCAGATCTTCTCCAAAACCCCGCCAAAACATCTGGCTCAGATGGTCACCCTAGCCACCGACTCCGTTCGACTTCGCGTGAAACAGGTGGCGCGAGCCGTCGAATGAGGACGAGTTCCATCCGTCTTGAAGGACACCTTTGTTGAGACGACCTGTTGAAACCGACGACATGGGATCCTCATCTCTGGCTGCTACGAGGCATTCGAGGTAGCAGCGGCCAAACTGCAACTGCAACATGCGTGGACAGAGGTGACCCACCACGGTCGACTTCCTTTCCTCACGCTGCCGTGCCATGAACCGGACACTACAGGCATGTTCATTACACGATCGCACGTTTGTTTTCGCCATCGCTCCAACAAGACTTGTCCTTACCATGGCCGAGATGCAACCCCACCGGGCTCTTGTCCCGGACACCCACAAATGTACTTTGACACGCATGACCATGCAGCATCCGACAGGTCAGTGTTCTCACAGGTTTGACCTCTCGTGCGCAAGTGACTTGAGAAAGCCCAACTGATCGGTCGATGGGGCAGCGACGCAGTCAAGCTCTACACACCAGAAACGCCTCTCCATCATGCCAACGACGTGTTCGTGGGGCCCATCGAACACAACGACCAGGTCCAGGAACCCAGCCTTCATTTAGAACACAGGCATGGTCCATTTGCCCGGAGTGCCCGAAGCCGCCGGAACCCTGCCACGCAGGAGACAATCAGGATTCAGGTGCTCTGAATCGCCCCGAAGACCCGAAATTACCCCACACCGCGCCGAGGAAGAACCGTCGGCACCGATTACCTTGCAGATGACGAATTGCATACCTGTCGGACCATTTGTCTGTGTGCCTTGCCACACGCACGCAGAGAAGGGCTGCAAGGGCACACAAAAAAAACGGCCTTTTTTGGTGCTTGGTTGATCTCATCAATGTCATTCTGCTCCCGCCAGATCCAGCAAGCCGCGGGTGCACTCACTTAGCCTTGGCAAGGGGCCAATGAGCGCCCGTGGTGCACATAATGGCCGCGAGGAACGTCCATGCCACAAGTGCATGTGCATGCATACACGTTGCAGTGCGAACTGCACGTCTCAATCCCGAACACTGCGAGGCTGATCATGGGACACCAGGTTTTTGCCGCCCAGTACATCCATGTCGCTGTTGCGCTTTGGGCTCGACAGCAGCAGTCATGCCATAGTTACCATCGCTCTTGCATGCCGAAAGGAGAATGAGCCCGCAACTTCATGCTACAATGGGGCTAAGGCCCAGTATTCGCCCCATGTGGCCCGAACCGGCCACGGTCACACTCATGGGCAGATGGAGTATCATATGACGCACGAGCAGAAGCCAAGTGAGAATACATACCACAGAGGTTCGCATACAAAGCAAGCACGCGAGGAGTGCTAGCTGTGGACTCCAACTTTATTTGGTGCAAATCCTGCAGCCGTAGAGGCCTGGCGCCATGGAGCGCATGCGGTCGCCTCAGAGTTGCGTGACGCGCGAAAACTTCCACGGTACGAGAGACTAGCGACTTGCTCCTGAGGAGTGATGCAGCAGGCACCGTCATGGAGCTCCTGGTGCAGGCCAGGTTTGCATCATCGCGGGCAATACGTCATTAAGTTCGAGCTGGTGCCATGCAGTGTGGAGTGGCAGAGGTCACACTGGTTTGAAGCCCTGAAGCAGAGTTCGATCAAGCCGAGACAGAGAAAGAGAAGGAGAGAGAGAGAGAGAGAGAGCGAGAGAGCGCGAGAGCGCGAGAGCGAGACCTTTCATGCTTGGTTGGCTCAGGTGGGCCTGGCGCACCAACAGGAGCTCCAAGCAGTGAAGGACGAAGCGCTGGCTGAAAGTGCCAGCCTCCAGGCCGTGCGTAGAATCGAGTAGCATAGAGCACGAGTCATTTGGGCTGCCGGGCTTTGGGGATACTTCAAGCCGTCTGCAGGCCGAGATCGAGGAGCTTCGCATTCTCGCGTCGCCTGCGCGAAGCCCACAGAATGCAAACAGCAGGCGAGCCGCACATTAGTCCCCCCGCATTGCAGCCCTAGAAGCCCTAGAGTCGCAGAGCAGCTGCACAACACTTGACGCGCGTTGCCACGGTGTTTTTTTTTTGCATGGTGGAACAGGCGCTGTTGCATTGTCTGCTCCTGTCAGGATCCACTCCACTTCCAAGATGCGAAGCCGTGGTAAAGGCGCTGGACCTGGGGCAGCAGTTCGCTACAGTTGCGTGCGGCTCATGCCTTGGCCGGCACACTTCTAGTTGTCTTGAACAACTCAGGATCTCCTGCGGAAGATGAGCGACCAGATGACGGATTCCTGGACGACAGGACCCTGGAGGCACAGATCCTGCACAGCCGTTTCCCTGTGGCCATTTTGATCATTGAGTGTTTCGAGATGCCTTGAGCTCTGAAACCCCAAGCCCTTGAACCCTTTGAGGTAGAAAGCCTGGAGTCCTTCCATGAGGACCAAGGTTGCGATGTCATGTGAGCAGTCGTGTGTGCTGGTGGGAATGTTTCGGAAGATGTTTGCACGGCTGTCATGTGCTTAGCCCCAGTCCAGCATTCCATGCAGGCCTGCCAGGGAGCCGGCAGCCATCTCATGCCGCTTGGCTTCGATGCAACTTGTGTTTGCAAGACCGAAGGTACTCAACAACAATATTGAATGGAGAGGAACATGACATGGCCGCATCCTGCAAATAGTTTTGCTCAGGCCAGCGCCAGGTCTGGATGGCCAAAAGCACCAAGTGATACTGGTGCGATGGAGCACGCGCCGTCAGCGAACACACAGAAATCAGGCACCTTGCCAATGTCAAGTTCGACTTTTAGAAGCCAGGCCAAGGCAATGCCAACATTTCTTCACAGGCAACATAACGCATCGGATGCGTTGCCTGTTCCTGACTTGTTTGGAATTTGTTTGGAATCTGGCGCGCCGGTCCAAGAACCTGAGGCAAATCGGATTCTGAGAAACAGGCTGAGAGACGCAGTTTCCTGAAACCTAGAGAAGATGAGGATGAGAAGCATCTCTGCTGATGTGACGGCTGGGGCTGGGACATGTTGTGTGTGTGCGCGTGCCAGTCTAGCCTGCGTTTGCAAAGCACCTGCATGGATTTGTCTTTGGCTTTGCCGCTGGTAACGCCGGTAAAAACAACAGGAGCACCAGCTCAGAAAGCTGAGGACCGAGGCCAAGATCCCGGATTTGTGTGACATTTGGAATGCAGGCGCATCTTCTTTTTCTGCCGGGGTTCCGTATGGAACGCTAGGATGGCATGTTGTATGGCATGTTGTGTTCCTTTCCATACTGTGACGTGGGCAGGCCGGCCTCTGAGCAAGGCACGTGTGAACTTCATGGCATCTCGCACTCGGAAGGCGTGGCGCAGGCCCGAGTGGCCGATTGTGTCCCAAAGTGTCTTCAGATGCATCGACTGGACAGAAATCATGAGAGCTGACAATGAGCTGACCGTCCACAGGCCTTCGGTACTGCAAGCAGCTTCTCCCATAGAGCTCCTTGTACTACAGCTGGAACTTGGTGACTGTGGGATGCTTAAGAAGCAGCACACGGCCCACATTCCATTCATCTGAGGGAGTTCTTTACAGAGGGGCCCGGGCGATGCATTTCCGTCCTGGTCGTCGCACCGACGTCGGTGAAACGCTTGTGTTACGACGTCTTCGGCTACTTGGCTGATCACTTGGCTCATCCGCCCCTAGTCCCAAGCCCTTGCCGCCTTTGCCGCCTTTGCCGCCTTTGTCGCCTTTGCCTTTGCCCATGTTCTCTCCTGTTCTTGGTTGGCTCTTGCAGAGCTGGTCCAAGGAAAGGGCCAGCGGCTAGAGAGGGCTGTAGTGAAGTGGCGGTTGATGTGCGAGATTGCCAGGTGTTCTCTTGATCTGCTATGACCTGATTTTTCTTCCCATCGAAGCCTTCCAGCCTGAAAGCAATGCATTCATGGAAGTGATGGCCTGGGTCTCCAGCTGCTACTGGCTCTTGGACATTCCCTTGTCCTTCTTGGTCGGCTATCCGTTACTGGAGGACGTCGGAGAGAAGAGAGGAAAAAAAGCTAGAACTTTACGAGAGAAAAACGCAAGCTGTCGGACTTGTGCGCTTGTGACGTTTTGTTGCTTGTGCGGCGATCAGTTGACAGCAGCGCTTTCCTGAAGGAGGGAACCGTTGAGATGCGGGTTTCGAAGATCGCGATCCAATACCTCAGAACATGGTTCATCTTCGACATGGCGGTTGTCTGTGCCTTGCAATTATTAATGTGAGCCAAATCTTCCGCATTCTGCGTGTGCCTGCGTGTCATGTCTGGACGCATTGGTTTCTTGCATCGGGGGGCCGAAAAGTGGTGTGCTCTGGTGCGCAGGTTTTGCTTGTTGAAGCTTTTTTGAATACAAAAAGAGAAGCAAATAAGTAAATGGGTTTGTCACTGAAATAAGCTAAAATGCAGGGCCCCATGCAGATGGGATGAAACGGGCACCCTTGTTCACTGCGGACGATTCTTCCCGACATTGTAAGCACTTGACGAAGTGTTGACATCGATGCAGATGCAGGCTTGCTTTCTTCATTCGTGCACACATCGCACAGCAGAGGTCTGGATTGGGCGCTACACATCTGGAGCTTTATGTACGCTGCCAACTCGGATTCAGGCCGGTTCTCGTAGACTAATTCTTACATGCCATCATGGACATTTTCTGGACAGCGGAGCCCATCCAGGGAATTCACCTGCATCATTGAAGCGTTGCAAGCTTTGCGAGCTTTACGGCGAATGAGGAAACTTGCGGTAGAGCTGCATTTCTACCCTTGCGCAACGTCTCGTTTCAGGAGCCGATGCCGGCGTGGCTTTCTTCCGAACGGCGAAGACTATCCGCTTGCTGCGCTTTTTCCGGCTTATCCGGCTAATGAAGGCCAGTTTCAAAGAATGCAGTGGCTTCTCCACAGCCTCGTTTAGTAGCCATGGAATTTTGGGAGGGTTGCTCATGGTCATCGTTGTGCGCTTGGTTGGAGCAGGCTCGTGGCCGGATCAATGACTTCGTCGAGCGTGTGCAGTGGTTTGGCCATGAAGACTTCTGCAGCGTGTAAAGACTGCCCTGCTGTAGCTGATGTGCATGTACATCTAGGAACCATTTTCTACTTGATGCGTTCTGATTCGGCGCCTGGCCGGTAGAACCCAGGTCTGAGGCATCATTGATCCTGATTGGTATTGCAAAGCTTGTCGCTTTCATCATCCTTGTGAACCACCTGGTGGCCTGCGTGTGGTATGCTATAGGCACCTATGTGCCTTGTTTCGAAGATCTGGCGAGAGCTCCAGGCACATCGTCAGCCTCTAGGTCTAGGTGTCTAGGTGCAAAGATGCCTCCCCGAAATCACGAAATTAAGGATCTCACCAGAGAGGACAGATGGCTTCGAGCCAGTGGCTTGGAGCCCCGATGGCAACACCAGCGTCAAGTTGAGTTATCTTGAGTTGACGGCCCGTATTAGCCATGGACCCTAAGCCCCGAAAAGAATCCGCCCTCTGCCTTTGTGAGCATGTGAACACGATGTCAAGATTCTCCAAGCAACTGCGCAACTCTGCTACTTGTGGAGTGGGAGCATCATCCGTGTGCCCACGTGCCGTCAAAGCCAGAAGCTGAGGAAGCCAGGAATGTATGGTACAGATATTCCACAGCCCTTCATTGGTCGATTACACAGATCCTCTTGAGCATTGGATGAGTGGTTTCTTCTTTCTTTTTTGCAATGCTGTCGGAGGCTGTCGGGCATCTCATGAGCATCTAACCCTTTCCAGTGGTGAGGTTCACACCAGCATCCATGGAAGTTGTCCCGGCGAACGAGTACGAGCGATTCTTCACCGTTTGCATGATCTTATCCGGCATGCTCATCTTCTCGTCGTTCGTATCTGCAATAACCAATGCCATGAACCAGCTGCGAAACCTCAACAGCCGCTTGGATCTACACAGTCAATCCCGCGCTTAGCTTGGCCTACCCTTAAGACATCCAAACCGCCTTTGGACCTGAGGTTGGCGTCATGAACAAGAATCTCTTTTGCGACGATACCTTCAGGAAAACTCAGTCACCCCGTCGTTGACAGCCCGCATCCACAACTGCTTGCAGAAAGCGTTGTAGCTGGGTTGGATTCAAAAGAAAACAAGGCTGTGTTCTTTGTATTCACACGCGAGCGGATGCGAGCGGCATTTACAGGCTTTACTTTTGATGACAGCTGGTACCAAGCGCACTCGGGGGTTGTTCCTTCTCAGGCAGCAATCTCGTCGGCGGGTGCATGTGGATGAAATTCGCATACTTCAGCAACTGCCGCTGAGCCTCAAGCTCCTCAACTGTCAAAATGGGGGGGGGGGGAGCGTCGCTGTCATTCGCTGTCATTGATGCGGGGCATCCTCCAGTCTATGAGAAAAGTTATTGTAACACGCTTCTCTTCTCGTGACAAGGGCTTGAGAAGAGCTTCGGGAAGGGTTTGACTTAGCCTGGGATCTACAGTAGAATCTGCATGCTTGTGGCATCTTGTGGCGCTTTTCCAAAGTATCCTGTGCCGGCCGATTCAGTTTGTGCGTGTGTTTACCAATCAGAAGTCAGACTGAGGAACGCCTGCCAAGACCATGCAGTGACACGTTTAAGTCACAGAACCCCTCTAAAAGCAGCAGCGAAAGAACCGTACAAGCAATTTTTGCAACTCCTGACGCACAGGCACAGTGAGTCCACAAGCCCGGTCGTGCATGTCATACGATGCGGGAGGAACAGGGCGAGAGAAAGAGTGTGCAAGATCAAAGCGTGAAATCGATTTTTCAGGTTTGAGCTCACCAGCGAAATCTATGCCCCAGCGCTGGGAAGCTTTGGCAAGTAGTCAGTATCAATGTTCTTCAAGAGTGTGCCGATGACTCCGATGCAGTGGGTGTGGCGAAAATCCACTTTGCAAGACCGAGGAAGGCATCCCTTCTTCACCTTCTGCCACAGCTGTCTGCCATCCGAATCACGAAAGATCTACAGCTGCTCGCAGCAAAGTCTTTGATTTGTGTCTATAGTGGTTCATGATTTAGCGCTGCCATGTACTGCCACATGCCACAGTTCCACCACTCGTCTTCAGTCATGCCAGTCACTTGAGGCAATGGAGTAGCGCAGAAGTCCTTGGTGATCTCTCAGGATAACTGACATGCCGGGTATTCCCAAAGCCCCATAGCCCCTCCCACCTTAAGCGAGAGCACTGCCCTCCGAATTGGGCGGTGGCTGCTCAGCCACCGTTGGGTTGTGGAGCCGCCGTCCTGGGGTTAGCATCTTGGTCCAAAACATCGCTGCGCTTGCGTGGGGTACCGTGCCAGGAGCTGCTGACCACTGGCGAAGCTGGAAAGCACATGTACTTTCTCAGTTCTGGCACTTTGGTTTACACGAGGGAAGACGAGCCGGAGCAGCTTGGCCAGATGTATTGACTATGACAGTACTATGACTATGCGACACCCCAAGAAGCCAACCCCCAGACCTGCCGATTTCTGAGGCAGCAAGGGGTGACAACAACGCAGCCTTGGTTGGTGGAGGCTGCCTTATGGCTGAAGTGGATACATGTTGGGACGGCCAGCAGCACTACACACTGCGAGCTTCTGGGCTTGGACGCGGGCAAAGTCCAGGACAGCTATGTCGGCTCAGTCCAATGGATGTCCCAAGTGTCGGGGGTGTGTTTGAACATGCCTGCGTTGAGCACCTGGCACTGCAGGATGTCCTGAAAGACGAGGTGACGGCGCCTTGGAACGCGTGAGTTTGTTGCAACTGGCTGCTAGCAGAGAGCAGCAAGCCTTCGGTTGTTTTAGCAGGTCTAGAGTGCCAGGATGTGCCAGCAGTGTTTGCCTTGTTTACCTCAGGTTCGAGCCTATGCGAGGAAGTTTTGGAAATACTTCTCGGAGAATCCCAGGCTTCTTTCTGATATCTGGATCGATGACGCTTGTCAGCAGAATGGCCTGGCGGGATGCGCACGGGGGCTCCAGCATGATTTTTGTTTTTGAGATCCCGAGAGCATCTCCACAAGCTCTGTAACGCCACACAAACCCGAGATGCCACAGGGTCGTCAGAGCCTAAATCGTCAGGCCGTGTGCCACGCAACTGACTTCGGCTTTTACTTGAGTTCCATGGGTCGGCCTCGCCTGACAGGAGGAGTCTGTGCACCACTGGGCTGCCAGTGCTATGAGTCGAGCCGAAGAAATTCTGGGCCACAGTGGCTTGAAGAGATTTCATTGAGTGGAAGTACATGGTTGCTGATGTCGCTAGCCGCAAGCTCCTTGGAACACAGTAGCACAATGCCACATCTACGACATGTCTTTTCAGGCATTCAACCAGAGCCACTTAGCCCCAACTTCACAAGGCTGGGAAGAGGGACACATGCTTTTGTGGTCTTGTTGGTTTATGCTGTCCATCGCTTGCTATTGCAAAGGAAGACAGGGACTGCAAGTTGTCCAGTTCTCTTTGTTGGGTGTTGAAGCCCTGGACTTGAATGCAGGTTCCTGAACCGCTTCCGTCGGTTGAGCACTGGCATGCTGCGCCGGTTTTCTGTGGCGAGCATGGTGGCTTCCTTGGATTGTGCTGCGCGCTTTCTGAGCTTGCGCGGCTCTTAGAGCTGAACTCAGCTCTCGCATTTCTTTGGAGGATGTTGACGACGCCTCACCTGGAGCTGGGCCCGGAAAGTTGCCACCACAGCTGCAGGACCTTGGGTGGAATGCTCGCACAGTGCTGCAATCGGGAGAGGTTTTCGTTGAGGGTTCGCGCCAATGGAATCAGATGATATCTACGGGACCCTAAACCCATCTGCAATTATGAAGGCAACAGTGTGCTGTGTGTGCTGAGTGGTCATTGAGAGTGCCCTTTCAGGCGCTGGTGGACCGGATGCAACTGCAGCGGCAGGAGGTGCCCGTGTTGCCCATGTTGCCATTGCAAAGGGGTGATGCAGTGCTCACAGGTGCCAGGAATCGTCGTCTCAGTAGGCATAATTGTGCAAACCCTTCCCTGCCTTGCGCCAGGCAGCAGGCGCCGACTCAGACAGCGAATCCGGGCTTGGCGAGGATTCCGAGGCTCGAGTCGCCAAGACGCAAGCCCCCAACTGGGCCCAACACGCCAAACCGTGCTCACGGCTCACCGATGATTTGTGTCGGTGTTTTTAACTTGAACGTGCATAGGAGGACGTGCCGCCTGCGAAGTCGAACCGGAAAGCTTCCATATGTGGGCACCTCAGTCGAGGTGACACATGAGCATCGGCTGTTTGAAGACTTTGAGCGGGGTTGAAACTTGGGCGTCGTGGTCTTGCTAAGTCTTGCCGTTTTGTCAAAGTCTTGCCTTGAGCTCTGAGGTGGTGTGGTGCCAGCTCCCGCACCTCCAGCACAATTGTCCGTAAAAAGTGTCCCGGCTCGAATCGGCTCGGATAGATGTTTCATGCTGTGGTCATGCGGGAAACCAGACCATTTTCCTCTCCAGCGAGAGTCGAGCAACACACCCAACGAATCCCTCCCGTCGCCGGCAGAGATATAGCATTCTTAGCTCGAAAGCAAAGTCTTCCCGCAAACCCACTTGTGAGAAACGCTGCTGTTAAACATTGTTAAACCATGAATGAAGTACAAACATGATGCGACATGATGTGACAGGGAAGCTGGTGCGCAGACCCGTTACTTGAACTGCGGGGCCCAAGCCGGCGTGAGGTGTCGTGGAGCGGAACCAGCCTCCAGGTATGTCCAGGTAGTGATCCTGCCCATCCCTGCCTCTGTGGTCCATCCTCCCACATCAGGTTGTTGTATGGTGGGGACGATCGATATGCATAAATTTGCAGTCTCAAACACGCGTTCTGTTCATGTGCTGCTTCTGGCCAGAATTCCTACAAAAAACCTTAGAGGTCGTCATCATCATCATCATCATCATCATCATCATCATCATCCATGGCTTGCAGATATGGAGTGCACGAGGTCGAGAATCTTGTTGACACATGGAGGAACAACAGGTCGCACAAAAGCAAGAGGAAACAAGAGGTTTTCCGAATACATTTGGGGGTAGGGAACAGATGTTTGCTGGAAAGTTCTTCGCGCAAAGCCTCAGGCCCTACAAAATGATGGACGATATCGACGAGCGGAGCTGTTTCGTTGTCGTGGACTGTATCTCAGGTTGGAGCACATACGGTGGTCAGTGTTGCATCAATGAAGCCACCCTTACTGAGCTGCAGACTGCCTCAAGGTCCGGCTGCAGCATCTGCATCAAGATTTGTGCTCTTGGTGTTATGAGAAGTCAGAAAATGTCGGTAACTGGGTATTGAAAGCTTCAGTTGCAACACCACTAGAAGGCGTCCACTGCTGCACTAGCTGGCGTTTTTCTTTTCAGCAAGCTGGCAGCACGCTTCAAGGAAGTTAAGGGTTATTCAACGTAGCTGTAGCTCATGGCCAATCCAGCCGATTGCATCGAGCTGATCAAGCTGCTAGTGCAGCGGCTCGTTGTCTTGGACCTCAAGGGTCTGACACGCATCGCTGAATGTTCCTGCTGCAGACAGAGATGTCCCCCCATCTAAATTCATCTTGTAGCAAACATGCTTTTAGTGGGGGTTCTGTGGGAAAGTTTGTGACAGATGGCTCAGGGGATGATTCAGAGGGATGATTCACGAAGGGATGCAGCGGGACTGCAGAGCATGACGGGGCAAAAACACCGCAAATCTGTTTGTGTGTTTTTCTTTGCGAAGCTCAGGGATGCAGCCCTAAAAACATATGCTCAAGTCCGTCCAAGGGCACATCTATCGCTACAAGTATGACTCTGGTTCTGTGAGCTGCGCTGCCTACAATTGTGTGCCAGCAACCTAGACATCAGCAGGCAAGCTAAGCAATCTAAGCTAAGCCATACCGCAGCCTTGACAGTGCAGTCTACTTTGCCCAGTTCGTCTTGAGGAAACAGCAACATTGGCTGTCGAAGAGCATGCCCCGATATGCTCCGTTGTTTTGTTTGCCTGCGCATTAGAGAGAGCCTTGTCCTGCATTGCTTAAATATTTGATGAGAGCGTAGCAGATGGAACGATGGATATCGTAGAATTGGAGTTGCCTCCATCAATAGCCAACAGTTCTGGTGGTGGGCAGTGTTCAGCCTGCAATTGCGTCGCCGGGCAAGCAGCGCCAGCTCTTTTACAGATGCGATCTTGGTGTTGCTCCAGATTGCTCAGAAATTCAGAAATCTTCTTCTTGTGTCAGGGCAATGGCAGGTTGAGACAGAGCAGGATGCCACACAGTTGTGGCTGTAAGTCTGGGCTTCTACGAAGTAGAAGCTGCAGATTCTGGATCACAGGATCTCCATGCAGGATCTCCACAGATTCTCAATTTCACTCGCGCAGTTTGCTGAATGTAGTGAGCGCGCTGTCGAATGACGTGAAGCATACCCAAACTGGCATTGCAGCACGTCCGCAAGCAAGTCGCCAGCTAGCAACTACTGGCCTCGATGTTCTGCCTAAACGGGTGCCCCGGTTCGGTACTGTTTTCGCGTGCTCACCGGCAGCATCCTGACCCCCCCGCAAGGCATCTTTATGAAGCCTTGCGCCGTCGAAACATGTCGAAGCCCTATTGCGAACAGAAGCGCGGTGGCGTGGCAGCCTCTGCGTTTCTGAAGAAGTGGAGACGAACATTCGTTTGGCTTGTCAGATTTGCGTGGTGTGCAAGGGCACATCTGATATTCCTCCGGCACGCACTCGTCAGCACTTCCGACACTACGTTTGAGCCGAAGCTGTGCTGCTTGCAAGGACAGGCTTTCGGCTTGTGCTCGGCTCAAGCCTCAAGAGACTGAGACATGACCGCACAATCGCAGCTCAACACTTTTGCCCCTCCTAAATGTAAAAGCAACTTGGCCAGGGACTGCAAGCTGCTGGCGTAGCCAACTGCGCCTACATCTTGCCTGATCTTTTTGATTGTCTTACGAAATATCATGATGGTGCAAGGCATGTTGCGCAGCTCTCAGTCGCGATAGTTGCATCGCAGATTCCTTGCAAGCATGAGCTGATGCAAGCCAGCCAATGTAGATTTGAGGAGAGTGAGGGAGGCATCGAGAGGGTACAGACAAACTGTCTGAGAAGCGGCGGTTTTTTCTTAGGGAGGAAGCGCTCACAATCGCCACCTGAGGTGCGTGTAATGACGCCCAGGCAGGCTACGTGCAATGCGGACAAAGCGGCGTGGTTGGTCTTGGAATTTCCTGACTTCAATCTCTCTACCGGCGGGGTTTTGCTCCTTAAATGAAGCAGTTTTCGTGCATTTGGAATGGAAGGTAGGCCACATGAAAAGCACGCGAGCAAGCGCTGGTTACATCTGGTTACCTAGGTTTGTACGCAATCTATCATTACGGACCTCTAAGCGAGTCTTCAAGGATCGATTCTGCAAGGACACCTCTGCAAAAGGTCCGTTAGCGGAGTTTGCGACAGAGAGAGGTGGCAACCTGAAGGTTTTGTTTGAGTCTTCTGCAGGAATGATGCGCCACCGTCACCACCGCCACAACCGTCACTATCTGAAGATGACCTCTCGAGCACCGGTGCAAAGTCCCCTCAGGACCGTACACTCCACCTATGGCGGGGTTTGGGGGCACTGTAGCTTGAAGTGCGCTTGTTTCGCGGCCGGGCGTGCATGAGCATGTGCTCCTGCAGTGCACTGATCATTCATGTTGTCTTTATTTCTGGTGGTCCGTGGTCGAGCATATGCTCACGCACTTTGGTTTGCAACAGAGCGCCTAACCAAAAAGGCTCTGGTGTTCTAAGCATTTCTAAGCCCTAAAGCATCCCGAAGAAACCCCTAAACCGGCACATCCAAAGGCGAGGACAGTGTCGCAATTCACGAGCCCAGTTACCCAAATTCGAGAAAACCGCATGGTTCGGGCCGGGCGCCGCACGGCCTCATCGACCCACCCCCGCTTTCCGTTTACCCTTCACGTTGACACCCCTTGGCGTTGACACACTGTTTGGGGAATAGATTAACATGGACTAGCATCTGAAGGAAACAGTTCAAATAGTTTATGTTATGGAGGAAAGAGAGGCGTTACTTGATTAAAGCGTGGAGGGATGGGTGTTCTCCTGGAATCCAAGGAAACCATTCCCCCTTCAACAAAAAGGTAGCAGAGAAAAGGTCCACCTTTTGAGAGAAATCCATGCATGTCTTTGGGCATTCTGAAGCATCAGAGCATATCAGAGCCAAGGACGAGGAGGGAAAGATGCCGGCGCTGCTAAAGTTAGTGGCCTTCTCTAAACCCATCGTGAGAACAAGCATGGTCACAACATCAGCGGTGCATCTTACAGGACATCGATGTACACGTTTCTCAGCCACTCGCGGTAGCTGATGGTGCCAAGGTCGAGGACTCACTGCGATTTTCCGCTTCATGCTGTAGCCCCATCGAGTTTGTCCCACGTGAGGACGACCCGCATCTGCACGTCGTCGAGCAACTTCGACTGCCTTATGCAGCATGTTCTCCAAGTATCCAGCCTATGCAAAAGGGCTTGCCACGCACGGGTGCAGAACGTGTGCAGCCGCGAAGGCTCGTTGCATCTTGTAGCCGATTGTAGCTGATGTAGCTGACAGTAGCCAGCTCGAACCATTCCAGTGCGCATCGTCTGCATGGCTGAAGCTGTCGCAGCGCAGAATTCGAGCGACCGGCTGGAGGTTCATGCCAAGTGGGAGGCATGTTGGTTGCGTTCTAGATTCGCGTGTTCTTTCAGATGCCTTAATTTACACTTCTGGGTTTGGGCGGTAAGGTTTTCATGTCTTCGCTATAAGGCGGCACGCAAGTCGAGCCACTGATACTAAGAAAAGGTAGGTTCGCGCTAGGTGGAAGAAACAGATGTTGCATTCCCATGCTATCACTGACCAAATCCAGCAAGTATTTTTGGCCCACCACACGAAAAATCAGTCACTGCAGTTGGCCCCGATCAGCTGCTAATAGTTCTGAAGTCTTTCGCGTTCCGCGTATTTCAAACGGATTTCGGTTCACTTGTCCTGGAATTGCTGCGTGAATGTTGCCTGCAAGTTCTGTCGCTCCAAGTGCGCGCTCAGGGGCTGCGGTCTTGTCTACGACTACAACATGCCTTGAGGTGTTCTGGGTGAGCACATGGGGTGCTGTCTCTTGCAGCAAACGATCAGATCGTGCAAATGCAGGACGGTACTGCCCGCAAGCGCGGCGCCAGCTCGGCGCTAGCAACATCTCAACGCAGCCTACCCAGGAAGAATGTGGCCCACTTGCCACACGGATTTACAACCATCGGATTTACAGGACACCGGATGGCCAGTGGAGCGGAAACGTTGATGTGATCAATGGCGCGACAGATACTAAGCAGAGACAAGCAGAGTGAAACTCCTCTCCCTGGAGTGCCATTGTGGCCAAGGGTGCCCGCCGGCGCGAACTCGACAATTGGAAGTGAAACATGTGTGGCAAAATGCCAGATGATCCCAATGCAGCCGCAACCTGCTTTGAGAAACGGCTTGCGAGTCAGCAGCTTGCCGAAGCTCGAACCCTTTCGCGCGCCAAGCCCCAGCAATAGCAACACTGGCAATTCCTTTGACGACTCGTCCGACAGCAGCAGCTGAGAATTGATCCGCGCTAGTGACGACTGTTTTTTTGGAACCATGCTACGATTCAAAAGAAGGTGTTACCGCGAACCCAGTCAGATGCTTCACGACAAAACTTGCTAGGTCGAACGTGGTTGGGTTGCCAGATAAATGTAGTGTAATTGCTGGACGACTGTGTTCAAAATACGCTACGTGCTAGCGCTGCGCCTTTTCTCGTACATCAACTCCGTGTCTCAACTGCACACGTTTCGAACTGGAAGATCTGGAGCTGCTTCTTCTCAGATGCTGGCTTTCGTGTTGCGGATGCTTGCACAACCTCACTTGGTAAGGATGTCTGCCCGGGAATGAGTTACGGAGAGGTGCTGATCGACCTGTTACGGCTTGATGCTGGGTGTGGGGGCATCACGTTTCTTCTGGCGCTCGCATGGGGAGCACGGCCTTGTTCCTAAACCACTAGACGGTTGGGCTTGCAATCCCTTCTAAACGGCTTTCCCACTAGTCGAGACAGGCTTGCCAGGTTTTTCGATGGGCTGTGTCTGACAAGTTCCTGTGACTGTGGCCGGTGCCTTCCCTTTGCCTCCCTTTATCTCCCTTCATGTTGGATGGAGGAGAGAGTTGGCCTGTTTTTGCAGTTTGTGTCTCGCCTCGTCTCCCTTAGTCCGTTATGTCGGAAAAATCATATTTTCAGACAGCTCTGGTCTGCACTGTTTGGGGTCTTTGCTGGTGTTATGTTTCAGTGTGAAGTGAGTCACCAAAAAGGGCAGGTAGACTTTTAGGTAGACCTTGATAGCCGCGGATAGCCACTCCTTCAAGATTCATGGAGGAGCTTGCAGCTGCTGCCGGCAGCAGAATCAAAAGCCCTGGCCAAGCAGCTTCTTCACCAATGTCGGTTGTGCAAAACGGCTCAGAGGGTGGCCACTCCCCTTCTTTCAAGAAAGTACGAAAACAGGCGAGCATGGGAGCCGATTTCATAACTGCTGAGCCAAAGGCCAAACAGAATGATGCCGATCATTCCTGGAGGGGACGCGCCCTTCGCTTGGCCACATACATTGTGGATAACAACTTCAACGCGAACTTTTTGGCTTTGGTCGTCCTTTTCGATGCTTACCTGACCGCCAACGACATTGATGCCAGGGCTGCTGGACACGACGCCTCCACATTTGTTCGGACATGCTCTGACATTTGCCTCCTGCTCTACACAGCTGAGTTGCCACTTCTACTTTTTGTGCGAGGGCGAAAAATATTGAAAGACTGGATGGTATTGCTTGACATTGAGCCTTGGAAGTTTTCTATCATTCTTTTCTGGTTCAAGACATAGCCCCACTTTGCATATGTGTTCGCCTCATTCACCCTCAGGTGATCATATTGTGTGGCTACACGGAGTGGGTGTTGACCAGTGCAGCGGATGCGTGGACATCAAGGACACCGTGCAGGATTTAACTCCACATCTCAATCGGAATGCGTCGGCCCAAGCTCTTTGAGTGACATCGATTTGCTCGACTGTTGTTGTGTCGTAGGTCGTAGGCCCCTTGTCGTAGAAACAAACATTCTCACACTTCGTTTATCGCAGTCACAGCCCTGCCTTCTCCAAGAAGGTGCGTGCTGCCTGTCTGCGGCGAGAGCGTGATTCTGCCTTTACACTTCCTCGCACATCTCCACTCTTCCTCCAGTTCCGGCTGTGTTCTAAAGAAGCCGCGTCATTCCCTAAAGCCGGAAGCGCATGCAGGCAGTCAAGAGTCAAGAATGCACTGCATGGGGCACGGAGTATGGGGCTGCAGTCGCTGAGTCGCCGAAGCAAGAACGGCAAGAACACCTGCAGAATTTAAAGGTTCAGTTGTGAACCGTTCCGCCAGGATCAACATCAACATGCTTCGTCCGCTTCGCTTGGCACGAATTGTTCGCCTCATGCAGTTCTTGAGGAAGACCCGCTCTTTGAAGGAGCTGCAGAAGCTGGCGGGAAGAGTTGAGAAACATGCTGAAGCATGCTCTGTGTGTGTGTGTGCGCGTGCTGGGTCTGCTTGCAAAGGCCAGTCGAGCTCACATCTGTTTGAACGCACTTCTTCGGATCTTTTCCAGCAAAATTGCGAATACAGGCTTTTGCATTAGATCACTAGGGGTGGCAAGAACATCTTTAGAATTAGAACTGTTTTCGCCATTGCTGCCACGGTTATCATTACTATTCTTGTTTATTTCTGCTGCTTGACATGGCCAATCTCATCAGTAAAGGAAGAAAAGCTAGATCTGCCTTCGCAGGTGACAATGTTGTCGTCGTGCATAAAGACCTTGGCGTGGAGCTTCCTCTTCGGATTTGTAGTCATGACGATGTGGGCCATGCTGATGGTCGAACTTGTCCATCCCCTCATTCATGATGTTCAAGAGCGAACCGATGTCTTCGCTGACTGCGGCCACTGCTTGCAAGCGGCATCTTCTGTCATGAATGCCAATCTGACTCTTTGCTGAAGGACGAAATTTTTTCAGCAGGGCGTTTCGTTCGCAAGTGACCATGATGGAACCAAGGCTGCTCTTCAAAACTGTCGTTGCTGGAGACAGCTGGGGTTTAATCGCATTGCCTGTGATACAGGTCGGAGTTGCTTTCGTCAGCCGCTGCAGTTTTTTCGGTTCCTGGTTGGCTGCTGATGGTTGCGGTTCGCCACATTGGAAGTTCCCTGAAAGGACTACCCGGCGGCAGCCATTATTTTTGTGGGCTCCCTCCTAACCTTGGACACCTGGCTGGAAGTAACGGGCCATTGGGAGTGCGGACTGACAGAAGATGTACCAAGGGCAGACGCAAAACTCAGGTCTTTGGTGTTCTGCAGCTGATGGTTGCAGTTGACCCTCAGCATCAAACGGATGTTGTTGTGATTCTTGTTGTGGCTGGAGTTGTGGTTGGAATTGTGGTGGGTGGTTGTGGCGGTTGTGGCGGTTGTGGCAGTTGTGGCGGTTGTGGTGGTTGCACTGGTCGTGGTTGTAGTGGTTGCGGTTTGTGGTGGTTGCGGTGGTTGCGGTGGTTGCGGTGGTTGCGGTGGTTGCGGTGGTTGCGGTGGTTGCGGTGGTTGCGGTGGTTGCGGTGGTTGGTGTGGTTGGTGTGGTTGGTGTGGTTGCGGTGGTTGGTGTGGTTGCGGTGGTTGCGGTGGTTGCGGTGGTTGCGGTGGTTGCGGTGGTCGCGGTGGTCGCGGTGGTCGCGGCGGTCGCGGCGGTCGCGGCGGTCGCGGCGGTTGCGGCGGTTCGCGGCGGTTCGCGGCGTTGCGGCGGTTGCGGCGGTTGCGGCGGTTGCGGCGGTTGCGGCGGTTGCGGCGGTTGGGCGGTTGCGGCGGTTTGGGCGGTTGGGGCGGTTGGGCGGTTGGGGCGGTGGGGCGGTTGGGGCGGTTGTGGCGGGGTTGGCGGGTGGTGGCGGGTGGCGGTGGTGGCGGTGGTGGGTGGTGGCGGTGGTGGCGGTGGTGGCGGTGGTGGCGGTGGTGGCGTGGTGGCGGTGGTGGCCGTGGCGGTGGTGGCGGTGGTGGCGGTGGTGGCAGGCGGGTGGCGGTGGTGGCGGTTGCGGCGGCGGCGGTGGTGGCGGTGGTGGGGGTGGCGGTGGTGGCGGTGGTGGCGGTGGTGGGTGGTGGGGGTGGTGGTGGTGGTGGTGGTGGTGTTGGGGGTGTGGTGGTGGTTGGGGCGGGTTGGGGGGTTGGGGCGGTTGGGGCGGTTGGGCGGTTGTGGCGGTGTGGCGGTTGTGCGGTGGTTGGTGGCGGTGGTGGCGTGGTGGCGGTGGTGGCGGTGGTGGCGGTGGTGGCGTGGTGGCACGGTGGTGGCGTGGGCAGTGGTGGCGGTGGTGGCGGTGGTGGCGGTGGTGGCGGTGGTGGCGGTTGCGGCGGTGGTGGCGGTGGTGGCGGTGGTGGGGGTGGCGGTGGTGGCGGTGGTGGCGGTGGTGGGGGTGGTGGTGGTGGTGGTGGTGGTGGTGGTGGTGGTTGTGGTGGTTGTGGTGGTTGTGGTGGTTGTGGTGGTTGTGGTGGTTGTGGTGGTTGTGGTGGTTGTGGCGGTTGTGGCGGTTGTGGCGGTTGTGGCGGTTGTGGCGGTTGTGGTGGTTGTGGCGGGTGGTGGCGGTGGTGGCGGTGGTGGCGGTGGGCGGTTGTGGTGGTGGTGGTGGTGGTGGTGGTGGTGGTGGTGGTGGTTGTGGTGGTTGTGGTGGTTGTGGTGGCTGTGCTTGTGGTTGTGCTTGTGGTTGTGGTTGTGCTTGTGCTTGTGCTGATGCTGGTGCTGGTGCTGGTGCTCGTGCTTGTGCTTGCGGTTGTGCTTGTGGTTGTGGTTGCACTTGGTAATGCTAGACGAGACCGGTGCCGCGGCGAGGCTTCAGACACCTGTTTTGTATGGTATTTCGTGGATCGAGTCTAAAATCTTGGTAGTGATTGTTTGAGGTCAGCATCCAATGGCTCTGACTCCGATGTTTAGTTTAGGAGGTGAGGTTGAATTGTTTTAAGCATCAAGGCCTTGCGTCAAACTGCGGTTCATAACTGGGACTTGCGATGGCCAATGAATGATAGTGTGTTCGCCGTCGTGAGCGGCACAGCTTCGCACGAAGCCCCACCCGGAGGGTGATCTGGTGTGCTTCACGCCATCACTCTACTCAGCTCAGGTGGTCGACACCTTTGCAGAGGTTCGTGAAAACGATGTTATCAACTTGGCGGCAGAGTCACTTACAGATGCAATGTTGTAGGCCTGCTGCGTCGGCTACCTCGTAGATTCTTAGAGCTTTCGCACGTGTACACTGACCAATGCCTCACTTAACCTGCGCTGTCTCTCGTCCCACCTACTTGTCTGTTCAGTTTTCTCTGTTCTTCACCCCGCACCGAACACCTTGCACAAATGTGCAAACACTCCATAAACCTTGTGTCCAAGGCTGGAGCACAGTCTAAAGAATGACCGGAAGTACTTGCAGAAGATTTTCGACCGTCTGGACGAAAATGGGACTGGCGAGCTTACGAAGCTTGGCCCGAGTGGTTCGACAATTCGACCATAGCGTGCTTCAAACCCACTTTCCACTACTTGATGTGGGCGGTACTGTTACGATACGTGGTCCTGCCAAGGTTGGAGAATTTGATGGATGGAGCCAGCCGCGTGGCAGTACATTAGAATTTTGGTTTGCGTTCTCCGTAACAGGTTGAATACAGCCTTTTTGGCCGATGTGCTGGACTACAGCATGGTGTTTTTGGAAAGCTTTGGAGCACTGTGCAGTGGACTTGTTGCGGGCAATGGTCCCGGAGAGCACCACTTAGCAGACTTAGCACTGTCCAGCGCGGCCAGCTTTTGGCCCAGCTTGGACAGCTGCCTTTTGCTTAGATTGAGAGACATGTTATGACGTGTTAAGACATGTTGTCGCTTGTGCTTTGCTTGTGCAAGGGAAAGATGCAGAGTTTCAGAGCCGCCTGCGTGTGATGGACATTGATGAGGTGCTGAGCGGTTAGTGCAGTCAGTTGTTTGCACGTCCTTTTCGGGGTGCAGTTCCACAAGTCCCGCGAACAGCGACTAGAATGCGACTTGATTTGCAAGACCTATCCAGACGCCGCAAAGCTCAGTCACGAAAGCACTTGCCTGCATAGCCGGTACGATCTCAGGCCTAACCATCAGCCATCTTGCACAATCGGTAGATTTCCCCAGAATGCATTCAAACCCAACAAAAGAAGCCTAGATGTGAAATGAAAGAATCTGGACCAATTTGCAATGCCGCAATGCCCCATGCATAAGAGACCGTCCTCGTCAAAACTCCGTACTTTTTCCTGGGCTTGTTAGATGCGAATCCCGCAGAGTTTCCATGGAGTCACCACAGAGACTGCAAGTATCCCTGGAGCGCTCGCCCCCCAGAGAATCCAGCATATGCCTTCGGCGTCGCAACACTGGTAGAGTGATGTAGATGTAGAGGGCTTATGCAAGGGACTGCCTTCGACGTTGCCTTGGAAGGTGGACCTGCAGCAGCTTTTTGACATGATCGACGCTGATGGTTCAGGTGCCATCGAGGCGGCTGAGTTCATTGCACCCTTGAGCCGCTGGGTGCGAGACTCCAAGCCACTTGCCGGTTGTAAGCCCAAGCAGAAGTGCATGTAACTTCGCATGGGTCGTTTTGAGAGCATGTTTCATCTTAGTGGTGTGTCATGTATCGCTGTGCGCGAGCTGAGAATGTTGACGAGTCATGTTCATGCACCGAAGATCTCAGGACTGCGCCGCGCTTCATCAAGTACAACCTCCAGCATCCTCACTGCAAAAATACGGCCTTAACAGCCCCGAACCGTGGATGATGCAATCTATCCGAGACTCGCTTTTACCAAAGAGGCACTGCTCCAGCTGGTACTTGCAGCACTGTGGGTGTGTGTGTGTGTGTACAAGTTGAGGCAGACTATGCAGACACAGGAGGAGATCTTGAAGCTGTCTCAATACAGCTCCTGAGCAACACTTGGCCTAATGATGCAAATCATGATGTATGCACATTCAGCAAGTGCTCTTGGATGGAGGCGACGGAGGTCCAATGGTTCTTACTGCTGAAGCCAGCTTTTGCCGTGTACTTGTACCCCAAAAGGTGCAGTCACTGTCCTGATTCATGGCAGTGTGCGAAAACTGTAAACTTTGAACATCTGCTTGGCTAAACCAAGACCGTGCATCTTGTGCGCACTCGCGGAAGCAACAAAGTCAATCCTACTACCTCCACATCAGTTTTGGACGCGCTGTCAAAAGCACTTCGTTGCGAAATGATGTGCAAGTACATGTTGGGAATTGGTTCCGAGACATTGCGTGCATGACTTTAGAAGCAGTCGAGCTTTGTCAAGCACTCAAACATAATCAGGGCCATGGCCTTGTAGCCTTGCCTTTCGCTCTTAAAGTCTTAGCTTTCGAAGGATTCCATTGTTGCCAGTCTGGGAGCCCAGTCCATGTCCTTGACAGACACATTGGTGGAGGCCAAGTGTTGTGTTTAACCTTAACAGCATGCATGGCGATTTGCCATCTGGCTGTGGCATCCTTCGCTAAGGCTTTGCCGTCATGAGCGACAAGATCCAACAGTTGTCCGACATGCTGAATCCTGTGGGTAAGCCTGACACAGAGTCTACAACTACCGAACCTCTTGATCAACCTCTTGATCCGGATGCCATACAGACGGAAAAAGCCGAAGAAACAGCGGCTGACTTCTGCGATGGCCACAACTTGGAGCAGCCAAATGACAGTAGAAGAGGCCCTACGAAGCGCTCACAGGGAGAAATGCCCAGGTCGAGTGCTGGCGTGCGAGAATCACCTCGAACGTCTTTCATGGACGGCTCAGCGCGTCTCAGCCATGCGTTGCAAGTGTCGATGCGTGCGTTGGAGCTTTCTTTGTCGAAGGCCACCGAGGTGGCACTGCGGCAGTCTATCGCCATCGCGGAGAGCGTTCTTGAAGACCACTTATCGTTGCCGCATGGAGTGCAGGACCGGCATGACCCTCATGGCCAGCATGGCCCAACCCACGGCCCACGCAGCCAGCGTGTCTCAGCGTCGAAACACCCAGCACCCCACGCTACTCGCAGCTCCTCAGTTTCACACACCACCTCGATGTCATCGATCGGACAAGAATGGTCAGAGATGTCTGCTCGGGTTCCACAATTGGGAGCTGCCCGCCGCAAGAGCTCTGTCACCAATAGTTTGTGGACAGACATCTGACTTTGCTCTTGTAGCCTGAGCAGTGCAAGTTTGACCCTGTCCGCATGCGTCTCCCTGACGCTCTGAGACGTGCAGTGAGAGGTGCTACGACACCAGTTTCACCAAAAGCGAGAAAAAGCCTTTCTGAGCTTCTTGCGGCGCATGTTTTGCGATCTGTTCATGCTCTGGCGACTGAACAAGTGAATGTATTTGCTCATTCGCTATCCATCCGCACCCTTAGGTACGGCTTTTATCTCCACGTCTACGCGGATCCTGCAGCAGTGATCTATCAGGCCCAACCCTGACAAACCTGAGCAACTATTGAACACTGACCGTAAGGCAAGAACACGGCCCCCCCCCCTTAAAAATCTGGGAATGAAGGGGGGGGGGTACCCCCACTGCCGCCTATTTCCGGGCTTCCCCGCCGCTTATTTTGCTACAGTGGGGGGGGTCTGAAAAATAAGCGGGGAATTATCGTTGAACTTAAGTTATGGGGCTGCCTGTCATGTTAAACAAACAGCAGGGATGTAGAGCGTCTCAGGGTCCGACAGGGGCATTGTGGGGATCCCACGGAGGTCACACAGACAGCTGGAAACAGGTGGCGGGGGGGGGGGGGTTGGGGTCATAAAGGGCAGGGCCTGTTGCACGCTACAGTCCCTCCCCCTCCTTCCCGCTTATGTGGGGGTGGGTCGTAAAGGGCAGAGCCTCTCGCACGCTATAGTACCCCCCCCCTCCTTCCCGCTTATTTCTGGGGCGTTCCTGGTCCCACAGGGGTCCCACAGAGCCAGAAACTGCCAGAAACAGGCGGCGAGGGTGGGGGTTTGGGGTGGATCATAAAGGGCAGGGCCTCTTGCGCGCTGCAGTCCCCCCCCTCCTTCCCGCTCATTTTTGGGGCGTTCCCGGTCCCACAGGGGTCCCACAGACCGCCAGAAAACATCCTAACAGTCGCACAACCCACCTGCCATCGTGTTGCAGCAGGTTCCGGAACAGACACAAGAGGGACAAGGTCACATCTGGGCTGTGCCTATCCGCCCCAAGCCCCCTCGCCTTCCCCGCCCATTTGGCATGCACGTGGGAAGCCTTTATCCCAGCTGCAGAGGGTGGGGGGGGGGGACTATAGCGTGCAAGAGGCCCCGTATGGCTGTCTGAAATTCATTGAGGTCTTGCGAATTTCACCTGCCGTCGTGTTGTAGGTTCAGGAACAGACACAAAAAAGGACAAACTGCCACATGCGGGCTGTGCCTAGCCACGTTGGGCGAGCAACACTCCCGGGGCCACACTTCACAAACTCAATTTGGCCATGAAACGTACACTCAGGATCGAGGTTTCAAATCAGACACGCAGCAGACACAGACGCCGGTGAAGACAGCTCAGAACTACAGGTGTCACACGGCAAGCCCCTTGTGCACATGGCCCAGTCCTTCATCGGCTCCACGATGAAGAACAAGTGTTGAATGAATGATGCCGCCTTTCAGCGCGACAAAGAATGTTCACGACATGTAAATATCCACTAGCAAAACATTCTAGCCTGCAAAACACGAGAGGTGTCACGCGGCAAGCTTCTTTAGATTCTGTACATGAACAGCGCGTTACGGGCATCAGGGCGCAAACGGGCTTATAGTTCGGGTCGGGAGGGAGCAAGTTGTCCAACAAAGGATATCCCCTTGCCCTTGCTTGAATCATATGTCTGAGACTGGACAGTTTTGAAGCAATCTTGCTCCATGTGCTTGATGTAAAGAAAAGAAGGGCTCTGCTTGGCAGGGCGCATGTGTGTGTGTGTGGCACCGTCGGCTATTGCAGAATGATGCCGGGAGAATATGTGTATGATGCTCAACACAAACACCACGTAGCCTCTTGGAAACGTACTTGAATAATGAAAGTCGGCGCCTTCTCGCTTGACTATTAAAAAACCAAGACAATCATGACTGAATCATGACCGTTTTGAGTCCAAGAAGTTTGTTTCAAGCGACATGCGTTGTTCAGATCACAGAATACCAGGCGCCAGATACCAACCATATTTATATTCAGATCGTAAAGTCGACGGCTTGGTCTTAGTGTGTGCGCACAGGTCAGGCAGGTGAAGAAGTTCTTTCCGAACTCGCCGCTGCTTGTTTGCACATGCCCAAGAGCGCGCATACTAAACTTAATGTTAATTTGCCAACACGATCGCTGCCGAAAGTCGCCAAGTGCTGTTCAAGAAAGCGTCATGCACTTGTGCGGAAGCCTTGAGGTGTCTCCTTTGCAAGGGTCGTGCAACTTGTGCTTCAACTCCGTACCAACTTGGCGTCAGCTGAGCATTATGCCAGTTGATGCATGATGCAAGGATTTACGTGATGAGCGATGGTGGTTTGGACTTCACCAAGCTATGTGCGGAGGCAGGCTTGTTGCCCGCCTCCGATGCAGAACTTGTGCAACAGAGCGTGTGACACGAGCATCCCGCCAGAAAAGAACATCCTAAAAAAAGGAGGGGGGGGCCCGCAACCCTTTCTTTCTGTTTCGGGGGCTGTTGCGCTGTTGCGCCTGGGAGCCGATGCTGGCCAACCTGCAGGTCCCAACCCAGACAAAGAGTGAGGGGGCTGTTGAGGCTGTTGAGGCCTCAGACCCCGCTTGGCCATGCCCGGTGCTGCCGGGCTTCTTCGATTGCAGAAGAAGAAAGACTATGTTTGACAAGGGAGGGCCCTGTTTCATTGTAACTTGCAAAAAGCTCGGCGCCCGAGCACCTAGCTCCATCGTGCCACCCCATTTTGTATTTTCGCAGCAAAGAAGGAGAAAGAAAGGAAGCGCAAGGAGACAAGGAAAACCAGTGGCCAGTCTGTATCGTAAAACCGCGCAAAAGCCGAAGCCACAGCCAAGTTCAATTGCAAATAGGGCCCCGTGTATTTCCCGAAGCGAACTGACCATATAAGCAACCTTAGAAACAGCCGAGCGTCGGCAATGCTGTAATCCACTTGGCTGGGTTACTTTCTGATTCCACGCTGAAGCGCTCCGCCGGTTTGGCTTCACCTCGAGATTGAATGGGGAGCAATATGAGACGTTTACCATTGCAACCAGTCATGCTGCAAGCATCTTGTTTTGGGCTCGGGAGAGATGCCCACATTCCCACGAAACGGTGACTGCTGTGACTGCTGAAGCCCTGGCCTATGTACCAATGAAGCAACCCTTGACCTACCACGGGCTCGCACTTGTAACAAGCTGGCATGACCTCGGCCAGGAAGGCTGCACCTTTGTCTTATGCCCACCTGCGAGACTTCGCGCACATTATTGGCAGAGGGTGCAGGTAGGTTCAGGTACCTAGGTGCAATCGTGCAGACCTCGATGCGGCGTCCGAGGAACGATCGCTGGCATCCATGGCCCTTCTTCCGCAGACTTTGGGATGCCGCCAACAGTCTCTTGCTTCCAGCATACCGGTTGGCTCGTTTTGCCATGGGTATAGTCAAGCCAGGAATGGGAGAGTATATGTGTAAGTCTAGGGAGACTCATCAGCCTTGGAGCTAGCACTGGATTCGCATGTCACCTCTTTGAAGTCACCGTAGGCGCTGCGAGGGGTTTTCCGCATCATTCGCTGCTGAACTGTTGGGCCATTGATGTCTTGCTGAGCTTTCTGAAAGGTTTGGAGGTCAAGTACATCGTCATGCTAGAGCCCGACAACACGATGCCACTGGTCAGCATAATAGTTGCCAGTTGAGCTGCATTTGAGCTTGGAAGATGCTGCTGCGCGTGCACTATGCTGGTTGTGTGGTCTGCAGTCATGGATATCCAAAACGTCCGCCCGGAGCTGACCTGGGAGGACTATTCGTGTGTCGCGCCTAAAACAAGCCTTGCTGTCGGGTAATTCGTTGTTTGCTTTGCGTCGGATCAATCTGCCAAGCATGTCTCTCTCAGCGTACACTGGGTATGCTCTATTTCGCAATCATATGCTCGGCCGAGGCAGGGCCGAAGCTTCGGTCTTGTTCGTTACGTGGCTGCTGGGCTGACAGTCAAAGTTTCTCTACGGTGCGCACTGGTGCATGTTTTTGCACTCAAGTGACTCAAGTGCACTGACTGGCTCTCATGTGAGCTCATTTGCACTCTTTACCCAAGCCCTGCGCTGCGTCTTCCATGATGTGGGCTGAGGAGAAGTTGGCACAACAGCGTAGCCCGGGCTTCAAATGGTCAAAGCCTCTTGATGGAAATGCGCATCTCCGAAGCTCTGTACGTGTGCAAGCGCTTATTTGTTCAGGGACTAGGACTGAAGATGAAGGTTGTCTCGCTTTCAAACAGCAAATCGAATTGAGGATAGGGAGCAAAAGGAGTTACGGCAAAAATGTTCTTTTTTGGGGGCGGAAATTGAGCCGAGGATGAGCATGTCATCCGGCCTTTGCGGGGGAGCCTCCTGGTTGCAAGCAAGTGTCCCTCTGCCTTCCTTGGCGCAGACAAAACTCCGAAAAACACCTTAACCACCTCCTAAATATCCGACATGTTGAATTTGGTGGGTTTGAGTCGGTCTAAGTCAAATAACATGATACAGATGTCGCATTTCAATGTGTAAGCCGTTTTGCGGGCACACAGATGCTTGGCCAAGGCCTATTTTCGCCGAGAGGCAGTGCTGGCAGCTTGAACTGTGATGTATATGATGTATGCAATAAGGTGCTGGCTTGGATGCCCCAGCCGTTTGGGCACAGGAAGGGTGGCCCTGCCTAGTCCAAGGGCGCAGTACATCTGAGATCTGCAGAGGATGTAAGAAATCTGCGCATTCCTTGAACCGGCTCTGTCGTCTATGTCGTCTGAGGATGCCTTGTCCGATGAGAACATGATGAAGCTGGACTGGAACTATTTAGGCAAGCCGCAGTCAAGGCCATGTTTTCGCAATCAGGCACGGCCTTGTCAGCAGGTGACAGGCTGAGCAAGGAGATTTTCTCATCCGACTTTGCTATGCAGCCCCTTGCCTTCGCACGAAGCCGAACCATACCTGCACGAGTCTGCTTTGATGGAACGTTGCCTGCCTCCCTAGGTATGCCTTTGCAGCCCGAGGGTGGAGGATCGAACCTTGGGAGGAGACAGCCCAGACACTAATCACACAATAGTACCTGTTTTCTTCCATGATTTCTCGATCCGAGGGCCTTGGCAGATCTTGACAGCTGTCAGTGGCCTCCCAGGATGGACAAGCATCCAGACGAGCCCTTGACTGGAGCCAAAGATGCAGCATTCCGTCACTACTGCGCTTGCTATCCTGGGGGCAAGCCCACCTACAACATGAAAGTTGCAAAGGCTGCTGCTTGTTTGCACATCTTTGCACATCGAAGGATGCCTGTGTGTGGAGTTATGTGGACATTATCAACGGAGCACAAGTTTGGTTCTCTACAAGCCATACTTCGGCCCACCACGCTCATTTCCCAGAACGTCCAGTACGGATACGCGGTTTCAAGCTGCTGTGAGAGATGCGAGCTTCTCAATTGCCATGCTCGGAACCGGCAGCTCCGGAGTAACCCTCCCCGTTCCCACCCGAACAGCCTTGGCGAATAAAGCGCGAAAATCAGACTGGAGGCCCGGGCCCGGGGCTGCAGGCCTTCAAGATGTTTGAGCCCCCTCAAGTGACTGCATAGTCTTGCCCATCTTGCCCGCAAGGCCAGTCCCGACTCCCCAAGCCCGGAATGCAAAAGGGCTGAGGTGCCTGAGGCCTTGAAGCTTCATGACGGCCTCTGGGGCTCCGGCCTGTTCCGAACCACCTGAACAAACGAAACCGTACCCTCATGAAAAAGGAGCCCTGTTGCGTAAAGTAAGACCACGCTCCAGAAGATTTTGGAGAATCTGAAGCTGCACTTGCGCGAGGCACTACTCAGGAACAATGCAGGAATCTTTTCGTTTAGGGCTTTGGGGCCGGGAGTCTGTCAAGAATCACTTTTGCTCAAAAATCCGGCTTCTGAACCCTGAGCAGTGCGATCCTCGTTGGCATTGAACTTAGGAGGCAGGTGACATGAGGGACGCATCGTATAGTGCCGGTGGTTTGCATGCCCAGCATGGAGTTCCATGTCCTTGCATGTCCATTGACTCATATGCCATAATTCGAGGGTTCAGAGTTCAGGGCGCTTGCCTTGTGAAAGGCCGCATGACAGGTCAGGCTGACACTGAGTAGGCCCAAACATAATCAAGAAAACCTCTGGGCCAGTGTTCGTGTGATGTTGCCAACAGAGTGATTCGCGCACCTTGCACGCACAAACATCAGGTGGAGCTCAGGAGCGAAAAAGTGGTGTCACCTACCAGCTCCGGCCCCCTGCGCATCGTTCAAGAAACCTTCAATCCAACCCGAAAACCATAAGACCCTCCAGAGCCCGAGCGGACCGCAAACAGGTGGCTAAATGGCACCTCACGCATCAGTGTCGATCTGATAAGTCAGTCCAGAGGCAAACATGCCCTGGTTCAGGGCCGGGCGCAGGCAAGGAACCTCGTAAATACCACGACTCGCATGGTGAAATCACGCTGCGCCCCCGCTGCTTTCCCATCCGTCTTGCTTCTTTCAAGGTTTTCTGTTCCTGAAGCTCCATGCCTTGATGCTGCCATGTAAGGATGAACGATTGTTCCGAAACGGTGGGTGCCTTGGCTGCTGCAACTAGTGTCGGTGAGGCCGATGAACTTAAACATCAGGAGATGTACCTGTCTGCCTTTCCTAGAGCATCCCAGCCCATCTTCTGGCCTGTCCTGCCTAGCTGTGTTTGTCTTTAATCTGTCATCTATCTCCAGCACTTCACCCGTCTAGAGTCTGGACAGTCTAACCATCCGCCTTACGACCGTAGCCTGTCGATCTGATTTATTAAGCCATGCGACCCTTTCTAAATCGATCTTGTCTTTCTCGTAGCAGCAGAGCGGTAGCAAAAAAGCAAGTCTCAGTGACAACCTGCAGTCCCTCCTCAAACAAAGTGACAGCCTGTTTATTCCTTTTTGTCTGGCTTATCTGTGTGTTGTTCGCCTTTCTTTTGTGTGTTGCATACCTTATCCATATCATCGGATTGCCTGTGCATCTCTAGCCGGGTCTTGTCCTCCAACGTACACACGTGCACCTTGTTCATTAGTTCATTTGTCATTTTCCGACTTGCCAAATCGGGTTTTTCAGAACAGTTAATCCTATACGTTCTTCTTGTCTAGCTGTCTTTTCTTGCACATGCGCACGTTTTCTAACTGCAGGTCGTTCTCAGGGAAGGTCGGCCGGCAGGATGCCAAGATGGCGCATGCCAGCGTCTATGATCCCTTTGTGCCCTTCTTTTGAGAGGTCGCACTTCTCTTGGCATCACACAGAAAGAACATGAAAGAACCATTGCCCTTCGTTGCCACACGCAGGGCAGCATTATCGTTGGCGTGCTTTGCGTAGCTGTCCTGCTCGTCGTTCGATACCACCTCTGAAATCTACAAGGCTACTCGGGAAGGCCTGAAATTCGCAGGGTCAACTGGCCCAGCTGGAGACCAATCTCTGGACCTCGCAATAATATGAGGCCTGGAGAAACTGCTACTGTACACAATGATACGATCTGTGAGACAAATGACAGCTAATTTCCACCATCGCCAATGAGTAGCTTTTAGGCTGAACCTTCTGGTGTGCATGACGGGTTACCTGCTCAATGGAGTGTTGCTGAGTTGCCCTGTGGCGGAGTCAGCTCAGGTATCAAATGACATCTGGCCCATACTCTGCATCTGTCTGCCAAGTTTGCTACAACTCGAGTCGCTACCTGCAGCTCTGGGGGTCTGCGGCCCTCCAGCATAAGTGTGTGACGCCATGAATTTGTGTTCACACCATGAGCTCTTGCTGGCTGATTCTCTGGAGGCTAGGTGCACAAACAGTATTCCTTTCCAGCTCTCCGAGAAGCTGCTGAAGAGGTGTTGCCAAGCAGTTCACCAAGTTCTTGCTAAACTTAGCTGGGTCTCACTTGCCGGCTAGCATGTGCGTGACAGTTTTTGTGTTGCACAGGCACCACCCCGACTTGGAGACAAAGCCGTGCCACACAGCTGCACAAAGCAACCGCCACACTTCCGCTGACACGTTCAAAACGATGCTTGCTCATTCAGAAAGATGCTTCATCTCGTACAGAGGCAACAGGCAAGGTCCGTAATGTGACCGTCGCTTCCGTTCTCCACGGTAGGTAATCTGGACTGGCTATGTGAGACTGGAAAAATGCGTGGTCCTGGCCACCTGTCTAAGCTGAGAAGCGCACGTGCCTGGGGGACGCATGCAGTTCTCACTTTTGAATATCACTGTTTGTAATATGCGCGTGCGTGGTGTCTGCACGGCCGCTGCCAAGGTGTGGATGTTTCAGCTCCGACTCCAAGCATAGATCCGCAGGCTTGGAGATTGGCGCACCCTGATGATGGCAATAGAAGCGGCTACGGGGTATCGCGTCCTGCAAAATGGCAAGATATGGACATTCCTCGATTAGGCGGTGTTAACAAATGTCTGCAGTAGCTGTGGGGCTGTTGAGTATGGTCCTCCCCCCCCCACCGGCTTGAAAAGGTTTGAACATTACACCGTGTAAGTTGCTAGCGGATTGCTGCAAACTCTTGATGCGCTTGTCTTGGTCGGAGGGCGTTGCTCTATTTTCTTCCTTTGAAGGCTAAGTACCTCATGGTGGAGCAGCCATCCGCAAGCTGTCCTCCTGGCACGAAGAGCTTGGAGTCTGCACCTGGGCGGCCATCTAAATGGTCATGTAATAAAATACAGCATATTGTATAGTAGAGAGAGAGAGAGAGAGAGAGTAAAGTATAGCAGAGAAGAGTAGAGCATAGAAGTAGAGTATAGTAGTGTATAGTAGAGACATGTAGAGACTAGTCGAGTATAGTAGAGTATAGTAGAGTATAGTAGAGTATAGTAGAGTATAGTAGAGTGTAGTAGAGTAGAGTATAGTCGAGTATAGTCGAGTATAGTAGAGTATAGTAGAGTATAGAGGATAGTAGAGTATAGTAGAGCATAGTAGGGTACTATTCAGTATGGTATATGTTTACTATAATATAGTATACTATAGTACAGTAGAGTATAGTATACATGGAAAAGTATGGTATGGTCTTGTCCAGTCTAGTGTAGGACAGTCATAGTATAGTACAAGAATAGCAATAGGAGAGTAATGGTTTAGTAATAGTATAGTAATAGAACAGTAATGGAAGAGGAATAGTAGAGGAAGAGAAAAGTAGTAGTATAGTAATAGCATAGTAATAGAAGAGTAATAGTATAGTAATAGAAGAGTAATAGTAATTGTATAGTGATGGTGTAGTAGTCGTATAATCATCGAAAAGTTATAGTATAGTAATGCAGAGCATAGAAAAGTGTAGTGTAGTGCAGTGTAGTGTAGTGTACATGGTATAGTATGGTATGGTATGGTCTAGTCTATCGTATAGTAAAGTATGGTATAGTATTGTATAGCAAAGTATAGTGTCCTCGATGGCGTTTTGAGGTTTAGCCAGCTATGTGGAGGGTTGTCATCTCGCGTGGCAATGGAAGGGTTGCGACAGTCTGAACCAAGCAGAGCCTGACACACATTCTGGAAAGTCGGTCCTCTGTCTGGCAGGGAAGCGCAGGGAGGCTTCTGTGTTTCATGGCCCTTGTCAGAGGGTTAACATGGCCGTTTATCGCAAAAAGTGCAAAAGTGAGTTGGGGGTTTCAAAATGGCATAAGTTCCAGCTTGAAAACGCTTTCAGGATTCACGTGGAAGCAGGTCTGGTACTCGTAATTGCTAACCACGTATTCGACATGAAGCTACGCGAAGCGGGCCTGTGAGCTTCTTGGAATATCTGGGCAAACTCAGCATGCGTTGCTTAACTTTGTTTGTGCAAGGTAGGTGAATGCAAAGCAGCTGCTGCGAAGCTACAGCACTCGTGCCTCAGCGCAAACATATTAGGGGCTCCACGCCATTGTGGTCCGCACAGTCTCTCAACTTTTGGATGTCATTGACAGAGCGCGCTTTGTGGATGCGTGTAATCAGAGGTTGGCATACGAAGACGAGATTTATCAGGAGCATCTTGCCTCGACAAATCTGCTGGTCCATTGCCATGACGGTCATCGAAGAGAGTATCTTTCCTGTTCAGAAACCCAGGAATGATCCCAGAGGTTGTGTGTTTCGTGCACCTGACAACGACATGTACTTCAATGACGCAGAAGAAGGCAAGACTTGCGGTACATGTCACCATAACCATAGTTGCGAGTGCAGTGTGGGTGTGAGGGGTCAAGGCTCCAGATCCGCATACCAGCAGCCAAAGATCGGGGCATTGCCGGTAGTATTGCGGTGCTGCTTCCTTTTGCTGCACTCTGCTGCATGCTCAGCCAGGCATGATTGCTTTCATGTGCTGCATCCATCTCAGGCAGAGAGAATTCAGCCCGACGCCTCGTCTGCAGGGTGGAGAGCTGACGCAGTCATATTGCCAATTGGGACCAGCAGCCAAGCACTGCATGTGTCAACTTGAGGGCATGTTGGGGCATGCCTGCCGTCTCCTCGCGATGCTAATGCTTCAAAGCAGTAAGGTACGAGGAGAAGGGGGGTACAGTGGACACAGCGAACGCGGGACCGGACCCCGTCGGCTGCCTGCCGCCGGCATTCAACGTCGCAAAGCTCAAGCCGCAGAACGCCGTCTCGCACCAACATGCCCTATTGCATCGACAGCCCGAAGATGGCTGGAGATCGATGCCTCATGCAAGAAAAATGGCAGCAGACACAACAGGTTCAGGAACAATCGATCACTGCCCGGGATACAGAGGCTTCTACTGTACACCGTTCAGTAGGCCAGACCACATGAACCACATCTTGGGCCAGATGTTCTCAAGTCCCCATGATTGCAGCCCACTTGTGTTCGATCTGTGAGGGAATCTTCCACACACATCTTTTTACGCAGGCCAAGAACTGATGTTAATTATCCCCCCAAAGTTTTTGTTGGACCCTGTGTAATGTCTCAAACAGCACAAACTACAAGAAGGAGCTTAACCGGTTGCATAATGGAAAGAACAGCCAGCAAAGACTCCACGCGTAGGGCGGTTGAGTCGTGAGGGTGTGAGGGAACTGGGTATTTGTTCACATGCTGGGGTCTCGCAGCTGCTTCCGATCAAACAACAGGTATGCGTAAAACGAGCGCAAATAAAGTATGCGCAGATATCAGCTCTGACTGCGCAGTGTCAAGTGGCAGAATGCGAATCAAGATGTGGCTTGAGATTTAGCATGTTGTCCTCGAGTAAATTCTAGATTCCGAATCAAAACGATCAGGGTTTATGTTTATGCTTTCAGGTCTAGAGTCTGGGGTTGTCAGCCTCACGTCTTCTACCTGACAATGTTCACGCAATGTGCTAACATAGTTTACCAAGATTTTGCAAGAAGAAACACCGCGCCCAGAGTATGTCGCCCTCTAACTCAAACAGTAGGAAACGAGACATGAAGGAATACACTAGCATATCATGAAGAAAAGCAAACCCGAGAACATCACAGCATCTGTTTCCCCATCTCGGACAGCAGAAAAACAACGGACAAAGCACATGCCGACAGAATGAAGACAAGCAACCACATGCTCAGAGACCAGAAAACAAGACATGAAGGAGACAATAGCACGTTCTTAAGGAAGACAAAGCCTGCCGATGCCCAGTAGCGCGTCACAGCATCCGGCACCCCATGTCGGAAACCAGAAAACGAGACATGAGGCGATCTCCAGACAAATCCTGCTGCTGATCCCCAGAAGCGCGTCACAGCGTCCGGCTCCCCGTCTCGCACACCACAAAACGAGACATGAGGGGAGACAATAGCAGGTTATGAAGGGAGACAAATCCGGCCGATCCCCAGAAGCGCGTCATAGCATCCGGCACCCAGGGAGACAAAGTGACAAAAGGAACTTATGAAGGGAAGCAAACCGGCACGGATCGTCACACTATCCCTTTCCTTACTCAAATCTAGAACCCCATAGCTTCGCTGTTTGGGGAATAAAGAGGCCAAGATCTGAAGCGACCTGAAGAATGGAAAGCCTGCGGCTGAAGATTTGCCAAGAGGGGCTTCGAAATCAAGCCCCAAGACAAGGCCCGCTATTATTCAGAAGGTTCTGAGTCGAGAGCCCTGCCCTTGGATTCTCCAGGCCCGGGCTCTCCAAATCCCGAAGCCAGGGTTTCTGAAGATTTTTAAGGATGCCTGGCCTCATGATTCCAAAGCTTCCTCCTTTAAGCCAAGAGGCCAGAAACATCAGAAACCCTTGGCCCAACACGGTGCCAATTCTAGGAGGTCAGGCTGGCTCCTGGACCAGCCTTGCCGGATTGATCGGGACAATGTTTTCGTATGGTTGCTTGTCGAAGGCAGTTCTTGAAACCCCCTTGGTTGGAGTCTTGGACAAGGAGGCTTGGCCATTCAGAGGTTGGTTAAGGTTTAGGGTTTCGTTTGTCAGGATCTAGGTTTGCAGCTTAATTTAGCTTAGTGTAAATCGAACCGGCAAAAATAGAACCCCCAAACAGTCAGACGATCAGGACTAGCCCGATGTTGAAGCGTTTTGCCAGGCGCTGCCCTGCAGTGCGTCCGAAAGTGGTCAAGCCGAAAGCCCGGAACCCCCTCCCTCTGTTGTACGGATTTCGTTGTTTCTGGTTGCATCGACATATGGGGTGAAGGCGAGTAGTTGATGTCCGGCTACCTCGACTGTTCCCTGCAGAGTGGCTCCAGTGTGGTCAGACCCGACACCCACAGCAGGGCAAGCAAAAACGCTGGACCCCAAAAAAACCACTACTACCCCTAAGCTTGCACCATGGCAAACCGAAACAGCTATGAGGCCCCAGAACATGGCGACCCATAAAACCCAAAACCGAAGTTTGTACTTGCTTACGGGAAACATGCGCTCGCGCTGTTGCGGAACACGACTTCAATCGTCCATGACCTCGAGAACCCCAGTGCAGACTCTTGCAACTTGCAATTCAGTCAAAGTTGCCACCGAACGTTCGACTAATTTAGGCACCATGATAGTCAATGCAAAACCTTACAGAGTGTAGCTGACACCATGTGCTTGGGAGCCCATGTGCTGCAGCCATGGCAAAAGGACTCGTGAAAGGCTTTGTGTGGGGACTCGTTGATAGCCTGTGTCTTTGGGCAATCGCAGGGCGTTGGAGGGTCGGAGGGAGCAGACCTTGACTTGGCATCAGGCTTTGTCTCCAAGCCGCGGCAGACGCCATCACGGCAAGGCCAGCCATTGCTGCGCATTGAGATGGATCACGACGTTGTGGTCCCATGTAAGGAAACCTCACAATTTTCTTGTGCCTACCCGGCTGCTTTGCAAGAAAGCAACAGCTCCCCCACCATCCTTCAAACAGCACGTGTTAACCTTGAAGCCGGACTGGTGCACAAAACGCACCCGCACCTGCTTTCCAAAATGTCTAGAGAGGGTTACATTGAATTGTGCTCACGGTCTGCGTATTGTGAGAACATAGGGGAACATTTATTAGTATCATTACGCGGGGGTCATGATATGTTCTCTTCTTATTATTTACCCACGATATCCTGATTAACACGTGCATGGATGGTACTATTTTCAGCGCGTTATGAATAATTGTAAACGCTTGCGCGCGCCGCCTCGGCAGCCGGGCCAGCCCCAGGACAGGAAAGGAGGTCGCAAAAAAAGGGGAGGAAGGGCAGCGGGGCTAAAGTTGTTCCAGACGCTTCTCGGCAGGAAGCCGAGGCGAATAATCTGAACGAAACAATAATAGGATGATAGCGGTCTAGCTCCTGGAGAAGCTGCATGAATGAATTTCGAAAGGCTGTTTAGAATGGGGGCATGAATGCGCTACTTCGTGCACTTTGTTCATGGTGTTCACTGGTGATAAAAAAGCCCTAATATGCCCCAATTAGAATATCTTTACATGCGGCATTTTTCTCCATCCAGAGTAAACATTAGAAGTTAGTGCCATTATAAAGAGGCCCCCCTAAAGGAACCCCAAAAGACCTATTTCAAAATCACAAAGAATGACGCGTGCATTTGTATTAGGCTTTTTCAAGCCGTTCCTTCGTTCACTCGACCTCCAAACCAACCCCTCGCCTAATCTTCTCTAATCTGAATGAACAATCCTTTCACAATACCATCAGCCTGCTAGACCCCTAAGCAATTTGGGGTATCCTGAACAAGCCCGAACACTGGGAGGCCTGTGTAAAGTTTCAGTAAGTGAGCCTGACACACTTCAAGCGGTGAAGCAGCTCGTGCTGCGAAGCCCATGAGTTGTTGTTGGGGTGGGGGGGGGGGGGGCGGCTGGAAATTGGTGGAGGTTGGGGGGGGGGGGTTTCCGACTTGAGAAGGACAAGACTCTCAGGTTGTCAAAGCGTGGGTCGGTGCAAGAATCGGAGAGCTTAACTGGCTTACGTTTACCTGAAGCAGGTGAAGCCATCGTTTATGCGCAGTGTCACATACTTGTAGGGTTCAGGTGTGCGGGTTGTGTAGGCAGCAATCCTGACTCCCTCGATGTTACGCCGACTGCAGATGCTGATTCTGGGCTGCACGTGGGAGATGCAAGACGCAGCTGTTGAGCGTTGGACTTTCGAGCCTTGGACGTGTTGATGCCAAGGTCCGGAAACCCGGCATGCGCCAAGACCTTACACGGGTGCCGACAAGCATGTCAACAAGCCGTCAGCCCACATATTGCACGCGAACCATGTTCCAAAAAGCCGCAGCAAGGGAACAGCATCGTACCATTTCAGTATGCAGTCTTGGTGTCCGGAGTATCTGTAAGGTGAGGTGGCAGTCGTTTGGGTGTCTTTGGACTAAGTGCCTTGCCTTCTGACATTTCTGACGCGATGTTCAAAACAAGGCCGTCGAATCTTCCAGGAGGCCAAGCCATGAACTGCCAGCACTGGTGTGCCCTTCGCTCCCAAACATTCCAAACATTCCAACACAACACCGACTCACTTTAACCCTTTTACACCCCGTTTAAGTACCTCCTTTTAAGTACCTCCTGCCCAGACGACGGGATTCGTACACTAAGAAGTGTCGATGGCGTCAGAAGAGTCTTGATGACATGCTTTCTCTGCACATGTTTGGCTTGATGTCAGGCACGAAGCCGCCTAGGCCGGCCCGCTGAGCATCAGGGCTGCTCATGCTGCTAGCATCGGCTGGTACTGGCTGTGATCATTGTGTCATTGCGAATTTAGAAGGCTGGGTGTGAGTGAATTGCCCACCGACAAACATATGACTCATGTCGTTGGCTGCTTTGCTGAAAAATGTGACCCTGTTTGCGCGGATAATTTCCAGACAGGACAGCCACAGATTGCCAGAAGCTTCAATTCGGACAGTTCCACCAAACTGCACAAGTAACATTGAGGAAACTTGCCTGAACTTGCATGTCTCATTGTGGCGCAAGTTGTGAACAGATCAGACGCCAGTGACAGACATGATGTTCTGCTGCTGCGTGGCGGAGAAAGCGGACGATGGAATCGGTCTTCCTCCAATCATCCCCGACACTGCACAAACGAGTGAGTCCACCATCCTGAAGACGCTCAGCAAATTCAGCAGTAGCATACGTAACACATCTTCACACACCAGCACGAGTGCTTGCGACTGTTTAGAAATTAGGCCGCTGTTGCCACAAGTTTCTTTCTTGCTCTGAGCTCTTTGAGCTAGCTTTGAGGACAGCTCCAGCGATGCAGGCTGAAGAACCTGCGCCAAGCATGCTCGACATCTTCACCGTCATCATACGGCGACAAGATGGACCACATGGGTTGCAGGTAGATGGCACGGATCCTGACTGTGCCCTTGTCAGGGCGATCAAAGAAGCTAGCCAGGAAGAGATGCCAGGTTTGTGTTTTCACAGCAAATGAGTCAAATGAGTGGTGATTCTCACGAAAGCTAGATGTCTAAGGATGGCGCAGTAGCAGAGTGGAATAAGATCACCATGGAGAACCGCGTCAAAGTCTTTGATCGCATTGTGGAGGTGAACGGCACCAGAGGTCAAGCTTCAGATTTAGTGAAGGCTTTGGCAGCAGATGCGGAGTCGACGTCGATCACAATACAACGGCCGTGTGAGAGGAACGTCAAGTTGCAGAAGCCTGGCGAGATCGGCGTGATCCTCAATTACAAAAAGGTGGGATCTGCGGCCCCATGGATCTCAAACATCAATGCAGGCCTGCTAAGCCAGTGGAACCAGGAAAGGCCCGAATATGCCGTTCAAACCCATGACAGAATTGTGGCAGTCAATGGCACGAAGGGTGCTCCGGAAGAACTGATGCTGAAGATGAAGGAGGCAACTTCAAGTCTGGACTTGAGCGTCCTACACTATGCTATCTGATCCCTGTAGTCCTTGAGATCCGTGTCGTAGACCGTGCCTGCCGCAGGGCAGGCTCGACGGACGCAAGCTTCAGAATTTTTGCAGTTTTCTTCATTCCATGGCAGTCTGTGACGGGTGTTTCATCACTTCCCAAAACTTGCGGAATGTTTCACCGGACTGGGTCGAGCTGGATTTGGAAGGCTCTTGGAAAACGTCTAGCGAGACGCACTGGTAATGACGCTCAGCAGCTTAGCGCGCACCGCGCTGGAGCAGACAATGCTGACGATGGTGTAATGGTCCATGTCCTGTTCAGATGAGAAGAAGTCCACGGGCGCCGCTTCAAACATGGCCGTATGCTTAGCTGGATGTAGTGCTTGTTTCGTTCAGATTGCAGCTGCGATTTGGCTTGCATAATATATGAGTCATACAGTATGGCCACGATTTGCGGCCTCTTGGCAGTCTGCGCAAGATGCCCTCGCCTTCGGGGCAGACCTGCCTGAGGCGTTGCTGAAGAGTGCCGCAGAGTCATTGACACAGTCCATCAGGCAGCGTCCGATGAAGTTGTGATATGCTGTTGTGAGGGGCCGTGTGGCATGTTGCATCTTTCAAGGGAAGCCCGACTTGCCCATGACGTGACTGAACAGATTCTTGGCGCCTGCCTCTGTTAAACAGGGTGGTAACAAATCAAAGTCTGTGAAGCTCGCAGTCAAAAGGCAATGAGTGTGTGTTGGCAGCATGTCAAAGGTGTGACCTTGCGAACCGTGTACCTCAGGCCCGCTCGTAGCCGAGTTTGGCTGAGGCTTCAAAGGCCGAGGGCGCCAGAAAGCTTCAAAGAAAGACATCGCGGGGCGCTCGCACTTTACGTTGGCTGGAGCTCCATACTGGGCGATCAACGAGAGCAGAGACGTTTAGCCATGAGCGTGCAAGAAAGGCACAAGTGCAACGTCTCCTCCATGACCTCGAGGTGGATTTGGTTTGAATGGGCGTTCGAGGGGCGGCACGGACAAGAGAGAATGTTGGGCCGATTCAAGGTTTCGTCACTCTGCACCGGCTGCACGCTGCAGATGCCTCCCATTTCCTTCGGTTTTCCTAAGCTCTGTCTTCACTGACATTGACTCACTGCCATGGGGCAGCGGGCAGACGGGGACTTCGTGGAGATTGAAGAAATCAATGGAGAGAGGGAAGTCAAACCCTGAAAGGCACGCTGGAAGCAAGTCTGGCTCTTTAAGGAATGAATCAGAAGGTCAAATCTGAAGACAACTCTGGGATTTACAAGGGTTTCGCATCGACTGGAGGCAGGAGAAGAATTCATTCCCTCCTATCCTTTTCACCACGCGACTTCCTGAGTGAGGAAGCGGGACACTGGTGGTACTTGGATCAACAAACCGCCTCAACTTTAATTGCAGGCAAAATTTTAATGGGTGTACCTTTCCCAGTATCCCAAGAGCATGTCAAGATGCAGGCAGACTCAAATGCAAAGCACATTGACACCAGGCCTGACCTTCAAAGCTGTCAGATGTCTCATGCTGCATTGCCACCACAGAGCTGCGAGATGCTACGAAGGACCTTGAGACAAGTCCTGGCTGATGTAAAAGCTGCCTTGGACACCGCCCGTCTCAACAACAAGTTGAAGGACGGATTTGCGGCAATCATGTTTCTTCGTTGAAGTGTAACTTGATTGCGGCGCTGCGGCTGCAGCTGCTGTGGCTGTGCTTCCGTTCTTGTTTTTGTTCTTGTCTTTGTTCTTGTTAATGGTCGTCGTCGTCGTTGTGGTCCTTGTTCTTGTAGTCTCTGTCTCTGTCGTTGTCATTGTCGTTGTTGGTCTGGGAGGGGATAGGGGTTAGGGACAACCTCACAAGCTCCCGTTTCCAAAAGTGAATGGTTTTCGCTCTTCAGCAGATCGTCTTCATGCAGCCTCGCATCGCTTGTTGAAGTTGAAACATGTGTCCTATGCCTATGCCATGTTGATACGACTTAAGTCCTTGGGCGTTGGCTCTTCAGAATGTCGTATCTTGTTCTAAGCAGGAAGTCCGCGAGGACATTTTTCCCACAACAACTTGAATCGCACCCACACGCTAAAGAAACAGGTCCAGCAGAAGGGCTGCAACCATATCATGCTGTCGCAACTTTCTCAAACATTTTCAAGTTGTGAAGCACACCAGGAAAATTCTCAGGCCCTTCACGGCCTTCACCTAGTCGCCCTTGAGGCAATTTCTGGTCCCAGCCAAGCTGTTCCTTGGCTGTAGGCCCTGCAGGCTGCAGCATTGTGAGGCCCGTTAGTCATTTTGTTTCGCCGATCAAGTGCATTTCATGGCCTCCACGAAGCATGATGTTGTGATATGTTGTGGGCCATAGTGCGACACCGAGGAGGCAGAACACATCTTAATGAAGGTCCACGAGCTGGAGGCCGGATGCCTTACAGCCTGCATCTACATATGTACATACGGTGCTGTTGGTGAAGTGTGGGCACTCTTGAACCAAGTTTGCCTAGCTGTTGCAGGCCTTGATTGAAGCTAGCGAGAGTGAGGCTCGCCGAGTCTCGGACAACGCCGAGCACGAATGTCAGCTGTCCAAGCGCTCTCAGATTGCGGCGCAGCCTTGATGTCACAGTCATCTCGTGCCCTGGAGGCGGCTTCTGCTGACCTTGCCCAGGCAACTTGCCGCTTGCTGCAAGGGTTTTGGCATGCAGTGTTGCACACCGCTCAGAGCTCTGAGACGGACAGAACTTTGTCAGTCTCGGTCTTGAGAGGGACATTGAATTTGTATTATAGATGACCCCATAATAAGCACACACGGTTTGGCTGAGCACAGTTTATTGTGAGAGTCGCCGGATCCAGTACTGATACCTGCGTTTGCTTACGCTTGGTTCCCTGTCCTCTTTGCGGATTCTGCCGAATTTTTCGGTTTTCCGGTTGTCCAAGTGTAAAAGTGTGTGTCTCTGTGTGTGCGCGCATGCACGCGTGATTGGTCTGCTCACGAGCGCAGAGTGCCACTCCCACATTGGTACACGTATATCCACAGCTTGCATGCCGTACCGGGCAGCACATGAGTGCAACAAAAACGAACATTCATTCGGAATAATGAAGGCTTATGCGTGTGGATTTCAGAAGAATCTCATAAGGGATCTCAGAAGGGTTCGCAGCAAGTTGAGGAGGATAAAAGCAGAGAAATTACCAATATTGAAGTTTCTTCTTTAGGCTTTAAGCTTTAAGCCCTAGGCTTTCGGCTTCCACTGTCACGTATTGCTCCGGGGATCAACCATGAATATGAGACGGTATCGGCGAAGCTGCGGGATTATCTCCTTTGAACATTGATTGCCTGGCCTCGATACATAGGGTTTAGAAGGGAATCTTAGCTTTACGGCTGGCCTCAAGAAGTGAGACCCTGAGACCCTGACGTCGGGTTGCCTCATACATTAAGCCTGCCTTACTTTAGGCCTCGGGCTTCTTTAGGATTTGAGATGCTGTGCGAAAGCGGAATTACATACGCAAAGACAAGTATGCGCACCCGCCCCCCCACCCCCCCCCCCCCACCACCCCCCCCCCATCCCCCCCCATCCCTCCCCCCATCCCCCCCCACCCCCCCCACCCCCCCCCCCCCCCACCCCCCCACCCCCCCCCACCCCCGCCCCCACCCCCCCCACACTGTAACAGAGGGGAGGGGGTGGGGGGGGTGGGGAGGGGGTGGCAAAGGGAAGGGTGGCTCGGCAAGCCGAGGCGAATGAACACTGGGCGACATGAATATGTGAGTGAACGAACGAAGTGAATGCACAAAAGCCACGGGTGACCGTGCACTCGCGAATACATTCCCCTTTCTTCACATCCTTCTTCTTATCTCACCGCCAGGCAAAGGAAAACTTCGTTCACGCATAAAAAACGAACGTAGTGAAGTGAATGCGTGAATTTAGTGCGCTCTCTTCTTTCGCTTCTTTTCATACACTATTATTACTAGCGGGCACAGTTAATTCGCACGATAAATTCATGCATGCGTGCGTTATCTTCGTGCCCGCGTAAAAGAGAGAACCAAACTACTTTTATTCCCTTATGCGCGCGTACTAAAAGACCATTCAATTTCTAATATAAAATGACAAGGAATTTATGACGCGTGCATTTGTATTAGAAATTTGAGCTTTTACTTTTCCCCCTTTAATGCTGTAGGTAAAAGCCCCATTATAATATAAGTCTTTTAGAGGGGCTTTTAACACAGCATGAAAGGGCCCTTAATTAATATATTACGGGCGTCATAATGGTCTTTTCGCCCTTATACGCCCGTACTATATTATTAAGGGGGAACGAAGTGAAGGAAAAGACAAGAGAATATAGTATTATAATAAGAAAGAAATATGCTAAAAGCCCACAATAATAATACTATTCACGCACGTAAAAAGAATAGTATTAATATTGTGACTTTTAGGAGAGTTCTTCATTCACCCATTTAATACGGTGTGCCTGAAACGAGCAAGAAAGAACGAGAGAAGTAGAAAGAGAACGAGTGCAAAGAGATCTACCGAGAGACATGGAGAGACGTCCGAGTCTGTTGGGGGATTCAAGGGGGGATGGGATGTCTTCGGAGAAGGTAAGCTGAGGCTCCTGATCAAGGAAGGGGCGCAGTACCTGGCACTGAGGGGCACACTGAAGGCCCTCATAACGGCATAACGTACACAGCCTAGCTGTGAAGAAGGACAAATCGTGTGTGCGTGGCAACGCGGACTTCAACACACCAACACGTCGATCGGTGGTCCCTGTGCCGTGATTGGGGCATGTAGCTGCATTTACGGGGCGAGGTTGTATGAGGATGGGGAAGGGCTATTCATGCTATTCCAACGACACATAGTCACTAACTACGGGGTAACTCACGTGTGAAAGCCCAGCAGAAATCGAGGAACGTTTGTGAGTCGAGGTCTGCCAACCTTAGTACAGGGAGACTCGAAACGAGTTGGGTTCACTGTGGCTGGAGGTCCTTGACAGGGTGGCCTCCCTTCGCTGTGTAGTGTAGAAGCAGAAGAAGTGCAAGAGAGTGCGAGCGTGCAGGCGCTCGACAGCGCTCGGGCCACAAGGCCAACTCTGGGCGAAGCTGCGGCTGTCCTTTCCCGTGGGCTATATTGTTGGCAGCGCACAACATGTCTTCTGTATGAAGGGCTGTGAGTTCTTCTAGGCCGCCGTGTTCACTTCTAGGCCACCGTGTTCACTTTGCAAACCTAACTCAATACATCTGCAAATGCATGACTTTCATGTTGATTGCGTGGGTTGAAGAACTTGACAGTTTTCAGGTGTTTGACGTGCGTCGTTCGATTTGCGTTCTACTTGCTCGTGCAAGGATCGAGCACACTGCGGTGATGTCTTGCTGGGAGTTGTTGGGGTGTGGAGATGACCTGTTGCAGTCCATCGACGACAGCTGTTCCCAAGGCCCTGCGGAGAGCTGAAAGTATTTTGGACAATCGCGACCTCTTGTTCTTTTGTTTGTATCAAGGCTGTGGACGAGCGCGGGCCATCGCCATCACCTTCTGTACACAGCATGCGAGCAGATGCAGGACCTCTGTCCAACGTCAAGGTACCGGTTGGGCTACTGCACTGCATGCGGTCAGGCCGAAAGAACAGCTATGGCGAACGGAGCCCCCAGGCCGGCGCCCCCAAAGGCATCCAGTTTGACGTGGTACGGTCATCACTCCCGTAATGTTGGGCAGGGTCTTGTTGGTTGTACGATAGTGAATACTGTTGATGTGGAGCTTCGGGTTGCTTAGGGTGTAGAGTTGTCATCTTCAGATCATTCCGCTAACGCTTTGGAACAGCTGCCTCCGTTGCGGAGTCATTCGCAGCTCTGCTAGCATGATAATGTTTTGAAAGCTGGTGCGTGCTTAGATTGTTCTTAGTGATGTCACCCGCCTGGCAGGCAAGAAGAACTTCGACGCGATCGCAGCTGCGGAACATGCTGAGGATGTGCCATGCAGTCTGCAGTTGTTCTACGGGATGGATGTTTGTCTTTCAACACCTGCTGTCTGCTTTTGGGCAAGCGGCATGTGCCTTGGGCCATCTTGTGCCCTAATTACATCCTGGTGCCCATGGCGGAGGACTTCCGGGGGGTGGGTGCAACTTCCACCACCATCGTCCGAGTCGCCCCATGAACATCCACCCGACCCGGTCGAGGATGAGCTCAAGGACCCAGGACTGACCTGCAATGTCGTACAGCAACTTCAGCCCATCGGATGCTCGCGAGTGCTGCAGGCTTGCGCAGACGGGAGAGTTGGCTGAAGTGGTGGCCAGAGAATTGTTTCTCCGAAGGATCGCGGAAGATCTAGCAGTTCTTCACAAAATAATGGAAGCACCAGAAACCCACAACTTCTGTAGACTTGTGGCCATTGAACTGGCTTTCCCCGGCAGGCTACGCGCTGCACGAAAAAGCGTCTTGTCTTCACGAGCCGAGGAATTTCAATGAGTAATGGAATGTGTGCACACGAACATGCTAGCAGGAAGCGTTCTTTGAACGCTTGCCGACTGATAAGCTAAATGCAGAAGAGGCCAGGTCGGATGCAAAAGACAATTTTCAGGAGCTTGTAGAGTTGCCTTCTGTCTTGCTTCTTGAAGGCCTAGAGCAGTTGCAGCCATTCTTGCGGCTTTTTTTGCCTCAGATGGAGTTGCGCGACGCCATTATTGCCTTTCTCGAAAGGTGGAAGGGGCAGGAGAGGGTATGCTGCTGTGAATCTTGGATTTAGTGGATGCCCCTGGCGCCATTCTACATGGCTTGCCAGACAGTCACGGCCCACCAATGAATGAGGCTGTGGACCGTGGGTTCTCGAGGCCTCACACTTTGGACGAAAATCGCGCTCTCGCGGCGCTCGCGGCCCTCCCGTGGGGCGCTCGCCGTCCTCGAAGTCGGGCTCGCGAGATGCGCAACTGTCGCTTTTGGATGTCTGGGCCCGTGACATGTGAATCGTCGCGAAACTGTTGCGGCGTTGGTGCTTCCACGACAGAGAGCGGTGGTGATCCGTTTTTTGCGACCACGTGCCCTCTTGTCAAGCATTTGCGGTTCCTTCAGGGGCAGTGAGGGTTCGTGTGGCGAATTGCAGGACATGGCATCACTGGACGATATTGCTCAAGACCCATGCGTTTTGCAGTGCTGGCTCCTCTGGAGTGGTTATAGCTCTTCAGACATACAGTTTTGCGTTGGCACAAATGCTGGGAATGAAGTCCGCATGTGCTTGCGCATAGTTTTCTTGCGTGTTGAGGCATCCGCAAAACCTTGCCCCAAAGCGTGCCCTTGGAGGATGGCGATTTGCCGCCTCCTTCTCATTAGTTGCTTCGCATTGCTGCGCTTTACTTTATGGCCCTTCACGAAGTCTTTTTTGGTGAGGACTGGGTGCATCGGCGCCAACGCCTTGGTCGACGGGCTGCACCAGCCTCGCGGCTGGCACCGGAGGCAACGCAAATGTCAAGGCCGTGGGGGTGGGGATTCGCATGGCTTCGTGCTTCGCGTGGCTTTGCATGTGCGGGGGACTCTCGCCAGTGGGTCTTAGGTGGAAGAAGGATCTGAACATTTCAGACCCTCTTGATGACCTCGAACCAGCAAGATGCCGGAAGCAACTTGGATGCAAGACTGTGATGGACGTTGAAAGCCCTCCACACCTTGACACCTTGCCAGATTGCGGCCCCACTTCAGGTTTCAGCGCCGCGACTCCAGGGAACGCCGCCCCAGTGCAGCAACAGCCCCAAATGGAATGATTTTTTTCAAAATAGATCCACACGATAGAACAGCTGGACTTGTCCAGCAGGTCTTTGGCCTGAACTTCTGTGTCAACGACGTGGGCCAAATATGTGGGCGAGTTGCAGGCTAAGAAGTCCTTGCAAGCAAGCTGCGAGGGCTCAAGTGGCTCAAGTGGCTCAAGTCGAAGGCTCGAAGGTTGATGTTTGCGCAGGTGATGATGAAAGCATTTGACCACTCCTCAGGATGTCAGCAACATGCATGTCAATGCGTCTTGCCGCAACGTCGTCTGCAATACCACTTTAGCTCCGGGCTGCGCCGCTAAGGCGACCTTCCATGGCCAAGCACATCAGTGGTCCCAGAGCAAAAGTCATTCGAATGGATACGTGAAGTAGGCCTCCGCGTTGTCTGCGCGCATAATCTTTGTGCACAATCTCTTTGTGAGGCGCCGGTACGCGGCGGCTGCTTCCCAGCGTTACCACACGCGCGAGTGGAATGGTGTTGGAGGCCTTGGGGTCAGTACAGTAAAGCGAACATCTTTTCACCGGCTTCCTTGAGTTTCCTGATGTTTTCTGCGGATGTGCAGGAGGTCATGGCGTGGCGTTTCTCCCACAGGTGCAGAGCTCAGAGGACACATCATGCGTAGGGAACCGATGGGCCACTGGATGCTCAGAGTTGCACCAGGCTGAAGACATGATGTAGCAACGTCCAGGTATCGCGCCAGACGAGTGGAGCCAGTCTTGCAGAACTGTGGCTGCACAGTGCTGTGCAGATTTCGGTGTATATTTGCGGAAGCCGACGACGGCACCCATGGCACACAAAATCATACAAAGATACGTGCAACAAGGCTGTGAGTTGCAATCGTGTTAAGTACTTTCTGCACGCCCCTAGTATGGCAGCTCGAGTGCCTCCGTACTTCCCAGTTGCATGCTCAGACAATCTCTACTTACTCTACTTACTGTCAGCTTCCGAGGAGAATGTGGCAGGCATGAGCTTTTCGGGGCACAAGTGGCTGATGACCAAGATTGGAATTGGAAAATTTAATGTAAACCCTGGCAAATTTCGGAGATGCTTCACCACAGGAGATCGGCCTTTGGCATCTTGGGTGATCTTGTGTCCATGCTAGAGCATCTGAGTGATTTTCGTGCGCATTCTTGGTGCGTTTGCAAGTCGGGGGGCCCTGGGCAGCTTGGCAGATGTATCGATCGGCAAAGCGGCCCTCCACCGCTCCGAGCTGTGAATGCGCAACTTGGATCAACAGAAACGCCGAGTTCAAGAGAGAGCTCCGCGGCCGATCTGTCGCTAGGCCATATCTGCAGGCACCATAGTGCCGGGTCATTTTTTCTCTTTCACGTGGTTTCTCACATTTCTCACTGGTCTTTGATCGGCAATCTGAGTTTTGCAGGCCCCCGGCCTGCTGTGTTGCATGCCTTCAGTTCAGGGTGTCACTTGACAGGCTCGCACGCGAGAACGCAGTTGCGCAAGCGAGCATGAGTTCAGGCATGGTGCCGCGGCAAGCTGCAGTACGACATCTCCTTGGAAGCCCACGCCTAGCAGCGCAGCAAGGTCAGCGGCATGGTTGTGTCTTTGGGCGGCTGACGACTACATATATATATATATATATACTCTTATAAGTAAAAAAAGGAGAACCTCGAATGTCAAACCTCTTAAAAATCCAAAAATCCAAAAATCCAAAAGTCCAAAAATCCAAAAATCCAAAAATCCAAAAATCCAAAAACCCAAAAAGCCAAAAAGCCAAAAATCCAAAAAGCCAAAAATCCCAAAATCCAAAAATCCAAAGTTTCCTGGGAGATTGTCCGGAGAACTTTGGATGTTTGGGTTTTTGGATTTTTGGATTTTTGGATTTTTGGATTTTTGGAATTTTGGATTTTTGGATTTTTGGATTTTTGGATTTTTGGATTTTTGGACTTTTGGATTTTTGGATTTTTGGATTGGAAAAGCACATTCAAGACGACAAATATTTGCAAAAATGTTGTGAAATTAGACAAAAGTGCAAAAAAAGTGCAAAAAGTGCAAAAAAGGTGCAAAAAGTACAACAAAAAGCAGATTCAAAATAAGGCTACACCCCATCCCCCAAACCCTAAACGGTGCGCATCCGAAACACGTAACTTTTACGGCGCTTTTCGGTGGCGCGGGGGTGGGGGGGGGGGGCAGGGCGCCACCCTCCGAAATACGTACCTTTTACAGCGTTTTGCGGCTTGACGTGCGCAGACCAACGTCGACATGGTGTCTTTTGAGTTTTTTGCAGGCTCGTCAGACCCTCTTTCCACAGACACCGGGAAGAGGAAGATTTGACTTAGTGGGCGTTTTCCAAAACCCGGACATGGTGCCTTCACTGACATGGGCATCTACAATCTACGGTGACGATTTTGATGTATACGGATATTTAAATAGATAAAACAGATATTTCATACGACCTCCGTGAGCGACGGGTTGGGGCCGCCCCATTTTTAAACATCCGGAAAGTTTAAAGAGTAGAGGGTTTCGGCTTTGAATGGCTGTCGTACCTTTTTTGGGCCACTTTAAGCCGGAAAACGCTGCAAAGGGTACGTATTTCGGGCCCGCCTCAGGCGCCACCCCCCGAAATGCGTACCTTTTTTTGGGGCGGCAAGGCGGCCTCGACAGCTCGGGCGCAGGGGTTGGCGCAGGCGAGCAAAAGCCGCTGACAAGGTGAAGACTCTGGGGCCTTTCCCGACCTTCGACTTGCCAGTCATGGGCTGATGACCGTATTGAGGGCCAATGGGGTAAAGCTTTGCAGGGTGAGGGACCAGTCTTGGGTAGTGTTCCTCTCGGAGCCTGGGTCAGCAAGGCATCGCGGGAACTCCTTGATGGTGCCCTCATCCCATTTGAACAGTGGCCCGTGGGGATCCAAGAAAGTGGCGAATGGACGGCTGGCCCATCTTGTCGCATGAATGCGAACCCCTTCTGAATGCGGGAGGAAGGAGGAGGAGAAAGGCTGACAGCTCTCGGAGTGCAAAGAAAACAGCAACTGTGAGTAGCAAGACTGAAACTCTTTTTACCACTGCAGAGACTTCATGGTTGATGGGTGCTTGAAACCATCTCCTGAGAAGATGGCAAAACGAGTCCGAGCCTTTGGCAGTAGCCCGGACAAGATAAGGTTTCAGCACTTGCCCGCCAAGCTCGGTCCTTTCCTCATCCATGGAGGTCTCTTAGACACATGAGTTACCTTGTAGAAGACGCTTTGATTCTGGAAGACAGACATCCTTGTTTGGGCACATGTTGTGTTTGCAGAAATGACCCTATAGGGTGCGTACTTACACTTCTGCGCAGTGAATAAAGCCAGCTCTCCACTCAACTTTCCGATCTGAACTGGTGGCCTTGATGCTGTGGGTGTGGTTTGCGCAGCAAACTCGTCCGGATAGAGTTTTTCCATTGGATTAGTGGCACCACAGCACCAGCTAAAGTATATTGACACCTGCGAGCCCAAACTTTCCGGCTCAACGTAATGGAATCGCAGCAGCTCCCGAAACAGTACAAGTTCGTGTACTTGCAGTCTTTGTCTCAAAGAGTCAGCCCACCGAAACCCCAAACCCCAAACCCCAATACGCAAAACCGACATCCCTCGGCCCTCGGAGCTGCTGCCATCGGCAGCCTGTGGCCCACCTCGCCTCGGGGTGGGGTGGATCTTGGGCGGAGGGGTCAAGCATGTTACATATATGCACACACGCACATATACATACATGTATATGTATAGATGTATATATATATATATGTATATATAGAAATACACACTCTCTCTCTCTCTGTTTTGCTGCAAGGTGGCAAACTTTGGGACGAGCAGCATGGATCAATGCACAGCCGCACTGATGATGGACGGCCAATCAAAGTGTTAATGATTCTTGGGGCAGCTATGTAGGTTGTAAGAATGCTCCCGCAGCCCGAGGCAGCGCGGAGCATTCCCATCCGTTTCAAAAAAGTCCGTTCAAGGCTTGTCCGCTCAAGGTGGACGAAAAGATCGAGAAGCACGTGCTTGGACATTCTGGGTACGTACTTCGAACGCTTCGGATTAAAGCATCACGGTTCGGTGAAGCTGTGGACGTCGGTGTTTTGTTGTTTCTTTCAGATTGGCGTTGTCGCCATCAGCAGTATGTTCCGTGGAGCATTAGCCGATCATTAGCCGTTAGCCCTGACTCCAAGTTCGAAGCGCAGCCATATCTTCTACCAGTGGTGCATCCCGGCTGCCGCAAATTGGAGAAGGGGGCAGCAGGCTGGTTTAGAAACACGCCTGGTGCTTGCAGGGAGTGAAGATGCTTCAGTCAACCAGACAGGCCATGTGAAGGGCGATGGGGTTGCATCCCCAGTTCTGCTGTACTTTGCGCCACTTGTTGCCGCTTAAAATTCATGCTGCGACCACATGTGCGCCGCCAACGAATGCCAAGGAAAAAGAGAGCAAAAGCGGCTGAGGAGTGCCACAAAAGGGGGCTTAAAGTGTTGATTTAGGATTTGGATGTTGAATGATGTTGATTTTCATCCGCGACAGCCTTTTCTGAAGGTGGCCAAACCAGTGCCAGCGGACCAAAGTTCTCATTTGAACATCAAGTCCCGCCACTCTGATTGATGCAAGGATGTGCAGCGCGGCTCCAGCACCCCCAGGCGTGGTAATCTTCAATCCTGAACCCATGTCAGTGTATCGTTCAACTTGACAGCATTTTCTTTGGCATGACCTGAATTTCATGGTGCTGGCTGAGGCAGCCAGATGAGCCTGCAGATGTTGCAAGCCAGGACATGTTGCAGCACTGCGTAGCAATGCACGTAGAATAGTGATGGTTTGCCCGCATGTTTAGTGATGTTCAGCGTTTCGACAATTTGAGCTGGAGGTTTCGGGGTTGCGACATTGCGGGCTTTGGGGTTGAGGAGCTTCGCCTCAACAGTTGCATAAGCCAGGTGTTTGCGTTTTCATGCAAACACGCACAGTACCACGTCTGTCAGAGTGTCGGAAATGTCAGCCAGCCCGGCAGCCACAGACGCCCGGGGTTGATTTGCATTTTCGATGTGAAGCGCGGCTTTCATGTCATTCTTTGCAAGCTTCCGAACCATGTTGCCCTCATTTCATGTTGCGCTGAGCTGCAGCAGACTTGGACACTGCATGTTGTTAGTGAAGGACCCCAGGATGAGAAAGCTTGTGAAGAGGTGGGAGAAACGCAAAGCTGGAACTGGAAGGAGAGTGTTTGTGCTTTGTTTGGGCGGAGGCTAGGAGACTTGGGCGTGAAAGAGTATGAAAGAGTATGAAAGAGTGTGAAAGAGTGTGAAAGAGTGTGAACGACATTCTGAGTGGAAGTTGTCACAGCGCTCTCAGAAAGGTTCCGGCTGGACGAGGCCGCGGAGTCCAAGCTCTGTGAGGTCATGTCCAAGTGGGATGAGGACAAGCAGTACAGGAGAGCCCCCTGCCCATGACTACTAAGTGACTACTATCACGCTCACTAGCAGTCACTAGCACTTATCACTGATTCACGTATCACTATGGCACTTATTCACACAGCAAGTGCTGTGAGTTCTTTGCCATCAATAGACAGCCTTCAGCGTGCACTTGTTGACAGGTACTACAAGGACCTGGCAAAAGTGCTTCGTGACGCTGTAAAGCCATCTGCGACGGTCATGATCATTGTGCAGCTTTGTTGGCAGTTGGCTCGGGTGCTTTGATGCATTCCGCATGGTCGAGTAGTTGCATATCCACAATCTCTGCGAAAGTGTTCCGAAGAAGCTATTCGATAGATAGCGGCCCCTATGCGGTTCCTACAGTCTGTGACAGTATCCAACTGAAGCCACGCTAGTTTCTATGCGAGGAAGAGGATCGCTGCTGGGGAAAGACTGCGCCGAGTGGCTGCAAGCAGTACTCAGTACTCAGCTCGGGGGCATCCTCGGGTGTTTGAGGACATTAATAATGTCTCCGTCAAGATGGGGTTCGAGCATAACATCGCCGAAATATCTCCCAACTATTTTCCGTTCAGGAACCAATTCCGCGCACATGGTGACCAGGATAGTCAAAGATCCCACCCTACATGAAGATGTGGAACTGCCCCTGACACGCGCCGAACCCGGAGTGGAATGTCCTCTCGCAAGGTGAGGACAGCAGCAGCAGTGATACAGATGACCCCAACCCGAGGCAGAAGCCGCTCAGCAGCAGCTCCAGAACTAATCTTGCAGGGCTGGTGAATCAGGCTCAAATATCCTGCCAAGGAAGGCCAAGCTGTATTAAGATGCATTTGTCATCGATGCGTATTCCGCCACTGCCCTCTCCAGCCGACACTCCAAAGAATCATTGCCGAGATGGCATCTTTTGGAGGGCCAGGGTCACACGGCAGGATCAGGAGATTTGGAGCTCTGCGTGTCTCGCTTTCCTTTCTTTCTTTCTTTCCTTCCTTCCTTGCGTTCCTTCTATTCTTCCCCATCTGTCTTTATTTCTTTCTTTCGTTGCCAGATCATAAAGAGAACAAGAGGGAGAGAGAGAGAGAGAGAGCGCGGTTGCGCGGGGGCTTGCCTCCACACCCCAAAGAAAGAGAGAGAGAGAGAGACAGCTAGAGACAGAGACAGAGAGACAGACAGAGAGAGAGAGAGAGAGAGAGACAGAGAGAGACGGAGGGGTGTGTAACTTAGCTCTGTAAGTGGTGATAAGCAGTCAGGCAGTTTCACAGCGGGCAGAAGCAGTCGCTTGGGTAGGGGAAATTTCCTTGCTGGTCTGGTTGGTATTTGTGTAGCTCGGGGGAACTCCCTAACGCTTCGCCACGTCCCTCGCTGCGGAGTCTCACCGAGACTGGACTTGGTCTGGGCGCGCCCAGGGCGCGGGGCTCCTCAAGCCCCGTAGAAGAAGAAGAGAGACGGAGAGAGAGAGAGAGTACGTAGATAGAACGAACACATGAGACGACAATATCCACGAGAAGCAATGTCACAGACAGCTTTGAAGACGGGAACATGTCTCAGGCATAGCTGTTGTTCAACTTTGCTTCCGCTGTTGTTCAACTTGGCCCCCGCTGTTTGCTTGAAGGGGACAGGAGTTACTGCATAGAGCACAACAACCATCACGCATCTGTTTGCTGAACGCTTGACACACCCAGCTGCACATGAACAGCTATCGCAGCTACTACCTGACGTCTGTTGCTTTTGCGGAGAGCATGGCTCGCAGTCCAGTGGTGTCCAGCGCCGAAGCTGGATGTGCTGCTGTCGCTTCCAAGGTCGCCTGGGAATTGGCACGGGGCGCATTTTTCCGTTTCTGTTCTTGTTGATGTTCCGATGTGTTCAGCAGTTCGTCCATGCAGACTCTTTCAGGCTTCCGCAGGCGCTGTACCTGGACCTGGTGGCAACAACGGATGCCCGACGGCCAGGTTAGTACGCAAGGATCTTCTTGCGGAGCTCAAGAGCCCATCAGGCGCCAGTGCAGACCTCCAAAAACCCAGCAGAACCTGGTGCAACGGTCTGACCGTCTAACCCTTGCTTACGCTGTAGTACTAGTACTGCACTTCTCAGCAGCAAGCACACCTGGTTTCATATTGCGCAGGCGAGGAGGCGTTCACGACCTCATTGCCATGGCTGCAAGATGCAAGCAGCCATCCGCAGGGCCGCTTCACTTCCCCTTCCGCACCTGAGAGTTTGTTTGAGACACGTGTTGGAGACAACTACAACAAGCCTTGAACCGTAAGCACCGGTTAATCTCCGCTTGCACCAGGTCGCTGCTTCCGGAGAAGCGGGAAGTCATGATTTGACAGGCATACGGGTTCAATCACGGTCTATGGATGGCTCTGCAGTGCCAGCATCACACAGCATCATCCTGTTGTCTCTTGGGGCCGTACTCAGATGAAGCATGCAAATTGCACACTGCTATGAACTGGTACTAAACACAGATCACACGTCGTGATCGCGGCTGGGTTGACATCACCCGCGCGGAGTGACCGTCATCGCAGGCTTTCTCTTCTCCGGGGGTTCGCCTATTTAAACCTGTGGGCTGGCAGAGTCTGGGCAATTCAGGGGGCTGATGCCTGAACACACAAGAATACAAATGCATGTGCACATGCTGGGGCATTGGGGTGTTATAGTCTCCCACTGTGGAGCAACAGCCCTGCGCGTTTCAGGAATGGGGGCACACGAAAGAAAAGTCGATCGCTTACTGCATGAAACTTGGGGGAATGTCGATGATAGAATCGGCATGCAGAGTTGTTAGCTGTGCTCCCAACAAGGTAATCTACCTTTTCCCGGGCAAGGAGATGAAAGTTGGCAGGCAGCCGGATGTGTGTTCGGTGGTCCTGGACTCCCCAGAGGTGCCGCAGATGATCAGCCGCTGCCACGCTAGACTGGTGGATGCCGAAGGCCTCGCAGTTCATGCCACCCGTGCTCTCATGTTTCTGCGTCATCTTGTGAAATGACACTGGCCATTTTTGCGCATGACAGCTGGCTGTGCAGTAGTTAGGCACGATCGCACTGAGATGCACAAAGGATTGGTCGTCATCTGTGTGACACACATGGGCCTATGGCGCTATAGGGTTTAGGGTTTAGGTTTTAAAAAAAGGTTTGAGGTTTGGGGTGAAGATCGCTACATCATCTGATCATGTGGGCACCTCGCATCTTCGGTATCAGGCAGCCTAGGAAGCTGCACGACGCTCCACACACAGAGACGCTGGAGAGAATTGTTTGTTTGTAACTCCTTTTCATCCTTCGGCGAATTCATCCGAACGGAGTTCGGGAAGAAGTTTACCTGGTTCCTGCCTCCGTCGTATAGCATTGCAAAAGCCGCTGGGAAACTGAGTGGTGGATGAAGCTGAAGGAGCAAATGACTCAGAAATTGATGCGTAGAGCGAATTTCGTCATGTTGGCAAAAAAAAACATGAGAAGACCACTAACAGACCAATGGACAGTGATTTCTGGGTCACGCTACTCGAAGGCAACGGTTGCCAATGTGCAAGGCGCCCCCCCCCCCCCTCCCCCCAAGTTTAGTGAACACATCGCACTCCCAGCACGGGTCCAGACAATGTTTTGTTGCAAGCGGTCTTTGGAGATAAGCGGCCCCAAAATCTTGAAACCCATGTCTTCCAGCATGGCGTGCTCTCAGCTGCGTTCCTGGACGCTGGCGTAGGGTGAATGGGGTTCTTGCTGCCGAAAAAGACTGTGACGGCAGGTATTTGGGTTCTGACAGATGAGAAGAGCCTGAATGGCATCCACGTGAACGACATGAAGCTCACAGCGCCCAAGCTTCTGAGACATGGTGATTCCGTTTGCTTCGGCAGGACCTGTCGGACATGTGCATGGGCCACGCTGTAAAGACACTGTGACAGGCTTGTGTTCTTGAGAGTAGACGAGAAGTAGACCAGCCACAGACTCGATCAGGAAGCTACAGGAACGACCCGTGTTCGACTATGTCTTCGAAGAAAAAGGCCCACAAAATCCAGAGCGAACAGGGAAAAGGAAACGAGAACCCCAAGCAGATGCAGTATGTGCAGTTGCAGTGGGCCAAGCTACTGCAGCTGCTAAGCACGCAGACGGTTCAAAGTGTACCAGTGCAAACTGGCCAGAAGGGAAGGCAAGCGGCGCAGGGGAGATTCTTGACCTTGCTGATGCAGAAGGGGAAAACGTGTTGCAGAAGGAGATGAGCGAGCTTATGAAGAACCATGTGGCAAGGGTCGCACAAGACAGGCTGGATCTGGATGCCAGACGTGCAGAACTGGACGCCAAGTTCAAGCAGCTCGAAACTGAAAGGTCGCTGCAACAGCCTTCCGCAAAGGATGCCAGCGCGGCCGCGGTTGATCTCAAGGATCTGCAATCGGAGCTTGTGTGTTCCATCTGCCGCGATTGGATTGTTCATGCTTCTTCCATAGAATGCGGGCACATGTTTTGCCGAGAGTGCATCGATGAGTGGCTCACGCGCAAAAACTTTCTGTGTCCAGTTTGTCGGGCCACGGTCAGACAAGTGCCAACTGCTGCCCGCACGCTTGATATGATTGTTGATAAGACCATCCAGCAGAGCAGCAAGTCGGACATACGGGAGTTTGAGAAGCGCGTCAAGAAGGCAGACGAGCTGCAAAGCCAACGACGGGTGGCAACGCGAGACTTGGAAGAGTCGGTGAAGCAAGCTATTCGGAACAAGAAGACTTTCTTTCACATCAACCAGAACTGGGGGAAAAAGGAGAAGAAAACATTCCACGATGGTGTCAAGCAATACATATGCGAAGGGAGAGAAGCTTACTGTCAGCTTGTTGGCCTCACTGTCAGTTGGGTGTACAGCGCCGATGACTCAAAACTCAATCAGGCCTTGCACAACCTCGGCTTGCAAGACTTTGTTAGCAAGCCCGAGAAAGACATTCGACAGAGACTCTTGATGTTTTTGCATTATGGCTAGTTCATCAGCCAGTGATTACCATTGTAGTTGCTGGCGTAGCGGGCCTAAAGGGCTGTCGTCCTGCCATCGTGTTTGTTGTATAGGTTCGGGGATGTCCAATACCTGCTGGAAGTGGGCGATTTTCTAGTCGCGGCCACGTGCGAGGCTTTGTTCGCTGTCCGCGTTGGGTGTGAGACTTGTGTTTTTTTTTCATACTTCTTTCTTCATGTAGCACGTACGTGCCCCATTCCCAGCCACTTCTTGTGCAGGCGCGCCATCAACCGAACAAGCGCACCAAGATTAGCCTGCGCAGCGTAGTCAGGTGGATAGCGAAATGGAGCTGCAGCCATCAGCCGTGCCTTCGAATATACAATTACTTGTTCAAGCTTGTCTCGGTACTGACGTGTTGTTAACATGCCGCTACGGCCGAAAGATGGTTGACGTGGCTGTGGAAGAGCATTCCTTGGGGAGCCAGCACAACTCCTTAGCAGAAGGACTTCAGCGGTACGTGCCTGGGGACGAAGGTCTGACCTCGGAGAAAGGAGTCTGCCGCACAGGGCTTCGAAAGGACACAGCTCGATCAGGGTGGCTCTCAAGCCGTGGCTTGCAGGGCTGGCCAAGAACTCATGCAGGTGTCATATAGGGGGTTTGGTCTGGGAGCGTTGAGATCGATGTAGATGCACAGAGCTCTTGGATGTTGGTCCACGTTGTCCCATGCGCCGCATTGCGGCCCAGGAAGAATCCGCGCAACATCCCCGCTGGATCCTTCAAGCCACAACGTGGAATGGGAGTTAATGGCAGGACCCGTTGCAAACTGCAAAAATGCTGCAAAACTGGCTGTGCAAGGGGCAAAAGCGCGTCAGGCCAACTGTCTCACAGCAACTCTGCAATTTTTTCGGCATGTCTAGCGGCCATAACAGCAAACTGATGGAAAGATGCTCTGACACGCTTTGTCAGGATTGCAGCTCGTGCGATGCACGAGGGTGCTCAAAGGATACGCCAGGAGCTTTGCGAATGCTGCGCGCCTGCAGTCTGCCGAATTCCGTCCTGTTTATGAATTGGTTTCCCTGGGAGTTTCCCTTGATTTTCTAGATGCTGAAAGTCCTTGAAGATAGCGTGACGAAGACGGGAAGCGACTCCAGCATACTCCAGCGTAATGTGGGGGGCCCACTGTTTGACAGCTGCAGGGGCTGAAGGCTGAAAACAGTGAAAGCACGGCGTAACATTCCGTAAAATGGCTCCCGAAAGCCCTGGGGTGGGGGTCAGCGGAATGCAGGCAAATCATTTGTTGGTGGGAGCACCTTGTGTGTTTGACTGCAACAAGCCAGAAAGTGCGTGCGCGCGCGTGCATGCGCGTGCATGCGCGTGCATGCTGTTGCATGCGCGTGCATGCGCGCGCAATGTGCGTGCGTGCCTTCGTGTCGGCGTGTCGGCGTGCGGAAGATCTAGGTTTGCTTGAGATTGCCCCGTGCAAGCAGCGAACACGTCGCAGGAGCTCCAAGCCAACCTGATCCAGCAGATGCGGTCCCAAATGGGCGGCGAAAGATAGATGGAACCTGGCTGTATTTAAGCACTCGACATCTCCAGCTCTTGCGTGTGCATGTTGGGAGCGATCAGATCCAGAACTTCAATCTTATTCAAGTGGGACTGCCGGTCTGACTGCCAACCTGAGGGACCCTGCAACATCGTGCAACCATGAACCTGAGAGTGGTGATCAAACAGCATTGAGCTGCACAAGTGCCACACCAAGTGCCACACGAAGGTTCTCACGCCCTTGTCAGGCTGTAACTTCTCGCCAGGAGACATGAGGTAAGCAGAGGTCGTGCGAAGATGTTGATTTCGTAAGCACCTAGGTCGGTGCTTGACATGGCCACATTGTTGCAAGCAGTCCTTTGCTTAAAGCTGCAGGACAGACACGTTAAGGTTTTTCGGTATTCGCACGAAGCTTCCGCTTGCAGCGGTAGGGTGCAGCACATGCATCAAGCCCACATTCCTGCTTAATCTTGCAAGGATATGTGTGGCAGCTCCGTGCTCGCAGAGCTTCTAAATTTCCAGCACAAAAAGAAAGCCTTGAACGCTGAGCTTCGCATGAGAGAAGCGTGCAGGGTGCATGTAGGTATTCTGACAGAAGCCTGAAGATGGTGTCCAACAGTCTCGGCCGTGACAAGCATGAGTCTCAAGACTTCAAAGAGGAGGCATCAAGGGCTAACAGTGCAAACATGTGCCGACCCCGTGCATTGGGGAGCGGAAGAGCAACCGAGAATCAGATGCAATTCTTCATGCGTATACATCGTCACTGCTGATAGGAGCACACTCACAGGCAGACGTGTGTGTATCTATTCATTTACTTAATTTTGCATTTATGTACGAGAATATGCTACCATATACACACACGCTTACAAACATGTATAATCTATATATATATATATGTATAGATATAGATATAGATATATATCTATATATATATATATATATATGCTAAACACACGGGCGTGCTTCGCACTTGGTGTCGGGTCCAGCACAGATGCCAGCGGTTGGCTCCCCCACGATGCGGATGTGCGAGAGGGTATGGCGCAAACTGAAGGGGGCAGGGGGGCTAGGGCCAGGGCTTGGGAAGAGTTCAGGGCTTAATTTTTCCTATCCTCCGGGGCTGGTGAGCTGCTGCAGCTTTGCTAGGGCTTCGGCTGGCTTGGGCGGTTGGGGACACGCGCCGGAAGGGGGTGGGGGATGGAGGGGTAGAGCGACGAGCTGGATGCAGAGGGAGCCTTGCATGCCACAAGCTGCAGGCTAAGCAGGAGGATTCGGCGGAGGCGGCGGGGGTCGACAGGAGATTAGGTCTTAGAGGCCTTCGGGCTGGGTACAGGGAAGAGGGGGAGGGGTGGTGGACGGGTATGGTAGCGGGGCCAGAGGACGGGGGCGGGGAACCGGGCCGATAATATATATGTATATATATATGTATATATGTATATATATATATACTGAGTCCCATAGCAGACAATCATCGTCGAGTTAGCTTCTGCTGCACCCTGCCTAGAAACTTCATCGCGTACGCAGCTCCAGGCTGCATTTTGCCCGAATGTAGCTCAAGCAACGTGCTGCTGTTGCAATGTGGCGTCTTCTCAACTCGCCACCCAGTGTGATGCGGGACCGTGTTCCGGCCAGAACTTGCAGATGCCGAACCCTGAAAACAGTTCCAAGCTACTTGCTGCTAGAGCTGGAGTCTTGTCGGCGTCTTGTCGTGGTGTTGCCATGGTGATGCCACGGCTTTGCCTGCGCCTTAAGTCGCACTGGTGCGCAATGTGTGCAGGAGCCGACAATCTTGGCTTCGGCTTTACAAACCACCGGTGCCCGGTGGTCGGCACAGCATGCCGAGGCCTCTAAGGAAGACAGCAAGCAGATGTGCAAGCAGATGTGAACAGTACATGAGCACAGCACCTGAGAGACATGGAGCGAGCATATAGACTGCAAGTCTCTGGGCGTGTTGCGTGTTGCGTGTGCGTGTGTTGTGTGTGTGTGTGTGTGTGTGTGAGTGGGAGTGTCAGTGTATGAGCTTGCTCGTCTGCACGGGCAGCAGTTGTGCAAGAGCATGAGCGTCTGCCTCGAAGCCAGGCGACTGCCTTGAGACATCGTTTGGAGGTCCTGGTGAGAAATCTGGATTCCGGAGAAGGCAACTTAAAAGTTGAAAGTCGGATTGCGGTCCGTAGCTCAAATGTTCATTGGATTGGGATGTTCCTGCAAGGTGAGGAAGTCGACAAAGACTGGATCCACCGCTTCGTGACATCGCATCAGCGGCTAGTAGAGCTCGGGTGCCGGTTGGAGGCCGGTAGGCTAGAATGCTCATGCATGTCTCATGTTCATGGAGCTTTTCGGCAACCACGGTTGAGCCAGGCAAATGGAAAAGGAACAAAAGGAACTTGAGTAGCTTGCCTCCTCTGTCGGCGCTGGCTCTCCGGCTCTAGCGCCGGAGAGCCAGCACCACCAGAAGGACGGAGTGTCGGAGTGAAACAGCCTGTCCGTTCCCCACGCATACCAGCAAGATCTAGAACGACTTGTCATCCGCAGTGGCATCCTGTCACATCGGAATGCTCGGCCATGTCAGCCTTCTGATTCCCAGTTGATTCCCTTTCAGAGGCTGGCTTCGTGGACATTGATGCTGAGCTTCGACGTCTCCAGGTGCCACCGCCATGAAGCCGTGCTTGCGGTATGTTCACTTTCGGTTCTCTACTGCCCCGCTTCGCGTCGTTGAAGTTCATCCTCCTGTGTCGTGTCAGCTTATATACGTGTAGCAATTTACGTAGTACATACATTTACGCAGCAGTTCATTGTTGTTAATTGTTGTTTGCTTCAGATATTCTTCAGATGTAAGCTTCGTACCGTGCCTACGTCTGTCAATGACTCCGGTTGATTCCCCTAGGTTGGTTACCTTTGCCAGCCTGCTCCTTGAGCCCGTCTTGTGCCACCGCGTGCTGTAAGCTGTGACCTCTGGTTGTAGTCACTTTGTGTCGTGTCTCATTTGGAGTGCTGACGCTATCGGCTATCAGTGTGGCAGCAGGAGGCAAGGGTCAGCTGACGAAGCTGATTCAAGTTCGTGTCACAGAACGGGATGCTTTGCCGGGCTCTAGACTTGGCCGGCTAAATTTTCTCAAGCTCAGGAAGTGGTCGGTGGCATTTGGTACGGAGGGCCTATTTTTTTGGGTCTTTTTTTTTTTTTTTTGGGCCTTTTTTTTTTTTTTTGGTCGATTTTCTTGGTTTTTCCTAAGAAAACCACCATTCCCTCCATATTTTTAAAGGATTTGATGCATTTTCGTGGTTTTTGGTACGAAAAACAGTAATTTCTCTGTGGTTTCATAGGAAAGCGTTATTTCTGGTACGTTTTAGAAGGAAAGAAGGAAAGAAAGGAAGGAAGGAAGGATGAAAGAAAGGAAGAAAACAAGGAAGGAAGGAAGGAAGGAAGGAAGAAAGGAGGGAAGGAAGAAAGGAAGGAAACAAGGAAGGAAGAAAGGAAGGAAGAAAGGAAGGAAGCAAGGAAGGAAGAAAGGAAGCGTGCTTCGAAGCCCAAGAAACTAGTTGAAAAACATCGTGTGAGCATTGTGTTTGCAAATGGGGGGGGCTGCGCCCCCCCCAACCCCCCCGCTTTTTTTGTTTTTTTTTTAAGCCGTGCAGAGCGTGCGTGCTTCAAAGCCCAAGAAACTTGTTGACACCCATCATGTGAGCAGGGTGTTTGCAAATGGTGGGGGGGGCTGCACCCCCCCCAACCCCCCGCTTCTTTTAAGCCGTACCAAGCGTGCTTCAAAGCCCAAGAAACTAGTGGAAAAACATCGTGTGAGCATTGTGTTTGCAAATTGGGGGGGGGGCTGGCGCCCCCCGCTTTTTTTAAGCTGTGCAGAGCGTGCTTCAAAGCCCAAGAAACTTGTTGACACCCATCATGTGAGCATGGTGTTTGCAAATGGGGGGGGGCTGCGCCCCCCCCCAACCCCCCCCGCTTCTTTTAAGCCGTACCAAGCGTGCTTCAAAGCCCAAGAAACTAGTTGAAAAACATCGTGTGAGCATTGTGTTTGCAAATGGGGGGGGCTGCGCCCCCCCCAACCCCCCCGCTTTTTTTAAGCCGTGCAGAGCGCGCTTCAAAGCCCAAGAAACTTGTTGACACCCATCATGTGAGCAGGGTGTTTGCAAATGGGGGGGGCTGCGCCCCCCCCAACCCCCCCCGCTTCTTTTAAGCCGTACCAAGCGTGCTTCCCAACCCAAGAAACTAGTTGAAAAACATCGTGTGAGCATTGCAAATGGGGGGGGCTGCGCCCCCCCCAACCCCCCCGCTTCTTTTAAGCTGTACCAAGCGTGCTTCAAAGCCCAAGAAACTAGTTGAAAAACATCGTGTGTGCATTGTGTTTGCAAATGGGGGGGGGCTGCGCCCCCCCCAACCCCCCCGCTTTTTTTAAGCCGTGCAGAGCGTGCTTCAAAGCCCAAGAAATTTGTTGACACCCATCATGTGAGCAGGGTGTTTGCAAATGGGGGGGGGGGCTGCGCCCCCCCAACCCCCCCCCCGCTTCTGTTAAGCCGTACCAAGCGTGCTTCAAAGCCCGAGAAACTAGTTGAAAAAAAAGTATGAATCCGATGAAAATATAGAGGGAATGATAGAAACCAAGAAAACGAACCAAATAGGGTTTTCCCTAGGACAAACTAAGGAAAAGCAACGTACGCTTTGACGTTTGACGAAATCCGTCCAAAATGTAATCAGAAGAGGGTTTCCTTAGGAAAAACCAACGAAAACCTCGTTTTTTTTTCAAGCCGTGCAGAGCGTGCTTCAAAGCCCAAGAAACTTGTTGACACCCGTCATGTGAGCAGGGTGTTTGCAAATGGGGGGGGGGGAGAGGTGTTTTCCCCCAACCCCCCCCGCTTCTTTTAAGTCGTACCAAGCGTGCTTCAAAGCCCAAGAAACTAGTTGAAAAGCATCGTGTGAGCATTGTGTTTGCAAATGGGGGGGGCTGCGCCCCCCCCAACCCCCCCGCTTTTTTTTGTTTTTTAAGCCGTGCAGAGCGCGCTTCAAAGCCCAAGAAACTTGTTGACACCCATCATGTGAGCAGGGTGTTTGCAAATGGGGGGTGGCTGCGCCCCCCCCCAACCCCCCCTGCTTCTTTTAAGCCGTACCAAGCGTGCTTCCCAACCCAAGAAACTAGTTGAAAAACATCGTGTGAGCATTGCAAATGGGGGGGGCTGCGCCCCCCCCAACCCCCCCGCTTCTTTTAAGCTGTACCAAGCGTGCTTCAAAGCCCAAGAAACTAGTTGAAAAACATCGTGTGTGCATTGTGTTTGCAAATGGGGGGGGCTGCGCCCCCCCCAACCCCCCCGCTTTTTTTAAGCCGTGCAGAGCGTGCTTCAACCTAAGGGAAATTACAGGAAATCCGTCCAAAATGTAAAAAAAATAGGTTTTTCCCTATGAAAAACCAACGAAAACCTCAGGGAAATGACAGAAAATCCGTCCAAAATGTAAGGAAAGTAGGGTTTTTCCTAGAGAAAACCAAGGAAATCGACCAAAAAAAAAAAAAAGGCCCAAAAAAAAAAAAAAAAAAGACCCAAATAAAAACTCCACCCATTTGGTACCACAAGCTGAATGTGCCCAAAACGTGGGTGTTTCATGTTCGGCAGCTGCCCCCCGTTTTTCCAGCTGAACAGTCCTGAAAACAATTGTTATCCATTCTTATCCTGTTATTTGGTCTTATCTTCCTCGTCTCGCCGCCCTCCTTGTGTAAGAGTCCACCGATCGTGCAAGCGAAGCGTTAAGGAATCCAGATTGTCTGCGCACTTCATGTTTTTACGGTTCCCCCTGTGTGGATGGAAAGGGGGAGGGGATCCCCATTAAATTATTTTCAGATTTGCAAGAATCAAAGGGGAGAGCCTCGGGCAGAGGGGCAAACGATTTGGCGACCAACCCGTGAACGAAGCATCAATGAATCTCCGCTTCTGCAGCCTAAAACAAAAACAGGAGACTTACGTACCGGACTTACCGGACTTACCGCGACTGAATAAGACACTCAACCCAATCAACTTAACTTTCGTTTTCGCACCTGGGATGGGCGTTTCTCAGGTGGGAAGAAGTCACAAGTAGACCAAGTAGTTTGCACTTAAGAACTTGCACAGCTTGTATCTGACATTCCGGATAGAGGCATAGAGACAGCAAAGACCTTTGCCTGCGTGGCTTCCACGGTTCGTGCTGAGCATGAATCGGTCGCTAGCGAGCTTTTGGTCCTGTGAATCCATTTGAATCCAGGAGTCGTTGAAAAAACGCAGGCCGTCCTTGGTCATGCACGAGTTCTTGGTGCCCTTGCATGCAGGGAGAAGGAGATCGATCCAGGCGCAGCCAAACGAGTTTCGGTTTTGTTCAGGTTTTTGGGCAAAGCCAAGAATGCTCCGCACATGCTTGGGCACGTGCTTCCAGGTATCCGTGAGAAAGCTACGCTGGCGGGTGAGACGCCAGTCTTTCACTTCGGCCAAGCATCAGAGGCTGGGTGATGCGGAGTTTCGTGACATTGACGTTGGCAGCAGTCTGCTGGACTGCAACCACACTGCACTCCAGGATGATCCCAGTGAGGCAGATGAATTCCAAGCTGCCAAGGCACGGCCGAGACGAAATTGGGTGCCACGAGGCTATGATCAAGGTAATGGTTCGGAGAGACCCACTTTCTGGGGCCAACTGTATTGGACTCATTGGACTCCAGGTGCCATTTGATGGCAGTGCCGGTTGCTTTCTGTTTATCGGACGTCTTTGGTGCTATTGGTCTTCATGAACGTGCTGTTTACAGGAAACATGGACTTAACCATCGTGCGGGCATGGATGCTCTCTGGCCATGCGCACGCACTGGTAACATGGACGAACCTGCGAGCAGGAAAGCGCGATGAGCAGCTGAAAGAGCAAGGTTTTGTTTCTCTTTTTGTGCCGCCTTGCAGGCAAGTGCGGTTTCAATTAGTTCCGGGGTGCATGTTCCGGAGCTCGCTGTCGTTCTTGCAATCTCCCGCTTTGGGGTCAAACATATGCCCGAGGCCCTACTGATATGATTCAAGAGTTAATGACTGTTAATGGCTACCAATGGGGAGGCCTTGACGTTTTCAATGAATTCCCCCTTCTTCCCCTTTAGGCACGAATTGAAATTCGAGGGGGGGGGGGGGACGCCTTTTTTGTTGGGGCGGGGGGGGGGGGGAGGCCTTGACGTTTTCAATTGTTGTCCCCCTCCTTACCCTTTAGGCTCGCGCGTATTGAATTCGGCGGGGAGCTCTCTTTGTAGATTGTTTAGAGGTTCAGGCACCAAGTTGGCGGACATGTGTGGACCATTATGAATCTATGACTTAATTCTCTGGCGCCGTTCCCCGACACAGAGGCGAGGCCGAATTACCGAGGGTCACGCAGCCGCGTTGTCCTTGTCATTGTCATTCACTTTCATGAATGCACCTTTGATATGCGTTCATTCGCAACGAGGCTTCGGGAGATGTAAAAGTGTAAGAGGCTCTCGGTCAAGAGCCCCACGCGCGAATTGCAACCTCTGTGCAGGACCTTGAAGATGACTACGAGGCACGGTTGCCCAACAGACATCAAAGCTCAGCAGCTTAACGAAGACAAAGAGACGACTTGAGAAGAAAAGCGCGACAGTGGAAGATAGTCGTATCTTTGTCCATGCATTTTAAACGCAACTCCGTTGCACATTTTGTCGGGGAGGCCTTGGAGCGCTTTGCGGAAAGCGCGGAAGCCAGCCTAAAAGGCAGAGAGGGAGGGGATGGAAATGGCTGGGGTAGGGACTGGGATGTTGAAAGTCTGTAGCGTAGTCTGTGCGAGTCTGAGTCAGTTCGAGTCACGAGTGCATGTGAGACAGAAAACCTGGTGTGCGCGCGCGAGTTGAAGTTGTGTTGGCAAAGCCACGGGCTCAAGTATTCGGCTCTGACTGCTTCGCAATGAAGTCCCTGCACAAGCTTCAGCCTCGGACACGCCACGGTTGGAATGGCAACAAACCTGCTGTTGAGACCCACTGAGAAGTAGACGCATCATGAGCTATGCCCTGACAGTCCCTCAAGCTGCAAGTGAAGTCCGGCAAACGGAGCGCCCTGCCTAGGTATGCTAGCTTTCATGAAGAATCTTCCCTGATACAAGGGAGATGCTCATGTTGAACACCTTCTCTTGCATCAATGCAAGCATGCTGACAGTTGACCCTGTCTGTAATCTGTTCCTTGCGCCCACTCAAGCGGTGATTGATTACATCGACGGGTTGATGGACTAGTGGATTTCACTGGCTGCCAGGTCTTGCTTGCTTCTGGTGCTGCTGGTGCTGCAGACATCAGCTCAGAATCTTTCAGCCGCGGGCACACCGCGTCTTTTCTGCACTATCTTGTGCCAACTGAGACATCCAGCAGATTGTCCAATGACTTCCAGCGTTTCAGGATCCAACAAGCAGTTTTCAGACACAGATTTAAGGGGCCGGCATGTCACGAAAGCTCGCGTAGCGAAGCTGGAGTTTTATCTGCTTTAGCAGCAGGGGGCCGACCACGGCCAGAAAACAGCGTATTATTGATACTATCTTATTAGGGGGGGGTGGGGGGGGGGGGGGGGGTAAATTGATATATCACACGAATTCCTTGGTTTTGGAAGGGGGGAGGGGGGGGGTGGGGGTAAATTGATACATCACACGAATTCCCTGGTTTTGGAGGGGGGGGGGTGGGGGGGGGGGGGTAAATTGATATATCAATACCTTAAGGGGAGGCGTTTTTACGTCAAGACCTGACTCCGTCGCGTGTTGACCGCAGCGCGTGAGTCAGGCTCCCAGCACAACATGCGTCGCCGCCCACTAGTGATGTGTTGATTGCAACAAGCTAGTTGATTGCAAGAAGCTAGTATCTACCCAACACTGCGACAGCTGAAAAGAAGACGCTGGCCCCTCAAGCATGCCTCCAACTGGGCCCTGCCCGCACTTTCTCTTGCAACTTTGCTCTTGCTTCCGGCCCCCGAGCTTTCGTCCTCCCTGCCTCCGGCCCTCAAGTATTGTCATGCAGTGTGGGACCGATTGCTGCGTTGAGTTGCAGTGAGGGTTCCTGACAAGCTACTTTAGGCGATGCTGAACCCTTATGCGCTCGAACGGAGTTTACCGACTCACCCTTTTGAAGCTGACAGGTTTGCGACGCTTGGGTGCGTGAACTCTGCGCCGGGCGATGCTTCGTGGATATGGCAGGCATCTTGATTGTGAAATGAAATGACTTGGACCTTCTGCGAGGGATAAGGAAAACGACAGCAACTGGCCGAAACAAATTAAGACTTCCAGGCTGGCAGGGCTGTCATTCCAATTAATGCGAGACCCGATCCAGCCGCAATCTTTTCAGTGTTGCAGGGTGCTATCCTTGTTCAAGGCATTCAATTCACGTGCCCATAGTAGAAGGACCACTTTGGTTGTTGGCAGCTGCAAGATGTTGCAACCACCTGCCTCTCAAAGCCTGCATCAGGCAGGCTCCGGGACTTGGCAGTCCTGAGCCTCGGCCAGAATCAGACAAAATGCGCAGGAGCACTGATCTCACACAGCATCGATGCATCATTGCACGGCATCGATGCATCATTGAGTCGAGGCAATCTGGCTGTTCGAGGCGACATTGGGAGAATGTGCCTAGACGCCGCTGGCAAACCTGACCCAACATCGCTGTATGCTCCTTGCCCTGAAGAGTTGAGGATGCAAGTGTCAAGAAAGAATCGCCCCTCCATTAAACGTGCTTGCCTACCAACTGCCTTGCTAAGGTGAGTCTCCCGAGCACATTAAACAGGACAGCGAAACCACGGTGAACCGCCATCAATCTACACGTTGCCCTGAATGGGCTCGCAGAATTTCGGCATATTTCGGCATCGTTACAGAGCCAGGAATGGCTGCTTTGCTTGGACTGCAGAAGCCTGCAGTGTTGCGCGGGCCCAAGAGTTGAAGTGTTTTGGAATTGTTTTGGAATTGTAAGACGTTGAAAGAGTTGGTACCTTGCAAGGCCTCTCAAGAAGGATTCAAACGGCGTGCGGTTTGACGGTGTGTGCAATGAAACAAAGGATTTTCGACGGGTGCAACGGATTGAGTTCGACTTTGACGTGGCCAGGCTGAGTGTGCACGGCACATCACTGCGCTCTGGGCAAAGAGTCGGGTGTGCAGAATATTGAAAGTTGCTGAATATGGGTGAACTTTGCACGATCGTCCCTGTCAGTTGTGGGTCTGTTTGGGCAGCACCGTTGTGGATATCACCTCGGCCGGGCTCTTAGATGTCCTTACCCATAGCCGGCGCACGCGGGTACATAGTGGCTCAAGCGTGGCATACATTGTTGCATGACACTTCCTCCCTCCTTGTCGTTCCTTGTCATTGACGAAAGCACGTTCCTATTGCTTCTCCCTGCCTCAGGCAGGTTGGCCCCATCGTGCCGGGAATCTGTTGGTCATTCTTTCCACCATTTTCCACCCTTTACAGCTTTATACCATCCATCCCGGCTAGGACATGCCAAAGGTTTGACAAAGGGCCGAAACTGCACGCCGAACATCTCCGAGCTGTTGCTGCAGCCATGTTCTAGAGAGGGCGTGGTTATTTTCCCCAAAAGCATCTCGGATGTTGGGTTCTCGTTTAGGTTCAAAACGCGAGAGATCGATACCCGTGAATGGCGGCTCGGGGTGAAAGCGAAACGGGGATGAAAAACGAAGCGGGGATGAGAACGAAACTGGTGATCAGAGCCGCGGGGTGAAAACGACAGGGGGATGGCGTGGGGGATCAGAAGGGCCGGATGAAAGCGAAACGGGGATGGCGCGGGGATCACGACGGCCGGACGAAAACCTAACGGGGTTGAAGCGAAACGGGATGAAGAAACGGGCATGGCGCGGGGATCACAACGAGACGGAGCGAAAACGAAACGGGGTGGCGCCTGCGGGGATGAAAACGAAACGGGGATGAAAGCGAAGCGGGGATGAAAACGATATGAAAACGCAACCGGGAGGGATAATCCCATGATTTTCGTTGAATGTATTACGGACTGCGGCGCGGACTGCGGGAAGCTGAGGGATTTTCGTTGAATTGTAGTACAAATGTAGTCAGAGCCGGAGGGGCGCGAGAGCGGACTGCAGCGCGTATGACGGCGCGTGTTAATCGGAAGCTGAAGGATTTGCGTTGACTTGTGGTACAAATGTATAGTACTCGGAGGACAGAGCCGGTGGGCGCGAGAGCGGACTGCGGCGCGTACGACGGCGCGTATTTCGAACGTTGAATTGTAGTACAAATGCAGTACTGGGAGGACAGCGCCGGAGGGGCGCGAGAGCGGACTGCGGCGCGTACGACGGCGCGTACGGCGGCGCGGGAAGCTGAGGGATTTTGGTTGAATTGTAGTACAAGTATAGGACTGGGAGGATGGACTGCGGCGCGTGCGACGGCGCGTACGGCGGCGCGGGAAGCTGAGGGATATTCGTTGAATTGTAGTACAAATGTAGTACTGGGAGGACAGAGCCGGAGGGGCGCGAGAGCGGACTGCGGCGCGTACGACGGCGCGTACGGCGGTGCGGGACAGCATACTCTTGATGTTTATATATATATATATGTTTTTTTTAGATTCATGTATTTATTTCTTTCCTTCTTCTTTCTGTATTTATTTAGTTGCGAAGTTATATATTGTCCATGTTTTTGATATCCTTTATATCCTTCATTATCCTTCTTTGAGGATTTGGGATCCAAAATGATGAGTTCTGGACCGGGTACAACCAAAGCCAACAAGCAGTCTCAGTCGATACACTTCCGACAGACACGCCGTAACATGAGGTTTTTCGCCTCAGTTAGTCAACCTTGCGTCGCCATTTTGCCTTCTTATACTCTTCTATAAAATGTGCATACGGAATGGATGTTAAAGTGGGGGTTTCACTCCGGCACTGTTGTCATTCGGATTGGTTTTGGGTCCCTGGCTTGACCTTGTTTTTGGATTTGCGACCATTTGCGGCCTAGGCCATGGGATGGCCCAGCGCCAACGTCTGGAGAAGTGGATTTCGTTGCCTCTGCGCTGCATTAAACGAGTGTTTGTTTTTCTCTCCTGTTTTTGGCTCGAAGCACAATGGCCGTGGGATGCTTGCGCGGCGTGGCAACATTGAAGCAGTAGTCCGCGTTGTGAAGTCTGCAGAAGCTGCAGGGTTTGACCAGATCAGCACAAGTTGCCCATTGCTGGACCTTTGCCGAGGAAGGTTGCCCCCTTGGCGACCTCCGCACAAATTTCGCCACAGGTGGCAATGACTCTTGGCAAGGAATTTGCCTTTGTGAGACGTCTGAGCAGACGGCTCTGCCCTCAAACTGCACCATCCCCTGCCCTGTGGAAAGCTTTCTTGAAATGAGATTGCTCAGGAAGAGTCGCCTCTTAGCTGCACCCAAAGAGTGATAGCTGCCGCGTTGCGAAAGAAGTTTCTGCTTTCATGGCTGCCAGGATTGGCAATCCAGACAATCTTGGCGGCCCCAAGCACATGATCATGACTCTGGATGCTTGTACCGCATATTTTTGTCGATCAATAGCGTGGCTTGATGGACATAGTGTAGGGTAGCGGATGGCAGAGAAAGGCATAACAGGCTTGGTCCTGCATTCGCGAGGAAGCTTTTCTCAGCTGTCTGAGTGTCCAGCAAATTCCCAGGATAACAGCGCCATGGTAGGTGCGGCAGGCACGTTGAGGCGCGGCAGGGTACTCTTGCAAGCAGCACCAAGCAGCCAAACGGGCCAGGATCAAACACTTGA